AGTTGATCAAATAACCCGTGGGGAGATTTCCTGAGCGGGCGAGAGAGAGAGAGAGAGACGAATGTGGTGTGCTAAATTCTCGTTTGCGAGATGTGATAAAAGCCGCCTTTTATAACCCCATAATAAACTCCCGACGGGTTGGTAGAAATTTAACATACGCGTGCTTCCTTTTAGAATAGCCGCTAGACAGGCGCCTCAAAACCTTAATAAGCTAATAGCTTGTGAGAAATTGAATAGTTTGGTTCGAGGGGGGAGACACGGCAACGTGTACTTAGAGCATACCTATAAATCTCGAGTTTTAGTATTCTTGGCCAATCTTGTGCCTCGAGTTCTCAGAGCGGGTAAGATGTACGGATATGGGGTAAACCAGTTAAACCAGTCAAACCATGGAGAGGGAGAAACAGGTTAAACATGGCAGTGATGGTCTATTGTCATACGTAGGGTTGAAACACAAGTTGACCTGCGGGACAAAAAAGGTATCATGACTTGAAGTAAATACGAAAAGGATGGTTATTCCGTCACACTGAAATTCGGTCGCTCGGAGTTGCTACGAGAGAAACGGAACAAAAAAAAAAGAAAGGAAATTGGGTAATATATACATCCGAGAGAAGTTTTAATAAATGATGATGATTCCGGCTTGATATTGAATACGTTTACGACATCATATGGAAGTGTATGAGGTAAGTACATGTAACTAACTATTAGGTTAGGTATGTAGTTATGTAGTAAATATAATAGGAATGAGGTATTGTTTAGATATAGGTGACTACTTGAATGTACGAGACATGCGCTTAAAGTTGGCAATCGACATGTACCTAATTACATACAGTACATATAATACTTACATACATGTACAACCTAAAGGTTTATTGCAGTAGGTTAGGTACATACGCGTATCGTACGTATCGTACAATACATACCTCTTCAAGCCGGGTACCCGATGTCTGGATATCTGGATATGTCCCTGGCACTTTCCTTGCACTGCCTCAATTCTGCCAATCAGAATCTCATATCTGAAACCCCACCTGCTCACCTGCCCAGTATTTCTCTTCCCCTTAGGCCCAGATACGAAATTTAACCCCCAGATGGCCGCCCCTCCCCCCAGCAGGTTTAGCATTGTTCAGTGCCAGACTTGCCAGACTTGCCAGACGTACTACCAAAATGCATGTCCAGTTAGCCCAGTTAGCCAAGTAGCCCCCAGCTGGCCCCCCGGTTCTTCTCCCTGAAAAGTTTTGGGCAGTGATAGCGAACCACAAGCCTTTAGTTGTAGCTGTGGACTGAACTCCTACATAGGCCCCACTTCTACCGCTCTAACAGGACTTCTTGACAATTGTAGCGAGTCTTGCAGATTTGATTAAGCCGGATTCTTCTGACGTTTCCATCGGCTTTGACCCTTTTTCATCTCCTTCCCTCTTCATTTTTTTTCTGCCCAGACCCCGCGACAACGGCGACACATTCCGTACGTATTTTTTTCGCACCGACGAATCCTGTTGCCATTTTATCTTCTCAGTGGTCTGCATTGAATCACAATAACCTGCGAAGAAAGAAAAAAAAAAGCCATTTTACTTGTCATTTACAACCCCGGGAACCAGTTTGTATTCCCGCATTGTTTTGACACCCCGTAGTCAAGACACGCTGTTGGCTCAGTTGCCTCATTACCGTACATTGACAACCGCCTGACATACAAACCTGAGAATTGCGCGCTTTGTGTAATTGTAACCACAGACGGCAGGCTTGCAGCCATTATTACGACTCCCCTCGAGAATTCCCCGATCGTAACGGACGACGCTCCTATTCCCAACTCACATCTTCTCAACAAACCGCCGCCCCTCTACCAATCTTCATTTCTACAACATCTGCTATACCTGGCGAATATCGAGTCCCAAAAACTGGGCCGATTATAATTACAAAGTACGAAAAAAAAAAGTATTTCCTGATTCACGACTTTTTTCTTATCGCACCAGCGACGCTAAGCCGATCCAGCATTACTGCATCCCATTTATTGCACCTTAACCGACCGACTTCGATTTTTCTACGAAGCTATCATCGGAACTGGTCGCAGCCTCCTAAAGGCGCATAACAATCAGGAGACGAAGCATTCTCGCTTTTTGTAATCGAGATTGCAAAATTTTTTTAATGCTAGAGTAAAGAATCGCCACTAGACTCTGCGTACCTGAATTTAGTAGCGAGCCTTGAGCTTCTTTGGAAAGCTCCGTTACTAGCTGGGATCACTTCATCGTGAGTTTTTTTGTCTCCCTTTTTTTGGGGTCTTGATAATCCACCGGGCCCCTCTTCCCCACTCACCTTGTCGTCACCTCAGATTAAATCTGCCTACCTTTCAGCCAAGATCCTCCCCCTCGAGTACCCCAACTGTCTAATCTTTCCCTCTTTGTTCATAATAGATCGGTGCCTTGCCCTACTAACATCGCAACCTCCTAACAGGCCTGAGAAGTGCATCATACATTGATACCGGGCTCCACTATACTCTTTCAGATCCCCGGTCCTCCCCCCCCTACAACCCTAGGGCCCTGATCTCAACACACCTCAACTTTCGCGGGCCAACTACCTGGCAGGTCAGGAATCTAAGATGGCGGATCAACACGACGTTGATCTAGACTCTATTATTGACCGCCTCCTCGAGGTGCGCGGTAGCCGTCCTGGTAAGCAGGTGCAGCTCCTGGAGACCGAGATTCGATATCTCTGCACAAAGGCCAGAGAGATCTTCATCAGCCAGCCAATCTTACTAGAGCTAGAGGCCCCTATCAAGGTATGCATATAACTTAGTGATAACATCTTCTATCCCAGTTCGAGTTACTAATTTGCTTTTGCTATAGATCTGCGGCGATATTCATGGCCAATACTATGACCTATTGCGCCTCTTCGAATATGGTGGCTTCCCCCCAGAAGCGAATTACCTTTTCCTAGGTGACTATGTAGATCGTGGCAAGCAGTCGCTCGAGACCATCTGCCTCTTGCTCGCATACAAGATCAAGTACCCCGAAAACTTCTTCATCCTAAGGGGTAACCACGAATGTGCGTCCATCAACCGTATCTATGGTTTCTACGACGAGTGCAAGCGCCGCTACAATATCAAACTATGGAAGACATTCACGGACTGCTTCAACTGCCTGCCGATTGCAGCAATCATTGATGAGAAGATCTTCACGATGCATGGTGGTCTGAGCCCTGATCTCAACTCGATGGAGCAGATCCGCCGAGTGATGCGACCAACCGACGTAAGATAGCCCATTTCCCAAAGCTATACTGTTATTTGCTCTGCCAGCATTGGCCCGAGTCACCACTAACATACTTTAGATTCCTGACTGCGGTCTGTTGTGCGACCTACTATGGTCCGACCCGGACAAGGATATCACGGGCTGGAGTGAAAATGACCGTGGCGTTTCATTCACCTTTGGTCCCGATGTTGTCTCTCGGTTCTTGCAAAAACACGACATGGACCTAATCTGCCGTGCCCACCAGGTTGTGGAAGATGGTTACGAATTCTTCTCGAAGCGTCAATTGGTCACTTTGTTCAGTGCACCGAATTACTGCGGAGAGTTCGACAACGCCGGAGCTATGATGAGTGTCGACGAGAGCTTGTTATGTTCCTTCCAAGTTTGTCTTCCTCTACTCTCTACATGAATACGAATATATGACTAACGATTAATCCTCATCTAGATTCTCAAACCTGCTGAGAAGAAACAAAAGTACGTCCATGGCGGCCTCGGAGGCAGCGGTTTCGCATCTCCAAGAAAGCAATCATCCAAGTCTTAAAGAAACAGTATTCATACGAATTTCCTCGTCTTCTAGGTTCGGCCGCTCCCGATAAGTTGCTCCTTAAGCATCCAGCCCGTTTTCGAGTCCCGATAATTGTCCTCGACCAACGATCCCGTTGGCGTCATCCTCGCCCTCCGCCGGTCTCCATAACACACATACATACCTCTCCGACCGCAACGGGCGTTTTGATAATGCAGCTTCGAGTACAAATATACGATCCACCTCCGCCGCGAAAACACACATGTCCTCATAACCTCACTTTGACCTCAGAACTGACGAAAGAGATGAATGGTGGTTGTTGCTATTACGCGAGAAAAGAAATAAAATCAGGTTTTCATTTGGAATGGTCCCCATGAGTGTTCTCAGCCTACACTCACCCTACGTCTGTGAGGCCATGGTGACAAGGGGGAGAAAGTCTAGACAGTTAATTTTGTTTCCCCGAGAAGTGAAACTTACGAATTCATGCAATGATCTGCTTCACGGTTTTACACCTATTATTACCCTTCTCCCCGTTGCCAAGTGATTTCCGTTACTACTGTCTTGCCTGGTCTTGTGCACTGTTGACTTTCGTGTTGAGTTAGTTACGATGGTTGTGGTACGTAGCCCAAGAGAGCACCTCTGTGCTTGTGTCGTGTTGAGTTAATCGGAAATTCTTACCCTTTTCCTGCTAATGATCTAGATAACCTGACACATGCTATGTCTACAATTACCTAATTTTGTGCATGCTAATGATCATGATTCCCGAGACATTGACGTCGAGAATAAATGCCATTCTTTCTACGCCATGGTGTATTCACTTAATTAGGTGCGTAAAGGGGGTAGGAATGGCAATGTGATGTAGGATATGTCCGGAAGATGTTATGTCACAGCATCTTTTTTTTTATTCTTTTTTTTTGCATTAGCTTTCTTGCATGCCGCATCGTGCATTACCTCGGCAACTATCTGGGTTAGGTAGGTCAATAATATAGAATGATATGTGCCGCTCTGCCGACGTCCAATAATGGTGGCCTGCAGTTACCCCAGATATGTGCCACCCGCGCACCCACCTACCTGGCTGGCGTGCTGGTTGGCTTTTTAGACGGTGCCCTCTCCTTTTCTCTCGTCGGTGGTATAGTACAGCCCAATCCACAGGAGATCTAGACGTGGCGGCAGTGAAGGTATGAGGACTTAGGGGGGTTGTTAAGTAGGAGGGTATGAGGGTATGTATGAGGTATGAGGTATGATCATTTACAGTCCTCGCACTCCTCCTGCGTCGCGGCGTTCGTCCGCGTGCTCTCGGTCGCCGGCTTACACGACGGGCCGCCGATGGTTTCTCCCGGGTGGATATTTAAGCCGAGGGTGTTTTCGTCCTCGGCTTTCGACGGAGCAGCGGTTGCGTTTCCCGTTCCGACCCTTCCTTCCCTTGTCGTGCCTTCTTGCCCCTGCGCCGCGCCGGTCTTCGCTTTGCTAGACGAGTAGTCCTTGTCGACGTGTCCTAGGTCCCGGCCGGGCTCGATGGCGTCGCGGACCCGCCGCTTCAGCTCCTTGGTCTCAGGGAAACCGCCGTCGGTCTTGCGGTCCCAGAGTACACGCTGCTGTGTGGTGGAAGAGGAATCGGGGGTGGTGGTGGTATTGGGCTGCTGGAAGAATATCTCGACGACGAAGGTCCCGCCTGTGGAGGGCTGCAGGGCTACTTCGCCGAGGGAGGTCGAGAAGGTTGAGAGGAGCTCTTGCGCAAACTACGTGACAATATTGTTAATAGTGTTGGTTAGAGCTTGGTGGGAAGGGGGTGTGTATGTGTATATATAGAGTGATATGGCGGGGCTCGTGGGGTTGAAACTGGCGAGCTGATATCACATATTACCAACAGGCATGGTATAAGACAAGTAGGAAAGCAGGGTGGAAAGGAGCTAGAGGTACTAGGTGAGATATAATACAATAAACTTACGTATGCGGCTCTCAACATCCATTTACATTGTGTACAGAATCGAATAGTAATACGAGGTAGTGGAAATGGATTTTGGAGTGATGATGCGGGGCCTGAGGTCGAGGTCGAGGTCGAAGTCGAAGTTGAGGTTGATGTCTCAGCCATTGTTAACGTGACTTTATTATGAACAATCGTAGGGATTAGGTCTGTCTTATATCAATCAATGTCTTAAGATGAGTGGTGGGTATGGTATATCCCCTGAGGCTAGTAGTATTCCGAATAGTTACCATGCCACATTACATATGTACGCATTATACATAAAAGAGATTCCGATTCTCATGGAAATTTATAGGTGGGGTGCTATGACGATTGATGGTGAAATATCAATGTTGTACCGAAGAGATGTACCTTAGGTAATATACATGTATACCTAATAAATAAGCTAAAATAAGACCAATTGAAGGTCTAGTTCCGCATATTATTTGCCCTTAAAACTCGCAATTACATACCTCTAGTAAGGAGGGGTTATTGAGTTAACCATTATTAACGTTGATTGGGCAACATATTCCAACGCGCTGGTTCGAGTGAACTCCACGGTACAAGGCACCTACCTATTTAGACTATAACAAGGCTCCATTAATGTTCTCGAGCTAAAATCGCGTTATCTCAAATGTTATTAGTTGTTATTGTTATTGTTGGTTTTTTTTTTTTCTTTCTCTCTTCATCTCCCTCACACGATTCCCATGTAGATCCTTCCTTGATACATGAGAGTAAGACTGTTAAAACGAGACACGCGAGGATTATAAACCGCGAAAAGCGCGAGCGTTACATTTACGTATTATACCTTCGGGGCCGAAAATCCATTTGCCGCTCGCTGCGGCACACTAGAGCCGTAAGCAATCGCGTGCATATTCAGTACCGGGATTTCTTAGATATTTATATGCATTCGTATGTGAGGTGAGATATACTGCGTAGGAAAGTCAGTGTAGGTAAGCAGAGCACTGCCAGACCGCTAGTTTATCTGCATGGCGAGTTGGAGATGATGAACTTATCAGGTGGGATCGATGGTCGGATAGATAGATAGGGTCTACAGGTCTACATATCTACAGGGCATATGGTGGATGGTGGATGGTGGATCTTTCGCGGCAGCCTTATTGCTTGCGATCTATAGTTACCTAGGATCGTGGAGAAGGATTTCTTTGTCCATGTATTACGATTCCAATTAGACTTAAATATAGTACGAGAACATAGGTAGGTATATATATAGTATAATGTCGGGAAAGTCAACGTTCCCGCTGAATCCAAATGAGGTAGCCGCCGTAAACCTGTAGAGTATAGGTAGTCATAAACAAGGAAATGTTGTCATTCATCGAATAGCGACACAGACTTAACAAAAGAAATAGGAACAATACAGTCATGAACGAACAAATATTACATGTTGGAATTTCTCCCGTACTCTCTCTCCGTCCCCAAATGATGGAACTACCCGTCCATCAACCCTCCGGCACATGAGAGTACCTAAACCTAAGTATCGCAGTATGCCGGCTGGCGAATTATCGTAACATGGTCGATAGTCATCGACTCTTGGGTATTGTGTAATAGCCTTTTTTCTTTCTCAGATTATCATCCCCTTTCTCCCTCTTTTACTGCTTATTTTGCTCCTCCTACTCCTACTCCTCCTTACTCCTTCTTTCCGGTGATGCGTAAGAAAATTAAGTTTCACGTAGGATACGATAGACAAAAAGAGGCTGGCTATCGTCGAAAAAATATCAGGCGCCCTGACCTGCGAGCCTCATCGCGACGTAAATCCCACAGAACACGTTGCATCCCGTGCATCTTCCTAACTGGAGTTGCTCATGGTATCCCGCTCTACATGACCACACAGCACCCACCACTCTGAGGAGGCGCGTATGGATCCTCTCCCTTAGGGACGGATCCCCATACCGACGGGACCATGTAATCTCTCGTGCTGTTGCAATACGCGATGATGCTTCGCATCGTGTTAATAGACATATAAATTGGTAAAGCGTTAGCATTGGCTTCTCACCTCCTGGATGCCTGCGACACGGGAATTCGTTCTCGCTCCAAGTCCTCCCGTAGCCTACTGTTAAGCTCAGTCAATCGTCGCAATTTAAGGTCGGCCATTGACTGTTTGTTCTTCTTGATTTGCGACGGGTCGCCGACGTCTCGGGAAGTATATTGAGGCATATTGATGGCGGTGGTAGACGGAGGGATGGAATCGGTCCTTGGTCGGGGTTCTAAAGATGGTGGCTGTGTGCTTGGACCACTTGCAGCGCCTCCCGACGTCTGAGAATCGTGAATCTCTATCGACGACATGATCTAGGTTAGTAAAAAGATAGCCACTAACGATCACGTCTCATTGCTTATTGAAATGTTCGTTCGCGAATCAGTAGAATTGATATTATATTCGCGCTCTTTGCAGCTCTATACCCCTATCGGAAGGGAGGGATGCAAGGAGGGAAGCTAGCCAATTTCCAATTCGTCCGTGTCGGATTCGGGCTATTTAATCGAGACAAATTGTTTATTGGAGAAGGCGAATAAGTAGGTACTTACAAATTAAGGCGATCTCAAGACAAAGGACAAGTTTGCAAAGAAGCTTCGGGGCGACGAAGAGGCGCAACGTCAGAACGGGTTGGTCGGGTCGTCGAACAGGAACATGAAGGAGAGACTATGGAAGCTGGGGAAGTAAGAAAGAGTTTGGCTGGCGAGTTAAAGATGGTACGAAAGTACGGCGTAGCACTGGCCTAGAGTCCCTAGAGTCCTATCTGATTTATTATTGGTTGGGAGGATCTGAATATGGGGCTCTACTTGCAGGCTGGGAAATTGGGGCCCGTTTTGAGGGATAGTTTCGCTAAGGGGGGAGTAAATTGAGTAAATTGAGTAAATTTAGGTAAATTTAGAGGCACGGACCTTCTAGGGATTTGTACCTAAGGACTACTTCGTACCTACTGTGTAAAGGATTGAAGGCTGCTCTTGCTCCTTATTACTGCTTACATACCTCTGTATTACATGTATTACCTGTATTACTAAAAACAGCAAGACTCACAGCCGAAGCCTTACCAGACAGAGCTTAGCATGATTTATATGCCCCTAATGATGAATAGGTATATCATACTAAAAAAGTCTTTGCCCAGCCAAGAAATGTCAAATTTGTCATCTACCTAATCTGTACCTAATCTGTATAAAACTTCCTCCCCGTCCATTTTTATTAGCGTCTAATTGGTTCAATTTCGCATTGAACTCTAACCCGAAAATACTTAATTGGAAGAAATCATTTACCATATTAAAGGGTTCGATGATGACTCCTTTTATACGCATTTTGTTCAGCCAAGCCATTCACATGTCCGATAGACCGAGTTTGCCAGTAAATCCAACCTTGACGGAGATATCAAAACTTGTACCCTGTTCAACGACAACAAACGGTACCTCCGTCCTGGTCCTCGTGAATAGCACTTTGGGAACGACGTGAATATACTCTCATGCTAACGCGACAGACTCTGCTAATACGGTAGGGGCCTACGCAGCTTGTATCCCCAAAGGCGCTGGCATTTGTCCTAGTGAATGTAACTCGTACACTAAGAAGTGTTGTTTGCTTGGTTACGATAGAGTGAATTCATGGCTAGAGTCATGGATTAATACTTTATCGTCCTTCGACAACCCGTCAAGGCTATAGGCTTAAGCAAATAATGCCCTGTCAACCACAAGAGCTAGCAATCATCTCATAGGGGATGAGAGGACCATTCTCAGACGACAGAGCAAGTATTATATTGCCGAAGGTAACGCTTCCCCTATAGATACAACCGACTTCAGCGCCTCGGGTGGGTGAGAGGGTCTACAACTATATACTCTCACGGTCTTGATGGCGAACCGGCGGTTTCAGCTCGACGTAATACTCTGAATTCTACGTGGGTATACCGATTATATGATGATCGGGTTCAACTTGACGGCAGATGTATCGGCGATCCTTCTCTTTATTCATTATGGGACGAGGGATTAAGAGCCGGCCAGGTTTATCGAGCGCCAAGTTATTCGCGAAAGTGAACTGCATGTCGTCTCGTCACTGAGACGCAGCCGTAAATCGAAACCGTCCTTAACGAGGTCAGTTCGTATAGCTATGTACATAGCTAATATATCACTCTTGACAATACCAAACAGATTATCTACAAACTTCAAGAGTTTTTGTATTGATCGTATCTACAGGTGGTTTCCATGCTGCAGGAAGCATTCCTATAGCGTCTTACTCCCTCCCACTATTATTGTAGTTATCAAAATAGCAACTCCTTGACGTTCGAAAGAGAACCGTTATAGGATACGAATCTGACCAGACCTTTGTAAGGCCCCTCGACCCCAGATATGTAATAGAATGGGTATGTCTCGGTCTAACACGCGCAAATAATAACCAACGACTCTTTAAAGGACTAAAGTAGTCTCTTTCTTTCCTGAGGTTACACACTCTTTCAACGTTGGAAATGCTACATACCTAAGTTATTGGATAACTCCCTTGGAGCTACCCACCTCTATCACATGAATACCCAGGTACCTAAATCCGGGGACCCGTTGACCTTGCTCTCCATTCCCTCGGGTGAGAAGAAAAGTGCAACTGACTCGCTATCAATGTGAGGAGCATTGCCGCCTCACCATCTTTCCAACTGATGCAAAGAATTATTCCTTCTCGTGACAAATTTTCTATTGCATCTTGACATTGTCACACGTCACTCTAAGTTATGCCGTATCTTGCGATCCATTTGTGGTTCGATATGAGTTCGGCGCAACTACTTACGTTCGTATTTGGAAGTGCATGTCTGTCCGAAGCCTCTTTAAAGCCTAGTTTTCTTAATTCCTATTATGATAGACTGTGTTCGGCCTAATTATTCGATCGATTTACCGCCTATACTTTCACCCATTATCTAAGTATCCCGGCCCAAAAATCGCGACCATCTCAGATGTTTGGTATGCATACCATTCGTAAGTAATACTCCTCCCATCCCTTAACGACGTGGGAGTTCAGGCCTTCAGGGCGTACTATGACTTATCAAGTATCTAGATTTGCAGGACGATGGCCATGGGCTGTCGAGGGTGCGCTCAAAAAGTATGGTATGTGCAAAGCCTTGCTGCGAATGTAGCTTCTTTGCCGGATACTGACTAGTGTACCTAGGCGATGTTGTCCGTATCACACCCAACGAGCTGGTTTTTATCACTCCGCAGGTTTTATCTGGTAAGTGTTGCAACAGTAAACATGTTTTCTACTCAGTGCTATCGGCTGATATGAGACAATACAGCTCTCTACGGTTCTTATAACAAAAGCCAAGAAATTTTTCCAAAAACACAAATCAACAATCATGGAAATGGCGAACATGGCGGCCTTGTCTGGGAATGGGATCCAGTACGACACCGCCAGGTGGCTAGACAATTATCCCCAGCCCTCAAAGGGGTTGCGCTTAAAGCCAAAAAACCGACCTTACATAGATATATTAACCTTTTCGTTGAACGTATGAAAACTCTGGGAGGGAGGGTTGAAGTGGTCAGCCTGCCCACATGGGTTAGCTGGTTATGTGTGGATATTTCGGCCGATATGGCCTATAATCGAGAGATGGACGCTCTAGGAGACAGTAAGTTCCCTATGTATAGGTTTCTTTTCTTTCCGTATCTTGGAAGAATAAATACTAACTTATTAATAGTGAAAACCCCGCCGTATCTCAGCCCCCTTTCGAGTTTTAACAAAGCCCTAGTCGTCAAGTAGATGTCGTGGAGATTTCCCCTCTTCGGCCCGTTGAAATATCTCTTCTTATTCACCACCATGAGGCCCCATTCCTACATTAAAGATCATAGTCGTAAACAGTTGGAACGACGTATCCGACGTAAAGGTTCTGTTATACACCTCGACTTTTTCGAGTAGATGATTCTAGAAGACCGCGAGCCTCCTAACGACCGAAAAGAACTACGGCATTTGGAACAAGTTGCAGGCCAATTGCTAGTAGCAGGATATGAACTTCCAGCATTATGGTTCTATTTTACTATTTATTATCTCCTTCAAAACCCTGATATCTTAGAGACATTAACGAAAGAAATCAGGGGTAATTTTAAGACCTACGACGATATTACGTCAGATACGGCTGCGTCATTAACATATTTGACAGCATGTTTAAAGGAGTCCCTCCGAGTAATGCCGGGTGTTCTTACGGGAATGTCGGTTGTTTGCCCAGGTGCTCTAGTAGATGGAACCTTTATTCCGAAGGGGGTAAGCTACCCAGATTTTATTTTTTCCATTTTATATCCCGTGTTATTTAGTAACTGACAAAACGGATTAGGTCATCTGCCAGCCGAGCGCATTTGCGTTAGCACGTAACCTACGTAATTTCCATAAACCCTTAGACTTCCGGCCAGAGCGTTGGCTACCTCCATAGAACGTACATTAGATAGACAGTACAACTAGACATAGGTTACCTATTGGTTATGTAGTCAATAGGTCAGGTCGGTTAAGTGATCTAAGAAATGTTTGCTTCTTCGTAATATGTACCTACACTAGGTAGGTAACACCTAACCAGACTCAACTCTTTGAGCGAAATAGACACATCCCTTTTGCTTAATAGCTTTCTTATAGTGGGAAAAGATATTTTGGTACTGTACACATATGTCTTTACGGAGTGCTGGTAAACTAAAATGAATAGATAGATAATTGCCTTATTATTCTTATTCGTGCCTATTACCTAAACATACCCCCCCTTCCCCTTTCTTCTAATCTCTAGAAGACAAACGATGGCTGATGACGTTGTTGAGACTGATGACCAAATCTGAGGCGACCAATACTCCTGCTGTAGCAGAGATGGCAAGAGAGAAATCACCACCCCGTGCCGAAACGCAAAATTCGACGTTCGACGCCACGGTTGACCGAGATCGAGATCGAGACCCAAGAGTATTCTCCGCGGGTTTTCAAGCCCAGTTTCCGAGTATATTAGCAGCACTAGAAAACACATTTTTTTTTTTCGATCGCGGCGTCTGTGCTCCTGACGGACCTAAAGCTCGGTGATAACTTCATCTGAGTCATCAAAGCCTTCTTCCTTTCTAGGTAGGTACGCACTGCAACCAACTATGTTGATTTAGTAAAGTTCCCAAATACTACCTACAGTACGCCCCTTGTAATAGAACAGGGCTTTTAATGCTGAATAAAAACAACACCTTTTAAAACATTTCAGCTATTTTGAAACAACGTTTTTGGGGAACTATAACAACTTCATAAGGCGGCAGTATAATATATGTGCTTCAAAACCGAATAACATTATTACAAGGGGCGTGCTATAAGGCAGGGCTGGTAGGTAATAATAACTTACCTAAGTAGTAGTTACGTAACCCTAGTTGTAAGTGGAAGTGGAACATTGGAATTGGAGTAACACAAGCAGACAAGCAGACAAGCATTCTCAAGGTAACCCACTAAGTCACGTGACAACAAAATTTAGCCCGTGCCCCTCGCCTTCGTAAACCCACAGAAAGTGGCACAAATCCAAATTCTTCTTCATCAGACATCGCGGTTTTTTTCACCGTCGTCACCCGGTAGCATCAATCTCCCCAATCCCTTTTAATCAAGGAGATTGCCCAAGATGCCACCCCCACCCCACCAAAAGCCTGAGAATGTTCTCAAGCGAGCGCAAGAGCTCATCGGTGTCAACCAGGCTCCCGCCGCCCTGAACCTTCTCCACGATCATATTACATCAAAACGTTCACGAAATGTCCCTATCGTCTCTTTGGAGCCTGTGATGCTCCTCTTGGTTGAGCTTTCCGTCGAGCAGAAAAAGGGAAAACTCGCCAAAGATGCGCTTTACTCCTATAAGAATATCGCTCAGAATACCAACATCAGTACTATAGAACTTGTACTGAAGAAGTTTATTGAGTTGGCCGCAGAAAAGGTTACAGAGGCACAGAAGAAAGCAGATGAGTTGCAAGAAAGCATCGAAGCCACTGTTACCTCTAGCATCGATGATTTAGAAGCCAGCGAAACCCCCGAGTCCATTCTGCTAGCCACAGTCTCTGGCGAGCAGTCCAGAGACCGCACCGAGCGTGCTGTCGTTACACCATGGCTCAAGTTTCTTTGGGAAGCTTACCGCACCGTCCTCGATATCCTCCGAAACAATGCCAGATTAGAGATTCTTTATCAGAGCACCGCTACTCAGGCCTTCGACTTCTGCCTTAAGTACCAGCGAAAGACGGAGTTCCGACGACTCTGCGAGCTTCTGCGCAACCATGTTCAGACCGCCGCCAAATACTCGAGTCAGATGCATGCCATCAACCTTAACGACCCTGATACACTACAACGACATCTTGAAACTCGTTTTCAGCAGTTAAATGTCGCCGTCGAACTTGAGCTCTGGCAGGAAGCGTTCCGAAGTGTTGAGGATATCCACACTCTCCTCAACCTTAGCAAGCGGCCTCCCAAGAATATTATGATGGCCAACTACTATGAGAAACTCACTCGAATCTTCCTCGTCGGTGAGAACTACCTCTTCCATGCTGCCGCTTGGTCCCGATACTACTCTCTTCTCCGACAATCCGCAGCTCTTGTAGCGACCGGCCAGAGCAAGAAGTCCGACAACCCTTCTGCTACAGAGGCCGATCTCCAGAGGGCTGCCTCCTTTGTTGTTTTGTCAGCTCTCTCCATTCCTGTCATCAGCACCTCTCGATCTCGGGGTGCCATGGTAGATTTTGACGAGGCTAAGAAGAACAAGAACTCGCGCCTCACCCATCTACTTGGCATGGCCAGTGCCCCTACTCGTGCTGGCCTGTTTCTCGATGCTCTTTCTAAGTCACTTCTGAAGCGTGCACGCCCGGAGATCAGGGACCTCTACAACATTCTCGAAGTCGACTTCCACCCTCTATCTATCTGCCAAAAGATCTCTCCCATTTTAACCAAGATCAGCGCTGATTCCGAAATGGAGAAGTACATCTTACCACTCCAACAAGTTATCTTGACTCGGTTGTTTCAGCAATTATCTCAGGTATACGAGTCTGTTGACCTCGCCTTTGTGGAGAGCCTCGCCAAATTCCCGGATCCTTTCCAGATTTCTCGTGGAACTATTGAAAAGTTCATCATGAATGGAAACAAGAAAGGTGATCTCTCAATTCGCATGGACCACGCTACCGGAGTACTTAGCTTCGATAAGGATGTATTTTCATCCTCTAAGGCTGTTCATGCTGGCTCAGCAGCTGGTTCCGCAGAAAGCCCCGTTGGGTCTGTGCAGCGCCTCCAAAACACTCCTTCGGAGATTGTCCGCTCGCAGTTGACTCGGCTCACGACTACCTTATACACGACTTGCTTCTATGTTGATCCGTCTTACAGACAGCGCCTAGGAGAAGCTCGACAGGCTGCATTGGCCAGAGCTAAGGATGGCGCCGAACAAGAGCATCGCGAAACTCTGGCCCGTAAGGAAATTATCCAGAAGCGAAAGGAAGAGGCATCCGAGCTGCAGGCGAAAAGAGAAAAGGAAAAGGCAAGACAGAAGCGACTTCAGGAGCAAGCACTGGCCGAAGCTGAGGAACGACGGCTGGCTCAAGAACAGAAGGAGCGTGAGGAGAAACGCCTCAAAGACGAAAGAGATCGTGTCCGCAGGGAGGAACTTAAGAAACAAATCGCCGACCTTAAGATTGGTCCAAATGCTATTGACATTGATATCGAGAACATCGACGATTATGACAGCAACCGTCTTCGTGCCATGAAGCTTGCTCAGCTCGAAAGAGAGAAGAACGATATTAATGAAAGGCTTCGGATCACCGGCAAGCGTATTGACCATCTTGAGCGTGCTTTCAGGAAAGAAGAGGTCAAGAAGCTTCCTGAAGACTATGCTAAGCAGCGAGAGCGCGACTTGGCCGCATACGAAGCCATGAAGGCAGAGACATTGCAAGAAGCTGAGGAGAAACACAAACACAGTGTTGAACTAAAGCATCGTCTAACCCGACTTATGCCCTACTATGAGTCGTTCAGGAAGTCTCTGCACGATCGTCGCCGTGATGAGTTCGAGAAGCGTCAACGCGATGCTGAGAGAGAACTGGAGAAGCAGATTACAGCCCGCAAGAAGGAATACCGCGAGCGTAAGCTGCGGGAGAAGCGAGAGCGGGAAGAAAAGGAACGAGCCTTACGAGAGGCCGAGGAACGCGCCGAGAAAGAGAAGAAAGAACAAGAGCAGCGCGCCGAGGCGAAGCGCCAAGAATTAATCAGAATCAAGGAGCAGCGAGAGGAGGAGCGTCAAAAGGCTCAAGAACAACAGGCCTATCAAGACAGAATTGCCGAAGAGGCTCTGGCCAGAAGACAAGCAGAGAAAGAAAAAGAGCGCACACCTTTCAGCAGACGCGAGCCAGTTGCCATGGGTCGTACCGATTCCAACGACCGGCCTTCCGGACCTCCGCGTCTCCCTCTTGTCGGTGCCAAGTCGTCTTGGCGTGATCGTGAAGCTTCGAAGAATGCTGGCGGCGCCGGTAGCAATGGGCCAAGCCGTACCGGTACTCCTATGGAGCGCACTGATTCTAACGAACGCCCGGTTGAACGTGAGCGCCCTGCAGGGCGTGAGCGTCCCACCGAACGCGAGCGTCCCGCCGAGCGCGCTTCTGGGCCTCCCCGGCTAGCCCTTCAAGGAAAGCAAACAACCTGGCGTGAGCGCGAGGCTGCCAAGGCAGCTGGTGCTGCCCAGAGTGGTTCCAGAGACAGGGAAAGTGCACCCGCGCCGGCTTCTACACAGGCTTCTGGTGAGACTCTGAAGCCTTCCGGTGCTCCTGGAAAGTGGGTGCCCCGGCATCGCCAAGAAAAGCAAGGTTAGGCATTGGAGGGCCGGCGTTACGGAGGTTTGGGTTCAGTATGACAGGTAGCTTGTAGTTTAGATTTACGAAGAGAAATAAACTGCCTTCTAATCTACGAATGTACGAGAACCCCCAGCTACTTGCATGCTCTATTTGCTTACAATACATTAAGTGAGTACCAGATCGTTACGCTAGGCATAGGAAGGATAATGTGTGTATATTCGAGGCTTTGCCTTATGTACCTTATCCCTGTATATTAAGGAGGTATTCATCAATGGTTATGATGGACTTCCAATTAATACCAAGCGTCCAACTCCTATTTACCAACTTAGTATTATGTGTATGCGCTACCAGTCACGGGTATCTACTATATTCGGAACTTCTCTCTTTTATTTTCATGTTTATCCAAAGGATGTCCATTCGGCATCATCTCCAAGACGTAGGTAATATTGGGCTCCCATCATTCGCACGACGTGGGACGGGATCAGCACTCAGCTCGATCGGCTTCTCATGCGTTGCTAGTTCTTTAACAGGATGGAATCCAGACAGCGTATGCTCCGCCGGGAGCTCGTTCACTGGCGCACCCTCCAGTTGCGCCTTTTTCTCCGCCTCTAACACGTTGTCTATCCCATTATAGTCTCCTCCGCCTTCTTCTTGTGGATCGGGACCCGCAGGTTCTTCTCCTTGCGTACGCTTCGAATGGCGTCTACCTAGTCGGAAAGCGTAGAGTAACAGCCCCCCCGTAATTAAGATGCATGCGACACCCACCCCAACGGCTATCCCTGCTATAGCACCTCCATTTAAACCGCCTCCGCCTGTATTTGAGGGGCTCTGCTGCTCGTTGCTCGGCGGCTCGGTGGCGGCGACCGGTGAGGTTATGCTTGTTGCCGGCGTGGTAGGTGATGATGTTTTACCCCATGAAGCGGTCCAAACTGGCGGGTATCCGCCTCCTGAAAAATCATTGCTAACTTCTTCCCCATTATCGTTACAGTAATCTACAAATTCTGAATGCAACTTGTCTGTACACGAGATATTTAGCTCTGCCTTTTAGTGCAGGTAATCAAGCTGCGGTAAAGACAGATGGTAGTGAATACATACACGCGAGCTGCTCTGAAGAATTGGAACATGCCCCCTGGGCACAGGATAACGAGCCTGGCCCTATGGACCGGATATTGCTGCACAGACATTTGACATCGTCGGGTCCGGTACAGTTTGAGTTTTTGCTAATTGACGACTCAATACACGGCTGGGCACACTCCTGGAAGTACGTGGTGAGGTTCTGAGAGGCGACAGTCAAGGCGATCAACGCCAGCATAGGGAGGATAGCCCGTAGAGGCGTCATTGTACTGTAATGCCGTTGTTCAAATCGTCTCATTCAGAGACAACGCCTCCGTAACATCAAGGGCTTAAGCAAGGAAACATAAGGCGGATAGGTAGGTAGTACGACGAGGGAAGAATATGGGGGAGGGGGAAATTTTCAAAGAGAAAAGGGGCACGAGGCTAGCGGGTATGGTTCCCCGGAAGAATTTTTTCAAAAGAGATCTTTGGAGACAACCTTATTTGAGTAGTAAATACATGATCTGATATATTGTATTTCCTAAGAAGGAAATAGATAGCTCATGCAGCATTCTACATGGGGTTTTGGAGGGCACGGCTACGGTCTAGGATATTACTAGGCCGTGACTAAAATTGACGGCTACTAATCCGGTATAGGGGAGCGGAAGGATTGCAATGCAGCACGGAGACTGCGCCGTCTTAGTGCGGTGAATATTCTATTCTCCCTGTCCGAACCGGGTGGGTATACAAGAGGACTCGGTCCCGGGAGCCGTAAAGGGACTGCGATGCGGCAACTTTGGAGACGAGAGTCAAGATTTTATATCTAGATCTCCAGACGGCCATTTTTCTTTCTCGAAAGAGAAGAGCATATCCGCCACAAAGCCAAAATGAAATGGCGGAGGGGCGATATCTCGTCTTCACTGGCTAGCCTTACATTGTCATATGAGATACTATCTATCATATTGCTAAGGTAGCAATGGTGGCTGCAGAGGGGCGGGGTCCGCAGCGAATGTTATTCATGATGCGGTAGGTAGTGGAAAAGCTGCAGGCTGGGGTAGCAATTGAAGATACTTGCTTTTCTTGGCACATGGTCAGCTTGGAGCATCGGTCCCGGACGAAGGCTGGGCTGGGAATGAAATATTCAGGTCTTTATTTATATGATATTGCCTCGCTGAAAATCACTTAGATGGCACCGAGGACTCGATGCTATTTTGCTAATGCTATGGTAATTATAGTAGATATATCATTCAGCCTGTTGTTGGAAGGGAAGTTGAGGACTTGGTTGGTGAAGTCCTTGTCTCGCTTATTTTATGAAAGTAGGAGGCTATACTTTAAAGTAACGTGAGTAGGAGAGCCTCATGCAATAATAAAAAGGTTGCACATTTATTTCAGTAAATAAATTGATGTCTCCTTAGCAGTTATATATGTAAGAAGAACCTCCAATTCTGATCAATTTCTTGTGATCAAATTCAAGAGTAGTGAGGCTCTGCTGCGGTTATTAGTATTCTGGCCCCCAGGTAGAATGTACATATAATATTACTGATATTCCCGATCACACTTCACGGAGAGCCACGATTTTGGTGTCTGTTAAACGAGAGAAATTCATTCCATCCTAGCTCAAATTCGAGAAAGTAGCAACCAGACCTACTCCCCTTTCCACGAGACGTCTTGCAATATCAAGTATTGAGAAAGCGTGTAATAGTCAATAGCTTAGTCCTAGATTGACCAACTACTGTCTTAGTGTCTTAATAATCGAAGTACAAACCATCGTTTCCGAATTTAATAGCCCATAAACTGAGATGGATAGCCTGATACCCAGGCTACGAGTATGGTTGCCGGATTTCTGAAGACTGTCTATGAGAATACCCCTATGTAGCTCATCGTTTAAGGACCATCCACAGACAGATAAAACCATCACAGCTCAAAGAAAGACTCTTAAGATGGAGGAGAGCAGAGGAACGACGCAGAGATGGTCTAGTTACCTAGGTACCAGGTGAGTAACAGGGACACCGTGGAGAATGAATTAGGCAATGGTTTGCAAGGGTATCATGGTGAGCGTAGCAGCCAAAACCTCTAGACAGAGTCTTATGAGACATGTAGTTTTTTTGTCTTGGGCACATATTAATAACTATGAATTAGTGATACGTCTTCGTAAAGAAGCACATTCGAACAGGACTTAAACTAGGTGTTAGGTATTAGACTTATGTCCAAGAGTCTCGCCCTGAGTATATGTAAGCTTCTATAGTTGATAGAAGAATAGTATGTAATTTAGTTGAAACATGGTGTACCATTATCTCGAAGGAATGCTATATGAAATATGCTTCCATAACAAGTATGATAGTATGACAATGTCCTGTATCAACTGGCGGAAAAGGGGTAAGCTACCTCCTAACTATAAACAATGCATATATGCGAGTTTTGCTTGTAAAGAATACAAGTAGCAAAAAGTCAACTTAAAATCTCAGCGGAACGAACAGCCTCCACATGAATAACCCTAACTTGGCGAGTTTATCACCAAAAAAAGAAAGAAAAAAATCAGTAACTTCCTAGTGCTGTGACTAGGTCGTGACCAAGCATGGACTGAACAGATTCTTTCACTGCCTCCACCCCGGATCGAACGAGGGATCTTTGCATTACAAGTGCAACGCGTTACCACTGCGCCATAGAGGCCGATGAGTGCCTAAGCCGGGTGCACTGCGTTATAAGCGAAGTACAAAGATGAAGCGCAAAGAGCGCACGCATTTTAGAAATGGAATTGTTATTTAGTTGTAATGTGCTTATTAGATGAATTTCTTATAATATGGAATAAAATAATAAAATATGGACCAATTACATAATTATGATTGAAGATGGCTGTTTCCTTCCACGATGGTTACGCTACATGGCGATTGCCTTAGTCATCGTCTCGATTTATTACTTAGGTAGGTATTCGACCCGTTGCAACTTCTAGGAGCCCAAACTTCTCCCTAAACACCACATGTGTAATGTTGCCCAATATGGTCTATGGTCTCGTTTTTTAATACATTGACCAAGGAGTATATATATATCATCGATATACTATTGGCTCCATCAGATCAAGCACATGTCTTTTGAGAAATCAGGACCAGTAGAAAATGCTTGATACAACTGCTTATTACAACTAGACCACGTGGGAACACTCAGCGCGGTCGAAAGGGGTTATAGGGCCTAGAAGCTGTTTGTGTTAATACGAACTTTACTGCCCAATTCAGGGCTTTATGTCCCTCTGGTTCAAACCATATCCTACTTATTTCGGGTTCCTATGGGGACTACATAGGAATTGTCTTCCTACCATGCGGTCTACTTTCACCTAAGGAGATGCAACAAGGCTGCTTAAGGAAAAAGTTCGGGGTTTACGGAGCCAGCATCTCGCCGAAGAGGGCCTATCCCAACTTTCCGGGCGTCATCTGCGGGGAACAGGTCAAATGTCACTCAAAAGTGAGGCTTATGTATCGCATTACCTCGATAAGAGCCTTAGCCAGTTGCGGCTACAGCGAGACCTGTGTACGGCCCTTCAATAGGCGCAACATTAGAGGAGGTGAGCCATTTTGCGGAGGGATAGTTGGAATTACACCTGTTTTACCAGGGACCGCGTGATATTGTTGATCAATCTGCCTGTCCGCTCCTTACCTTCTCTAGCCAATCTGATGACGGTGCTGGGACGCACTGGAAGAAAGTCTTATGCAGGACTGCGTTGTTCTGCTGCAGGCTGCAAGTAGGCAACAACGGGAGACCAATAAGACCAATATGGAGTTACGCCAAGATTATACACATTATCTATGAGCTCTGTAAGCCCGTTTGTCATTTAGCATTATCGTTCAAATGAAGCTAGGCTCGACATACAACTCTCTGACATTATTTAGAGGCCGTGTTCCGCTCCTAGATGGGTTTACTAAGAGTAAGCAGATCAACGGCCGGTCTTACCCAATCTTAGAACTGATCAGCCCTATCTTCTACTTCGGATTGGATAACTTATAGGCCTACTAGCACCGAGAAGATGGCGGAAGTCTATTGCACATGTGTGATTGCCTACATGGAGGGGAGGAGGCCGCCTCCTAGAAGCGAGCTAAGTTCGACTTTGGAAGCACTTGATAGACGCGCTCGACAACTCGAAGCCACATCCCAGGTCACACCACCTCCACCATTTCTTGAAACAACGTGGGACTCACTTACATGGCGTGTGTGCCGTCTGTCACGTTTACTGCCGCCTGCTAAGCTGCTCAAGAAGGCACCACCTTTGGGGAATGCCGCCTCTTTGTCTCTCTTGAAGGGTGCCATCTCGACCATTAGCGTTCAGAACCAGATCCCCTGGTCCGTGGACGATGATTTGGAAGAAAAAGAATATATAAAGTTAGCTGCGCAATGGCTCTACTACTACGCAGGCCAGCGCAATGTTGAGATTAGGCACCCTTCGTTTAAATTCGAGGACGTCTGTTCCCTAGCGCTGGATCTATCTCTCGAGGCTGAATCTGGGTACCCTTGGAATAGGCGACCGATACATCCCCCCGGCCACACTCCCCCTGGCTTCATTCCGGCTGGTCACACTCTCATGGCACCTCCTCAGTTCAACACGCAAAGAACAAGATGCTGCGGCTGCTGCTCCTGTAGTTGCCACAGGAACTCAAGATCGCGACGTGATTCGAGCGTGAGCTCGGACGGGAGTTCGCATCGTGGAAGATGGCCGGTCCTGGGATGGTTCAAAAAACTCGCTTTCTGGCGTAGGAGACGCATTGCGGATGATTCTTCGTCATCATCAGGCACAATTGTGGACGACTAGAGGAATGGTCCCTTGATAGGGAGCGAATTGTTTCCCTCTAAGACTTCATGTACTAAACATATCCCTGAGTTCATGTATTCACATTGGTGATACGAAAAGGTAGCCCGGAGTAAAATCAAGTGTGTGTTATTGGCAACGATAAACCTTTAATCTATCCACGTCAAGGACTTAAACATACGTGAAAACTGTACGACGATAATTTCTAGCGTATGTATGCTTTGCTGATGGAATAGCCGGCGGCTAAGTAACGCGCCTCTTCGCGTTCTGGACGAATGAATGTAAGTCCCAAGGATGCGGATCTTGAGACATGGCACTTTTCTGCTTATAATTAGGCGAAGCAACGGTACGGAGAAATATACATGGGTTCTTTTTGTATTAGGATGGGAATAAGAGTGGTTGAGTAACACTAGCCGTGCCATATTCGAACGCCATTCAACCAGTTGACCTCGGTAACTCACGAGACGGAAATCCTCTTGAAACTAAACATCCTTTAGGCAACCTCGACTAAGAAGCTATCTTATTCGCCGTGTAAGAGTTCTTTAATAACTACCTAAGACATAAGAATATACCTAAGTATAACTAATATATAACTATATAATATATATGTACATGTTTCTTTCTTTCTGTTAACACGTATTATCGTTTAGACTCCGGGACGCCGCCTTTATGCTATGCTATAATAATGGTATAATAATATGATAATCTTTCTTGAATCGTAGTTGTTTAATTTGGTAGTTGTAAATGTCCGCTATATCGCTATATCGCTGGCCTCGTCATTACGTCAATACATTATGTAGGCTTGTATCGGCTTATATCATACCCAAGGTAGGTAGATATGTACCTATATAATATGTAATATGTAATATGTATTAGATGTTATTAGTCATCTTGGCGGGTTGGAATTCTGCACGTCGGAATGAATTGTAAACTTTAATATGTTCATTAGTATTCGGTATTCGGTATCGGAACGCTCTTCTTCTTTTTCTTTTTTTTCTCAACTCATCATATCCACACCCTATCTCATCTCATCATCCTGCTCCATTCCCGTTCCCTAACCCCTGATCCCGATATCCGCTCTCCGGACTCTGGGCACTATGCGTCGGCGTATGCATGCTGCTAGTATCGTTGAATACTTCGCTTCCCGGCAATTCGACCGGCGCCGGCGAGTTCGCGCGTCCATCGTCTAATTCTGCGAGAAGTGGCACGCCGGACGAGCGCTTGTAATTGTATCCCCCGTTACTCTTACCACCACCACCTCCTCCACTACCGTCTTTCTTATCACCGCCGCCGTAGTAATCCGCGGGCAATTCCTTCCACCCGCTATGCACAGTCGCGGGACTTAATTCCGCGACGCCGCCGAATTGCGCATTGTGCTGCGCGTACTCAGGCGATGGTGTTAATGGAGACGGCTGGTACACGCTGCTGCCGTTGTGCATGGTGTAGGCTGCGTTAGGCGAGAGCTCCACGTCGTGCTGGTGCGGCGAGTTCGGGTCGGTGGGCGGGTGTGCCCGCCGGCGGCGCGAGTACGCAAATACGAACCAACCTAGTAGACCGAGCGCTACGCTGCCGAAGCCAATGCCTACGCCCAATCCGATCTTGGCGCCTGAGGAGAGGGTGCTGGTTCCGGAGGGGGAGTCGGATGTTGTGGGTGATGCCGTGGGAGAATCTGATGTGGAAGTTGGCGAGGTAGAAGTCGGTGTAGCGGAAGACGTCGTTGCGGTGGCGGCGGCGGCTTGTGAGAGGAAGGCCTGCTTGGAGACGGCAATGGTGACACCCGTACCGGCGCAGTTGAACTCCATGGTATCGTAGACGGCATTGAGATCGCCGGGGCTCTGTTTGGCGACACACTCAGCGGTATTATAGATGAAGTTTCCCTTGTTGGAACACAGGCACCTATTCATTTCGTTGCCTGTGTTGCCCGTGCATTTGCTCCGGTCGGCCGCGTCGTTTAGGCATTGCTGCGAGTCCTCGGGGTATGCCGAGAAGTCGTTATCGATGGCTAACGAAACTTGGGTTTGCAGCGCGATGCTGAGCAACAGAGAGGCCGGCAACGTCAGGAACCACCTCATTCTGACCGGCTAACTGCTTGCTATTTAGGTATGGTGTAGTGTAGTGTGGTGGATACTCGTCTCGACTCGAGAGTGGGAGTCGTTTACGACCTCGACGAGGCAATTCCAAGACTTCTAACTAACTTAGTCGCGTTCGCAACGCTCAGCGGTGAGGACCGCTTAGGAGGGGTTGGTCGGACGCTACAGGATGGGGAAAGATTGAAAAGAGTAAAAAAAGAAAATTGAGAAAAAAAAAACGGTGCCTGAATGAATCAGTGAACACGGAGAAGACCCGTCACCGTAGTAGCAACACCCGGTAATTTACTTTTCCTTCAGCCTTAAAGGCCTGTCAAAGCCAGCTGTCGCGTCCAATAAGATAGGATTAAGAGAGGATATCGTGCATGGACGAAACAGCGCCCCATAATTACACAATGCTCATCATGACTATCTTTGGTTAACTAGGGCCAGTTACGGATTGCTAAAGTCTACACGGCAGAGGTCGTGTTACAAGTATCCGGTTCCATGGCTCGACAAGGGAGGCTATGTTGATCAGCCCAATATCCAGCATTAGTCTTTATACCCTTGTCCTAGTTAAACCAGACTATTATTACAAGGTCCTTCATAACGACGCATTCTATTCGACCATTCTACGAAGTACGACACGGACTTTTGTTATGTTACCATTGTTATGCTGTTACCAAAGTCCCCTACATGGTACAGTCTGTACATGGTAGCACAAAATAATGAATTATTCCCCTCGACGTCTTAGCCCCTTTTATGTTTCTTTGTATACCGAATGTATTAAGGTAGGTAGGTATACATACAATATATTGTAATGCCGGCACCCGTCCGGCATAAAGAATCCACCGCTAGTCGCTAATCGATTTAGTCTCCTAAAATAAGAAACCGGCTTTTCTTTTTCTTCCCGAATCCGTTGCATCATTTGGACTATGTACGGATTGAAGCGTCTTTCGTTTTATGCAAAGACAACTACCTACAAACTTACCTAGAAGTACTCGAGACATAAGCTACTACGTAGTCTTGCCCTCGCCAACAGCGTCTCTATACTGCTCATCGAGACCACAGCAATCGCGTGTATTCTCAGCCAGCGTTCATAGCTTTAGGTATACTCAATCCAGTCGGGCCTCGAAGAGCAACGTCGCGGACCACCAATATCCCATCATCAGTCATGTCATCTCTAAAAATATCCTTCCTATCATTATCCTCTAATTCAAGCAAACTGGGCGGAGGACCTTAGACGAGCCATTGTTATCATCGCCTACCTCGGACCTTGGCAATGAGACTAGGTAGGTCGATTTTATGAAGGAGATAACTTAGGTAGGTCACAAATGTAAGAAACAAACATGACAGCGCTACATGTGTTACACGTCAAGAGTCCTCGATAGGATAGATTTATGTTACACAAGCCGCATGTCTTTCAACAAGAAACGGCACGCAAGCCTTCATAATATTCGTAAATGCATGGCTTAGTAGGGCTGTTACACGGGCGGCTATGACTCGGTACCTACGATGAAGGATCATCTCGCTTTTACATAGGAGGTAGGTTATACATACTAGGCTTGGGACACGGCATGCGATTTCGCTCAGGCGAGTGTCATTTGCCCCGTATAATAGATGCCAAGGTCAGATTCCTATCCGATGGTGACGTCTTCATGTGGCTCCGCTGGGAATTATAGTAGCTTGGACATGGTTTATTACGACCATATCCGAGGGCCTATCGAAGTAAAAGCAACGATTCCATTTAATAGGCTCGTTGTTTCGACCATACTGCTCCAACTAAGATTTTAACATCAGACCATGCCCTTGGCTGATGGTAGTATTTCATTTGGCAACAAAACCGAGCTCGCTCACTGCCTGAGCGAGGTTTAACACACCCCATCTCAATCACGCCATGGAACCATCCGAAGTTACCTCGTTTCCATCAAAGCCTATCGTAATAACACCATCGAGTGCCTTCAATCATAAGAATGTATATACTGCATTGGGTGTATCTAATCGTAATCCGCATCTCAACCGCCAATTCTCAACCCTACCCCCTTTCTAGCCTTGGCATCGCAAACAAGAACGTGTACGCCGACATCATATGGAAGAGCAAATCCTCGGAGCTGGGATCCAAGGTGGAAAGCTTTTATACGCTTGCCAGCCAATTCAAGAGCCTCAAACTCCACCCATGAAGTCAGGCCATCATATACGTGAGTATTCGCCTGTTTTGTTTTTTTCGAGCCGTCCTCGTCACATCTGTGACAACAAATAAAAATGCTTACTACCACGGGAATTAGATTCCTTTGGCGTATGAATAGTTTGGAAGTCGCATAAGCTGCCACTTCGATATCGTACAGGGACAAGAAAACGCTGCCAGGGTGAAGGATATGTAGGATATGCGTATTGCGCTATTAGAATAGTCCAATTTAACTACCCCGTCGCTGGCTTCCCGAATCATCTCCACTGGTGCCATTAACAGGAAGCTTGTCCAGGGATTCGTGGCCGCTCTTGATGCCGTTGACTAGTCTAGTACTCGGTAATTCGGTCGAAGGGGATAAATTCTCGCCCATGTAGTCTAGAGCCTCGTTCGACACCATGCTCCGAGGGGTCAAATGTGCCCCGTTCAGCACAGCTTGTTTTTGTTGATCCGTAAGGAGGTGTGTTAGACCCTGCTCAATGCAGATGCGCGCATAGTCAGGCTCATCTGGCGTGACTGCAACAAGCCCGCCCCTTCTTGGGACCCGGTGATCTGGAAATGGACTTTTGCTTGGTTGGTATGGCTGTGGCTTCTTCTCGCCCACCAGTTCCCCGTTAATATAATACTTGGATTGAGGTGCAAACCCTCCACGGCTTTCGGCATCCGGATCTTGTTTCCATTTGGCTGGGGTACTCCAAGTTGAGAGGGCGGATTCATGCTCTGGGAGCTCGCAATACCAGATCGACAATTTGACGTTGCGAAGGTGAGGTATGGTTGGAACGATGTAGAGGAAGTCGGATTGCTTTTAATCACGTTAGTGTCAAGTCGATAGTGCTAACATGCCGATATATGTAACAAACTTACTTTGATAAAGAACATCTCCGTCTCGGAGAAACACTTCCACGCCTCACCACGAATCTGTTCGAGTCTCCTATAGCCAACTGACCAAGGATTACCTCCGTAGAAATTGGGTAATTGTTCTCCTAAGTGATACAGTTTGCCTTCTGTTAGAGCATATCTATCCTGCTCTAGCCGCCAGATAACTCTCTTTGCTATATGCGATACTGGAATACGCTCCCACGCAGTATCTAAGGATCGATCAGTTAAACACGACGTCAAAAATAATTATTTAGTAACTCACATCTTGACAGCGAGGTATCTTTCTCACCCAAAAGTAGGGCAACTTGAGTGTTGAGCAACCATTGCTCGCGTCCGTTTGCGTGGCCAGTGGCGGAAGGGTTAATCGTATCATACCTTACCCCTCGCGCTATAGCGAAGAGCTCGGCTATGTCCTTTTGCTTGGGGTTTGGGCAGGCATCGAGCCAGCGTAATAGAGGAGGCAACTTGGATAGACGGATCTTCTCCATCTCTTCCTGGCGAGCACGCTGCATCTCGGCTTCACGTTTGCGCTCTTGTTCCTTTTGCTCTTCCTCCTCTCGCAAGCGTTGGGCTTCTTCGGCAGCCTCCTTCTCGCGACGGATTCTAGCTTCTTCCTCTTGTCGCTTACGTTCTTCTTCCTCCTTTCGCTTTCTCTCCTCTTCTTCTCGTAGCTTTCTCTCCTGCTCCTCTTTCTCCTTTCGCTCCTCTTCTAGTCGCACCCTTTCCTCCTCTTCTTTTCGTCTCTTTTCTTCTTTCTCCAGGCGTATTCGCTCTTCTTCTTGAAGACGCTTCTTTTCAACTTCTTCACGTCGTCGTACCTCTGCCTCCTGTTTTTTCTTCTCTGCTTCTTGACGTTTTTGTTCGATTTCTTTCTTTTTCGCTTCCTCAGCAGCTATCGCCTCGGCTTCGGCTTGCTTTCTCTTTGCCTCTTTGCGCTCACGGTCAATATGCGATTCGCTCTCTTCAACTAAGTGTGGTTGGGGTGCGTCACGCATATCCACGTCAACGTCTTCGGAGGCTACAGTGATGCTAGTCTTTTCTAGAGGGCTTGCTTTATCTAACTCTCTACGATCGCGACTGGCCTTCTTGGCCTTTGGCGCTTCTTTACGGTCGTCCGAGGGTCGCTGTGACCTAACGGGGTCCCGTGATGGATCCCGTTTTTGCTGTCGACTTTCGGGTGAAGAGGTTTGAAATGGTCGTCTTTCTTTGCTGTCGGGATCCAATCTCCTTCTCTTAATAGGAGCGTCGGTATCGTCTTTATCTGTAAGCCCATGCCGAGGTGGCGTAACACTAGATCGAGGCCTCTTGGCTGAACCTTCACCTACAGACAACCTATCATTAGACTCGTCACGCTTTATTGCCTTCGTTCGATCATGGTATTTCTCGGAGAGCCGATCTGGTCGCTTTTCTAGCACATCTTCATTTCTGGGATCGCCACGCTCGGTGGTTGAGTTGTTTGACGCTAAGCTCGCACGTCGCTGCTTTTCCCTGTGCCCTTTCAATTCTTTACCCGAAATAAGCTTCCTCCGCGGCTTTGCAGTTTCGGTATCAGAAGAGTTAATAGCGGGGTCCGAGTCTACCAATTTTGACTTCGACGGAAGGGTCTTAGACACAGCAGGAGAAACCTCGCGATCTGATGTAGCAATACTTGAAACCCGCTCTTCTTTCTTGGGGCGTCCCGGTCCACGCTTAGGCGAGGTCTGTTCGTCATGATTACCAAAAGAAAGCGAGCGCCTCTTCTCCTTAGGACTTCCAGAAACTTTAGTAGAGCTGGCCTTCTTTTTAGACTCGACATCTCGGGAGGGGCTAGATGGCCGACGCTTATGCGATCGGACAGCGTCCAAGTTCGACTCGTTGCGGTTGGCACGTCTCGACTCTGGGTCTAGTTCGCGATCACGGTCTCGCCTGCCCGGAGACTTTGTCTTGGAGGAAACTTTGGGCGATTTCTTAAATTCGTCGTAAGCATTCTTGAGAAGATGCTCTTCCTCCTTCCACATAGGTCCCTCCCGACGTCTAGCTATTTCATAATAAGTCTGACCTTTAAAACGACGAGTCGGGTCAAAATTAGACGCGTTGAGTAAAAGTTTGATAACCTCGATATTCTCTCCACCAATAGCGGCTAACATTGGCGTCCCATGTTCTGTCGGGAGGCCTGGAACAGGTCGTAGCGGATCTGGGTTCGCGCCTCCTAAGGCGAGCAGGAGTTCGACCACAAAGCTATGGCCACCGCGAGCTGCATTGACCAGAGCCTCAGGATCGTCACAACGTTCCTTGACTTGCAGTACACGGGTCACCGTCTCATTATCACCTCGCGCCGCAGCTTGTCGAAGAGTCTTGTCATCGAGATTCATATACAACAGATGATTGCTGGTCTTCGTCGACCGTACGGCACCGCCGCGGCGTTGGGCTGCTAATGTGCTGCTACCTGACGCTGCGGGTGAACGACGAGGACTTTCAGGTCCGTGGGAGGAAAGGGTATCCGGCATATCGTGAGGTGGGTGGTCTTCGGAAGTTCGCCGCAGCTCGCCCACCCTCTCCTTCGCCTCCCGCAACGCAGCTCGGATTTCTTCCGCGTTTTCTAACTCGTCGGGTACTTTCTCCAATGGTTCGTGTCCCTCAGCATCCGCCTTTCGGGGGTTTACACCAGCCTTCAGCAAGAGCTTAACGACACCCAGATGACCGTTCTCTACAGCATCAAGAAGCGGTGTCTCCTTGTCGCTATTCCGGCAGTCCAGATTGCATCCCGCATCAATAAGAAGTTGGACAATTTGTTCGTGGCCATTGAGTGACGCAACTTGCAGAGGTGTGTTTCCAGCATAATCAGCAAAATTTAAATCTTCAGGTCGTTCGGTTAACCGCTTCTTAGCAGCTTCGTATTCGCCTTTCGCACAGGCCTTAGCGAGCAATGTCTGCCCATGATTATCAACATGCTTCTTGTGGGCTGGCATCCTTGCGGGTGAGATTGTTGATTCACCAGTGACGGGGGTAGCTATACTTCTTAATTTCGAACTTCGAGGATGCGGGCTTCCACTGGCAGATGAATCGTCGGAGTGATAATCGGTAGATTGAAGGGGTGCAGGTATACGCCTTTTCTTCGTGCTAAAGCCATTCGAAGACTGAGATGGAAGTTGCGTTGAAAGGCTACGTCGGTGAGCACGACCATGAGGTGACAACGATCGGTTTCGAGAAGTGGATTGTCTGTCGTGGGGTAGTCGGACTGATGACGGTTTTTGGTCCTTCTCCCTAGCAACAACAGCTTGGTTGTCAAGGCCCGCGTCTGAAATACGCGGTCGACGAACTTTCCGCGACTCGCCTTCGTCATCAGATTCTGCCTTGGGTGCCTTGCGCTTGCCAGGTAATAACCTATCTACGGATTTCGACTTATGTTTGATAGTATCTTTTGTAGGTCTCGTCTTAGATGATTCGGAGCCTGATTCCGAATGTGCATCACTGGATCTGCGACGCCGGTGAATGTGCTCGTGGTTATTGCGACGGTGTGGAGGCGGAGAAGCAGGAGCAGAACTAAGCCCACTTGATACTTCTTTACTTCGCGGTTGCCTCTCTTTTCCAGGCAGTCGCTTCTTCCTTTCTAGGAAGGCTACATCATCGGAAGGACCACCATTGCGATCGCCGTTTTTACCATCCTTCAAATACTTCCTCGGAGGCGGTAAAACATCATCAATCTCACCATCGCTCCTATCTTCGTGCTTTATTACCTTTCGAGGTTTCGACGGAGAGACACCATCCTTGCCTGGCAGGACGATTGTCTCGGCGTCCGAGTTCTGATCAGGTCCAACATCATCATCCTGCACACTTGATAATATCGGTACGGGTCGCAACTCCTTAGATGTGGAAGGGGGTTTTGCAGTCAGTGAAGGCTTAATGTTATTGGTTGTGGCGTTATTCGCTGTCACCGTCGACTTGGGATCTTCAGACTCAGCAAATCCCCGCTTCGGCGAGGCAGCCTGTTTCGTGTTTGCGGACTCGACAGCATTCTGCGCATCCATAGCATTCAATTCATATACCGAAATACAATACAGTACACCATGATGGCCACTCGTGGGTGACGATAGGGACAGAATTCGTGTCGAGACTCTGTACAAACTTGACGAATATGGACCTACTTTACAATGGTACGAGTACGAACATAAACGGTCGGTCGCGGGTCAAACGGTTAAGGAACTGATAGAAAACAAGACTTTAGACGGTCTTGGACTGGAACTGAGTACTAAATAGGATTGAAGAAATGTGCAGTTTGCTAAAATATCGCTGATGAACACAAGTTGTCGCAGATAATGACCGTCATCGAATGTGAATTGTAAATTGTGAATAATTTTCGGTGTAGGGAAATTATTTGCAAAATTGAAAAGTACGAAAAGGATGCAGCAAACCAAAAGCACCTAGCTGAGAGAAATACTAACTACCTCCTAGATAATAATAGAGAGGTAGCAGGCAGGTAGCAGCATGTAGGCAAAGTAGACAAGGTAGACAAGGTAGACTGGAAGGTAGACAAGGTAGGTAAAGGTAGGCAAAGGTAGGTAGTAACAGATAGGCGGATAGGTAAGGCAGGCAAAGTGTGGTAGGCAAAGCGCATGGAGATAGGAAACGACAACTGAACACTGACAGGAAGGCCAGACTGCAAGAGACAAGAGGGAAAGTGAACGGGTACTGGAATACTTGAGGTAGGCTATGCACAAAAGTAGACTAGTGGCTTTTGTTAGTGTGGTGACACTAGGACTGTTTTCCTTGTGTAGCCATTGAAGATCAATTTCAAGATCAGTCTAACAAGCCGCGCCCTTTTCTAATTGGCTGCCGACCTAAATACGGATGGGTCGGGTGGCCGGTATTTCCGCAAATTTGCAAAGCTCTGAGAGGTGCTGAGGTCTTTTTAGGTCTTGGGTCTTGACTGCTTGAGTTGCTTCCTTGCCCCCCGACTGCGGCAGCCCCTGCTTACTTTGCAGCTTTTGCCAGCTTTCACTGCCTGTCTCTGCTCGTTTCCGCCCCTCATTTCCCCAGTTCTTTCCAGGCTTTTCCTTCCTTCGACTCTGTGAAAATTCTCTCTTAGCAGCCTGGCAGGGTTCGTTTATTAATTATCGCTAATAAACTGCACATCTCCTTCTCCAATCCCAAGATTCTATCAAATCTGACCACTCTCTCCTTTTTATTCCAAGTGTTCAACCCACCTTCTTACTGATAAGCTATCCCGTGCCGATCCGCTTCCAAGGTCCATCAACTGCCTTATTTATCCCAAACGATTTCGAAATCGTTTTGATACGCAAAGCCTAGCCTCGCATGGGTCTGTGAATTAGTACCACGTGCTATCAGATTCAGATTGCGTATTCAATCATTACAAAAAGCATATCATGATAAAAAAAAAAATGTTCTAACCACGTTTCCACACCAACCATAACGCATTCAGGCACCCGTACACTAATACCCAATTCGCTCGTTCTCGATAGTAATACGAGCATCCAAGATCTTTAATCCGACGTCTGCCGAATTCCCCCAGGGGTAGATATTCATTATGGCCAACAACAAATTTATGGATCCTACCCCCGCTAACCTTAGACTTCCCGATTCTCTTGATGACGTTCGAGTTACAAGTCTACCACAAGCCGCCTACTACATCTCAGATTTCATCACACAAGAGGAAGAACAAGCGATTCTTGACAAAGTACGGTTGTGATGGTCATGAAGACGATGAGTTCCGTACCCCTCGCCTAACAATGACACAGATAGCCTCTGCACCGAAACCACGTTGGAAGCAATTATCCCATCGCCGACTGCAAACCTGGCCGTCCGATCTTGTGAATAATAAGTTGATGGATGCTCCCTTGCCGACTTGGTTGAGTGATCCGATTGTGCCGCGTCTGAAATCGATCCGACTCTCACAAGAACTCGATTCGCCCGATATATTTTCTGATAGTCCCCACCAGAAACCGAATCACGTTCTGATCAACGGTACGTGTAGAGAAGAGCGTGCGATGAGATTCGGTGTATCCTTCACGTCGCATCATACTATCTTTCCCGCCCTTGCTTATTGTGCCCAATTCATCTGAGAAAAGAAGTTTATGACGGGTCTAAAATCCAAAATTCTATGTTATGACATGTAGTATTAATTTGCATTCAGAATACCCTCCCGGCATCGGCATAATGCCTCACAAGGTAAGCGAGTAGCATAATTGAGGAAGGCTATGATGAACTGCTCATTCCAAAACAGGATGGGGCTGCGTATCATCCTGTTGTATGTACTGTGAGCCTCGGTGCTAGTCTCTGCCTCAACATCTACAAACCCAAGGACGACGGCGCCCTGGATCCTAATCCAGCGTGGAGAATATTGCAAGAGCCTCGAAGCCTGCTCATCACTACCTCTGATCTTTACACTGATTTTCTCCATGGTATCGAAGATATCACGGAAGATATTGAGCTCTCTAATAGTACGATTGCCAACTGGGAACTCCTACAGTCACCTGAAGAATTTGCAAATGGTTGCAACGTACGAAAGACGCGTACCAGCTTAACGTATCGAGACGTGATGAAAGTATCCAAATTGGGAGGCAAGCTTGGGTTTCTGCTGAAAAAATGATATGTCCAGGCGGGTTCGATTTCAAAATATACCTGGTATCATTTTCCATTTCCCTTGGACCCTTTCGTGGCCGAATTTCTCACTATACCATTTCTTGGTTCCGTTTGCAGTAACACCAAGATTGACTGCGACAAATAGCACAGCACATATCAATGTCCTGTTGTACAGTTGACCCACGGGCGCTGCTATCAACGCTAGAGAAAGATATAATACGCACTCGCACGTATAATGCGGGCACACCAGGTACTGGAATAAGCCGTCCACCGGAAGTGAATATTTCTTCAATTGAGACAGATAGCGGTGGCATCGGTATTGCATGAACCATGAGGCCCAAAACGTGATAACCCCGAAGACCGTATTGAATGATGGTATATCGATGTTGAATGTTCTTCTGTCGGAAGACTGAATCGAACCTATATCATTACTTCTTAGAAGATTGTAACCAAATTATGGCCATGGTACCTACGCGATCCATGTATCCAAATAGAAATGCTCGTGCAGAAATAATAAGCAATACCCAGCACCCAATGGATAATCCACATCTTAGAAGACGAAGAGCGAACGATAGCCACATATTCGTAGAGACGTCTAGCACCTTGCAAGCTCATCAAAGCCCACACGATAATGACTTGATTGATCGACATCGAGGAAATCTCGCTCGGGGCCTGATTCTTGACAATAAACTCGAGTATATTTCCATGGCTAAGGAATTGAGCAGCCCAGAATATAGAGCAAGACACGGAAAGAATATAGAAGTGAATAAACCATGAATGAGGTACTTTACCCACAGATGTGGCCCAGCTAACAATGCTAACAAGAGGTCCATCGCGAGCCTGCCTGCCTTCCTTGTCGTCAGATTTGCTCGTGGGTGAAGATCGAGCCCCATATTGGGTTAGGAGACGTCGTATGGACTCGGGAGCTACAGCGATACCCAACACCGCTGTGGCCGCGAGGACATAGAAGAGTTGGCAATATGCGGCAGGACTTATGCTGGCAAGGTGCTTTACTAAGTCCGATACTGCCATCTTCAATTCAAAAAGCTTTGTCTTCTCTTGTGTGAACTGACACCTCAAATAGAAAAGCATGTGAAGATGAACTAACCACTAATCTACAAATCTAATTTGGTATAAAATTCGAATGATGTGCTTTATTGCATATATGTGCTTATAGTAGGATATGTGATTAGACAGTATATAACTCAGACTTCAGGGGAATTTATCGCCAGGCAGTTTAAGACTATTATGAGATAGGATTACTAGAAATGGGTTACCTGGATGGTGCTATATGAAGTAATTACACATCATTATTTCACAGTAGTCTTATAAGCTCAAAGTTGTATTGCCACGGCTGACCCTTAGGAGGGTTTTCACGAGGTTGCTTGTTCGAATCCCCAGGCTCACTTCCCTCGTATTTTTTCACAGGAAGTATTTTATGAATCTACTAAGTTACAATAGAATATCAACCTAAGTTCAAACCCAGTATCAACCGGTGAACGTGATATAGCCTCTCTGAGCTTAGCTCTACCCAGTCTTCATGTTCGCACCAGTATTATTTCTAGACTTGCCACTCGGGGGCTTCTGTGGATTAACTAAGACCGAATAATTTGGTAGTTCGTTAAAGCAATTCGAAAAATAGACAGCTAAAACCAATGGGACTTTAAATCGCTCACATATTGTAACATGTTGTTCGCATCTACACATGTAGATGTCTTTGCTGACCGCGTATATGTTATCAAGGGTCCGTCCGTGTTGTCTTAGATATTTCTCGGCGCGAAGGACTATTCACAGTCTATTTTGTAGCCTCTCAAAGGAATAAATGATCTAACCGTCTCTGTTGAGACTATCACTGTAGGCTTGACAACCTCCTGGGCGAATAATAATAGTCCCGATCCTACAATCTTCCCGGGCTTTATAATAGCCAGATCAAATACATCATGTAATATACATTGCTTCACCAAGAATATTCTAGGTAAGCCTAAAACATTCAACACATTGCCGACATGAGTAACCAAACACTCGAAGAAATAATTGCGAGGACGAAAATTATCACACACCCATGATAGCTATCAGCCAAGCGATAGACATCCGTACAAAAACGATATCGGTATATCTTAGGACTAAGTAGTTACTGATTGATGTTTAGTTGACTATGATTGTTACTTTATATTTGTTTAAATAGTTCAACAGGCTCTTTTATGTCCCCGTTGCGGCAAATTGTCTAGGCCTATAGATATATAGTTAGGCTCTGGCTTGCATTGTGGCTTCGTGGCGAAATAAATAGCTAGGCTAGTTTATGTACACCTTATAACCTAACGATTGAAACGATCGTATTGGTACAAAAGATGGTATATGATCTAGACGTCTTCATCCTATAACAGCGCAGGTGAGCAAGCTACCAGTACAGATGAGGTCCCTTCGTGGGAAATGTATACTAAATTGTAAGTTCCAATTAATTAGCCAATCGTCAACCGTAGGACCTATTTAGATGTATATTACTTGTGAAATCATGGGTCAACAGTAGTTCTTTTTATAAGTATTTATTTATTAAGGTAGATTTCATGTGCTAGAAGCAACAATGGCCGTAGTCTATGGGTGCCAGCATGGGATGCTTATATTCCCACACCCCGTAGTCTTTTTAATTGTATTTCTCGTTGAGGATAGGTCTAGGTCATGCCGGGTTCCTGTATCCGTATCTGTAGTTGTGTTTTTTTATCATCCTAGCATATGAACGTGATCCCTGGGTTCCTTTTCGAGACATCAGCTAGACATCCCTTGCATGATGGCTTATTTTTAGAGAAGCTTAATATTCCTCCCTTACTTCTACGCGTGCTCTAATCTTGATATAAGGGCTAGACCATCCCCCGTTACGGACTCCGTATCTTCCGCGTGCCGTCCGATCTTGGGCCACATGGTCAATCCTCACAGATAAAAGGGGATGGCGTATTTACTAGTTGTCGAATGTAGATTGCAGGGAGAGAATGGGATGATTCCACGAGTATCTAATATCCGTTTCTAGAATACCCAGTCGTCTTATGCATCACATTGTTGCTGATATTCCGGATGGAGAGGAAAAACTTCACCCTTTTGTGTGAGACTAAACTTTGAGAATTCTTCGAAAATTCGAACTTGTTGTTTCTGGTACTCAACCAGTTATTTATGCAATCAAATATTCTATATCATTACTCCCCAAGTATCTCTATTATCGGCTGGGATTTAGATAATATATATGGTTACTATATAAACATCAACTACCAATAATATCTTGAAAGACAGCAGCTTAGGCTATTTCGAGGTAGATTTTGCTTAGGTATTAGTCACGAAACATATTGATTGTGATGGTAACTTAGGCTGCTATGAAGCCCTATGATTTAGAACTATTATTAGTTGGCATTGCCTGGATATGTGTGTCCTAGACCTCCTAAGTCACCTCGAGAACTGTTCGTGTGTATTCCTATATCCATGGTCTTCATTAACGAGTGTTTGCTGTTAAAGGATATTAATAATCGGGAAAACCACGGTAAATTGCGGGGGCTGACATCACAGGGCAAAAAGCCTTCTACATTCTTCAATTCGCCCCACCAAAAATGAGCATCGAATTTCTCAAGTGACAACTTACCTTTAGAAGAGATCGAGAGCAGCAGCCCTCTCTAACGTAGTGCAATTAACTAATTGACATTCTACTTGGTTCGTCAAAATGTCGACTACGGTGGAAAAGGTGAGTTTTCGTAAATATGTATAAATAACTTAGATACTAACCTACCTATAGATCAAAGAGATCGAGGCCGAAGTAAGTGAGATAGGCATCCCAAAGCCCGGATAGAGTGTGCTAAACTTTCTGATTTGATAGATGGCCCGAACTCAAAAGAACAAAGCAACCTCGTTTCACTTGGGTCAGCTAAAGGCAAAGTTGGCCAAACTAAAGCGAGAGCTCCTAACCCCCTCATCGAGTGGTGGTGGCGGCGGTGGTGCCGGTTTCGACGTCGCCAGAACTGGTGTTGCCAGTGTTGGGTTTATTGGATTTCCGTCCGTGGGAAAAAGTACTCTAATGACCAGGTTGACTGGTCAACACTCCGAAGCTGCGGCGTATGAATTCACTACCCTGACATCCGTACCTGGACAAGTCATGTACAATGGTATGGCATCAATGGCCCCCCCCCCCCCCCCCATAACATTCCCCCTTTAGGTTAACTTTGTTGTATCTTTTTCTGATACTGATACTGATACTATGTTGTACAGGAGCTCCATTACAGATGATCGATCTCCCTGGTATTATTGAGGGAGCTAAGGATGGCAGAGGTCGTGGTCGTCAGGTGATTGCTGTCGCTAAGACTTGCCATTTGATATTCATTGTGCTAGACGTGAATAAGCCCCTGACGGACAAGCGAGTTATCGAGACGGAATTAGAAGGATTCGGTATTCGTATTAACAAGGAACCACCAAACATCACCTTCAAGAAGAAGGACAAGGGTGGGCTTAACATTACAAGTACCTTACCCTTAACCCACATCGACCATGACGAAATCAGAGCGGTCATGTCCGAGTACCGTATCAACTCAGCAGATATTGCGATTCGCTGTGATGCTACGATAGATGATTTGATCGACATCCTGGAAGCCAAGAGTCGTAGCTACATACCTGTCATTTACGTCCTCAACAAGATTGACGCAATCAGCATCGAGGAGCTGGATCTGCTGTATCGAATCCCCAACGCGGTACCCATTAGTTCTGAACATGGGTGGAACGTCGATGAGTTAATGGAGGCCATGTAAGATTCGACCCCCTTACGAAGACGTGTAGACGTGTAGCGCACACATGGCTAATCTCCTTTTTCCTGCAGGTGGGACAAGCTAAAATTGGTCCGGGTTTACACGAAGCCAAAAGGAAAGATGCCGGACTATTCAGCGCCTGTTGTGCTTCGTTCCACTAGGTGCACAGTCGAAGACTTTGTAAGTACCTCGCCTCGGTAAACTTTGACCGGTAACAAACTGGCTAACCAATGAATGATAAGTGCAACGCAATCCATCGGAGCATAGTCGAGCAGTTTAAAACCGCAATAGTCTATGGAAAATCTGTGAAGCACCAACCCCAACGCGTGGGGCTTGCTCACGAGCTGGGCGACGAAGATATAGGTATTATTACTCGCCAATTCCCCATTGCACTTGCACTATCTTGGATACTAATCTCGTCCCTCATTAGTCACGATCGTCAAGAGATGAGTGGCCAGACTCAAAAGAGCGGCTAGGTCCCCTATGCGCTCTCGGCCCACACGCCATGGTGAAGGGTGTCAAGTGTCGAGGTTGGCACCCTTTGTGTGCGCACTCCCGAGCTCTCGATTTCTATATAGCACAATGGATAATGATACCAAGAAAGCGTCTTTATCCCATGACGCTGTTGGGCAGCTTCAAGGAACAGGGGATACGGTTGTCTGCAGATTTACGGATCAAGGGACAGGCCGCAGCCGATGCGGCGCACCATTGACGGGAAAGTATTGTTTGCTTTTTCTGGAAGGGCCCGATCATGCAAAGAATGATACAGTAGTGGGCGATTTTGCATGCGAGGATCTGGGAATCCGCAGGTCCAGGCCTACGAGAAGACAACTAGGCTCCAATTTCGAGATTGCAATTATATTCCCCTTTTGCGGGGGAATCCCACGATGCGTACATACATAGTAAGCCGCATTTTGAATTCAGAATGCCTGAGCGCACTCCGCATGCTCCAGAGACCCAAAGCTGCAAATCGTCACCACCTGCATAACCGAAGGCCTCTCTTAATGCGACCATGTCTCCGACGAGGCGTGGGGATGCATGAGCGGTGCCTTACCTCTCTCTTGGAGACCGTTAAGGCACCACCCCTTTGCAGCAAGTTGACACGCATATGCTGAACGACGAAGTAGTCTATGTTTTTGGTGTTTATTTGCGCCACAATAATCATGAGTCTGAGAATTTATTGCCGGTCGCTGTCTTGGCCTTCCTGTCTTATTGTTGCACCTTAAACGATCGGAATATTTTTAACCACTCAACGTCTTAGCATAGAGATTATCCACTCCCTAAAAGGGCCACACGGCAAATTGGTACCTGACTCCAACCTTTCACAGCGCTCCTCTAGCCGCCGACGGCACATCTGACAGCCCCTTCGTGGAGAAAGTTCTCGATCGTCTGGATTTTTGGGGGTCAGTATGGAGCTGTAGGCCACACTTCTTACCCAACCCTTTCATTCAACGTGCTGTTTAATTATTATTATTGTTATTATTATTATTTCCTGAGACTATCGGTTTTTTTTCCCTTTCATTCTTGGTTCATTATCCATCTACCTCATGGCCAAGCAGGCCATGCGAGAGGCCATGCGAGACAACCTTGCCACCACACACTTACAACCACACGTCCCGAATAGTAATAGACCTGATGACAAATAGCGCCATTATTTCCTTCTTGTCACCATGTTTCGATTCGTAGGCAACTTAAAGCGATTGAGATGTTACCGTACACACACTCTCACATTGGGGGTTGTTACTGTAACTTCCTATCAAAATGCTGGGCTGTCCATCGTCCAGCAGCCTCATTTTTTGAGCTGTGGTAGCCTTGACCATCCCGTGGCCATTCACCAAATATCTGGCTGCAAGGCGAACAATACGGGATGGTTTTATGTAGCCGCGGGCCTGTCTTCAAAGAAGGAAAAAATTATCGCGGTCTAATGATGGCGATACTGTAGGGTCCATGTAGCGTTCATTTCTTTCAAATCTGAGATTGCATTTGGTCGCATATTCAGCGATGCTTCATTCTCCAATTAGAGGCTCCAACATAAATACGACCGGCGAAGAGCCTTAAACTTCAGAATAGTCTATGATCTACTACTTCAGGTCGGACATCGTGCTGCACTAGAGTTACTAACGCCGAGGTTTGCTTCTTGGGTGTTCGTGTCGACTAAAAGGGTAAGATGGTACCTAACCAATGGCTGCTTTTACGACTAAGAGCTATCGCGGCATGACGTTACCTCGATCGTTGAGTAGCGTGCAGGGAGGGTATCGAGGGTATCTAAGGTATCTAAGGTATCTAAGGTATCTAAGGTATCTAAGGTATCTAAGGTATCTTCTACTACTCCACAGCCGCATCGTCGGCAACGCGCCGCAGGGACAGTAGGTACCTACATACACTAGGCTGCGGATAATCTCGCGACCTTTTTAAGGATTATCTACATAGGTATGTATGAAATCATCTATGGCATATATGGGAGGAGTAACCGACTCTCTACTGCAACGACCCATGGTGGGTGTTGAGCCTTGCATGAAGCCGAAAGAAATAGCTGCACAGACGCCTCGCAGACTTGTACTGTAACACAAATCTCGGCCTTGTGGCAACGAAATGTGCTTTTCGTAAAGACGCTAAGCTCGAATAAGCCCTTGCTTTCTAGGATTCAAGCCTCCTCAGAAGGTTAGGCATGGATAGTCCAGGATATAGATAGAGCTGACCAACTGGAAGATAGCCCGGCGCACGGAAAAGAGTACTGTATTCGCTTGGACCTCCTGACCATTCATGCCCAATCGCCCAACGGACCTCGGTGTAGGCCTCGCGTCTGACCCGGAAATTATATCCAATGGTAATTCTAGGCTGTTCATCGCAACGTGCTGTTGGTTGCTTTGCTTAGAGAACCAAAGTGGTGGAATATTGAGGATTGGTCAACTCTTGGGTTAATTTTTACTTATTCTGTTGGTTTGGTAACGAGTAACAGCAGCAGCTTGACGCCGAGCCGCTGAAGAACAAGAACAGGTACAGGTACAGGACCTACAGGAACAGGAACAGGAACAAGAATAAGAACGCATTCATACATTACGTTTACCGCGGCGGTTCCTTTTTTCTTCTTCTTCAATCATGGTAACGGTAACGGTAAACTTACCAACGTCGTTGGGTGTACACGAAACTTCACCGAGCGATGAGTATTGGGAAGGGTTCATGTTGGTCCCAGATATGCTCCCGACGGTTTGGGGTCTAGATGCGACACAAGCTTGCTTGTCGCGACGGCTTGATAGAACAACCCTCACCCGACAAGTGCTACAGGAGCATTTAGGAGCATTTCTAGACGAGCATTTACAGACGAAGGCTACCTTTAGGCTACCTTTCTACTGCGTAAGATTGAAGGTATCCTGTCGCATTACTAGCAATTTGCCATGGGGGTTATATAACAATTTAGAGAGCTTGCCAGAAGTAATGCGTTATCTCATGCTCGGATCGCGTATGTTGCAGTGTTTTATATTCATCTATTGTGTAATAGCTTCCAAGAAGAGTATTTCGTACGTCAAACGTGGCATGAGACCATTGAGGCTTAGAGATCTAAACTCGGGTTTGCATGACATCGATCTCTTGTGACCTGCCATGATCTTCCTCTGTGTGAACTCAAGGACTTCCGCTTCTGGCATTGAAACGGATGTCAACCGAGGAAATATAGGTGTGGAAACTGGGGGAGGGAATAAAGGTAAAGGTCCCTGACCTCGCTAGTAAGGTAGCAGGGTCGAGATACTCACAGACTTTGGGGGCGCGCCCCCCCGTGCAGCCCGTGCAATCGGCCTTTGTGGAAGACATGGGAGACAAGGGACCCCCCGTATGCTGCTCATCTCAATTTGACCTGGTCGACGTTGTCTCACAAACGGAGATAATGGGAATTACGCACTATGGCGGGTATCTGTAGGTTAGGTAGGTTATGTATGTATGTATGTATGTAGGAGTCGCAATATGACCTTCGCTCGGCTCGGCGACTACATATTATGATACCTACATACCTAACCTAAGGTATAGGTATAATACATATGATACAGGATATAGGATATAGGATAACTAGGATATAGCGAAACATGTTAATACCCCTCCTTTGTCATCATACATACATACATTCTACATTCTACATTCTACCATACATGTAGATAGCTACCATAATACCTATACCCATTAGTACATCATATGTGGTCCGATTATGGCCGAGTTGGCAAATCCAAACGAGATACCTTGCCCAAGTCCTTACGGTTGCCGCTCCTTCGAAGGGCCGACCGCTACTGTTTATGGTATTATATGGGTAGATACTAGACGGAGGAGTAACAGGTGAGCTCGAGTAAGAAGGTCTAGTGGTCTAAAGAATGAAGGAATAGCAGTGGAGGAATTAAAACCGAGAAACTGTCATCAAAGGAATACGCGTCTTCCGGTTGATTACTGGATATGTTTCTAAGCTAGATTTCATAAGTGAGGGGCTCATAGGAAGCTTGTCAAGGCTTTGAGAGATCTGGCTCGCTAGCGGCCGTCAAATAAAATCGCACGAGTCCATTATGACGATCCGTCGCGAGCGGAAACGGTGGCAGAGAGTGGCCCATGTTTGCCCTATGAGAAGGCGATACGGTCCGTTTCTGACATGGGGGAGGTGGACCATGGGTACCCTGCTGAAAAGTCCCAGTCCCTGGCTGGTCAGCCCGTCAATAAGTCCGCTAAGACTAAAAGACTCAGTGGAGAAAAGGAAGGGAAAAAAAAAAGAGAAAGAGAGAGGATGGAGCCAAGCTCTATGAAATACCTCATTATCATTGAACGTATCTTATTCGACTTACGGCACAGGGACTAGAGGGACTGCTGACTTCCAAGACTCTCCGGTCGACTCTAAGTGTGCAATCCTTCCCGCCGAAGTTACCTGTGTAGGTGTCGCGATGGCTCACCTGGTCTGATCCCTAATATTGCGAACCCGGTTTTTGTAGACCATTCATCTCAACTATCGTGAGCCTAAATAAGTTGGCCCGTGGTAAGGGGGTGGAATCTATTCGCTTTATTCGCTGCCGTTGCTTCTATTTTCTATTACACATGAATTACATAGTACACATTGGCTATTCCCTTTCCCATGGCGTGAGATACTATTGATATATTGATATAATTAAAATAACTACCTACATAATACATAGTTACTACATACTACATACTACATACTACATACTACGGATCCGTACATACCTACTTCCATGGTTGATACTAATAATACCTATGTAGTAACTTAATAACTTACAAGCGAAGCTGACAAAGAGTTGGTGAAAAGAAAGACAAGCATTTACGAGCGTTCCTTGGTCCAACTCTAGGTGGGGTTTATTCACCTCTCATAACCACCCTAATAAGAAACAGGGCAGGATTTGGCTATCGTCCCTCTTGTATGTATACGGAGGTATTCATAACTCATCGTCTTTTCATTTTGATGATCCCCATGCCCTAGTTCCACCTCGGGAGCATCCAGTTACCCGCACTCTAGTCAGATTCGGTTGACCTGGACCAGCCAGATCGGCTTGTCCCTCGTCCGTCGTTGCTTGCTCGCTTTCCCTCTCTCTCTCTCCTCCTCCTCCTCTCGCTAACACTAAAACAAACCTCGTGGAGAAAAAGAGAAACATGGCGGGCAGCCACTCGAACGGGAGGACTGGGGATGTGTTATCTAAATGTCTAAGCTAGAGAAAGCCACATGTTTCGTGTCTTGGAAAAACTAAGATTATTAGATAAACTGTTAAAGAAGTCTTTTCTCGATTTTCTCGCATTTCATTCGGCTTGTCTCATAACACTGCTACGTTCTGCGTGTACGGCTTGCCGAGTCCGCCGGGGGTGTGGCGCTTTCAGTTACTTTTTGCGGCCCTTGTCAATCCCGTCCGATGGCCATGGCTGTATTCCCAGGATATAGCTCTCCAGTTTGTGGTTTCTCTGACAATTCAAAAAAAAAAAAAAAAAAAGCACGGTAACATCGTGGTCTCTCCACACACAATGAAGATTCAACCCCGGCTAGCCAGCCCTCTTTAGACGCACATCCACGGGCCTAACTACATTAATTCATATGTACCTTTGAGTAGGGACCCTCGTCCTGTCAGACCTGTCATACCACATCTTATCCCTCGAGGGTTACCACGCACACCCCCCCCTTCTTAGGTATCTCTTGTTATTCAGGGCCCCCGGACCTCGAAGGGCATTCACATCCCTGCTGCTGCATAGACTTACATATGTATCTATGTACGGTCTCCTCCACATGTTCTGTCTAAGCATCTAGCCCTACCTTTCCCGTGCGTCTGATATTCCAATCTTGAAAAGCCTAGCTATGAGACTACGTTGAGGCGTCTTATACTAGGAAGCTAGACCTTTAATCGATGGTCAACTTGGTGGAAGCCAGCTTCTTAGTCCTAAGTTGATTCTGTTTGCTACGCCGTCCACCCTACTACGTAACCCTTCGGCCGTTTCCATTTACACCAAACGGCACAGGCCATCTTTCCCGCTGCTCTTCGATGCACCAAAAGAAAGGAAAAGAGAGAAACCAAGCGGAAACAAGATAACCGGAAAACTAGAACAGCTCAGGAGAAGTGGCCTCGTTGCCTAAAAGGTGTAAAGAGTTGGGCCAACTTGATAGCAACGGTAGGCCCCCAGGTGTGTGTTGGTTGGCCTTTTACACGTCGACTTGTCTGTTGTTGCGCATGGGATACAACACCACCATACAACTAAGCTACCTACGTTGAGAGACTTGCACGTCTCCTCACCCACTCTCTTTATTTTCGGGAGACTTGCCGGACAACCCTTTCCAAGACGCCAACCTTTTTTGCTGCAGCTTATAACGACGCACGAGGACCGTGAGCTCCGCATACAACAAAATACGGCTACTGTTGCCCCTTTAAAGAACCAATTGGTTGACTGAATCTGAATATGCATGCCGTCTTCCGCCCGTAAAAGTCGAGTTGCTAAAAACCGTCCCGGCGGATCTCCACAGTCACCAGCGCCAATCCTACCTCTCTTATAGACTGTTCCTGCGGCTTATTACAGACTATACGTCACAGAATAAACCGGCAGCTAGCCTATATCGTAACAGTCGGACTGTGCCGGCTTATAGCCTACAAATTTCACCAACTATCTAGCATAGGCGGCTCACTTAGACGATAGCCATGCACAATACAATGATCGGCTCAACTGGCATAGACCAGGATAACCACATGGCTCATGACAACTCATATTCGAACGAACAATGGGTCGACATGAGCGCTTATACCCATATGGCCATGACGACTTATCCCGGCGAGTACTATATTCCACCGGCGACTCATGGATTACCATCCGAGTCTATCGGCATGGCTCCTCCACCTATTCCTCACCAGATGCATAATCAGCCGCACAATAACTTTGCAAGTCATCATCTTCCGCATCCGTTGATAATACCAACACAGCAGCCTTCCCAGGTTCCATGGCCCAGTCTCCGGACGAACCCCTCTCAGAGCTACTCAGCACCTCCTGTACCAATCCCGCCGGCATCGGCTCCTGTGAGACAGCCGCCGAGATTGCCAACAATCAATACGTCGCAGCCAAGGAAGACCTTGACGGACGAGGATCGTCGTAATATGTGCCTCTTTCATGAGGACAATCCCCATGCTAAACAGACAGAGATCGGTCAAAAATTTGGTGTTGAGCGAAGGTAAGGTTGATAGGTGTTAAACCAAGTCACAGTCGCTAACGTTATCCTGGCAGCACGGTGTCAAAGGTATTACGAAGGAAGGAACTTTACTTGAATCTAGACAGTTCGGGTGGTTCTCCCGTGAAAAAGACTAAGGGAAAGTCGCCGCCAGATATTGAGCGAGCTCTTGCGAACTGGGTCAGGGGTCAACAGAAGAAGGGAGTTGTGGTTAGCGACACTCAGATGGAAGAAAAGGCGAGAGTCTTTTGTACCGGCTCGGATAGCCCTCTTAAAACCATCACAGCCTCTTGGATCGAAAAGTTTAAGCAGAAGCATAATATTGGACCGGGAAAGTTGATCCGTAGAGCTTCGGAGACTGCGATTCCGGACAACGCTCGACTAGACACTGGCTCTCCCTTATTATCTGCTACACATACACCAGGAGGCATTTCACCGGCTTCACCAACAAACCAAACGGCATCACCGCAAATATCGTCGATAAGCGAGAAATCCGAAGTGAAGGAATCTATCTCAAATGGCTTCATGGACTTCGAGACCAATGGATACAGACACCCACATTCTCAGAGCTCAACATCACTCTCCAGTGCCGTCACAGACCCGCCGAGCTCAACCTTCTCAGCGGGTGCTTTCAGTCCATCATCACAGTTCAACTTTTCTCCAGACCCGAACACAGGCATGTTCAGCGACCGGAATCAAATGCCGCCAGGAGCCTCCGGTTTCCAGCGTCCCCGAAGTCAGACGGTTCCAGACCTTGGGCATCTCGAGTACATCAACCAATCGCAACCTTCGGAGCCGCTGACACCTAAATATAGCCAGGCTGGGACGGCACCCTCTTCTGCTCTGGAATCCCCGACCCACGAGATGTCAGGGTCGTCCTTTAGCGGGCTAGACTCGGCCATCTCCCCACCAACACAGCTACACCATGTAAGTAGCAACAGTAGTTTAGCCGGCAGGTCGAGCTGTTCAGGGACAGCTGGAGTTTCCGGAACTTCGATGGGCTCTTCGCCTAGTTCGCCCACTCAGGAGGATGCCAGGCGAGCCGCGGACACGCTCCTTAGTTTTATGCAGCAAATCAAATCGACTGGTTTGGTCGACCAGAACGACTTTTTAATAGTCTTGGGTCTTACCGAGAAGCTGAGGTTACAACCGCAGCAACAGCATGGAGGACCCCAGGCGAACTCGGCAACCCAGGGTCTTGGTGGTCTATCGAGGATACCGGAAGGAGACACCGAGATGACAACAATCCCTCCACCCATGGTAAAGAACGAGACAGCGATGAGTGTGTGACTACACTGGGGTCCTAACTTTCTAAAGGAAGCAGTTTCGAAGACTCTGTGCGGCATCGAAGCGTGAACTCTCGTGGGTTTTTGTTTCTTTGCTGGATTAGTGTGAGGCTTATACCTCTTACCACTAGAACGACAATAAAACAAACTTGACAGCTCTCGGAATAGCATGGCGAGTCGACGAATAATCTGGAAGGTTTCACGGGCTCTTAAGAGTAGCAAGCCATTCTACACGATGCGACGAATTGGGAGCTACGAAGCTACTGCATCTCATGTCTCTATATCTGCTTTTATATATAATACCTACAACTCCGGAATAATCGAAAAATCGAAAATTCACAACACATCCAACCGACGGTGGGCGCAAGAGGCGGCAGTAGTGTGTCACAATACTCGTACTTCAGCATAGGGAATCGGCGAATCGACAGGACTAAGGAATAGGAACAGGAACAGGAAACCACCAGACTTCCCCGGACAGGCGGATCGGTCGAGGGAACGGAGTAACAGGAAAAGGAAAAAAAAAATATAATCATATCGTCATATCATCAACAAATACCAACATCACCGAGCGTAATTGTATACACTACATTCTCACGAAGCATCATCATCATCAATATCATATCATATCATATACATGCATACATATACCCCCGTCGCCCCACCGCGCGTCTAGCGATATACCCCGAAATCGAGCAATCGAGCAATCGACGAGAGAGAGAGAAAGAGAGAGCAGGGAAGAAGAGAAGGAGAAACCTATTATTATTATTATCATTATTATTACTATTATTATTCGGAGCTATCATTAACCAATCCTCCCCTTGAAGGCAATATTGATTATATACCCCTCACTACGATACCATCATTAACAAATCAACTTCGTCAACTTCATCATTATCATCTATCTGGCCGGCAACAAGACTACGACCCGCTCACGCGAATACCACAAACCGTACTAGTAGTAACAAGGAAAATCTCCCTATTGCGCGTCCCGAAAAAAAAACTTATCCAGGTGTTAATTGTTTTTACCCTTTTTTTCTTCATCTTTATTCTTGCTTCTCGCTTATTTGAAATTCCACATTTTGGTTTTTGGTTTTTTTCCCTTCTTGGACCTAAAAGATTCCCCCGTATATATACGCATGGTTATTTATGTACAGTCCTGCCTGCCTGTCAGACAGCCGCTTCGCCTCGAGCCGTTCGGGCTGAAGAGAGAGAAAAGGGAGAGAGGGGCATGGCGGAGGAGTGATTCGGACGAGGACGAGGGCGAAGATGAGAAGCAACGGGCGGGCGTTCGTTTGCATCGAATAGTATCTTGATGAGGAGACAGAACCACTAGTTTCTATTACGGAAACTACTTGTTGTCTGTGCAAGACAAAGGTGGGGGGGACGTTTGGAGCGAGAAAGGAGAAGGTGTTCTGGTGACTGGTGTTGGTGTGTGTCTTGGTGGAAAGGGAGTTCATTGATTTCGGTTCACTGTTTCTCTACATAGCAGCACTATCAGGCGTTCATCTGGGTTGATTTCTCTAAGTCACTGACACTAATCAAATTTACACTACTCTGACTCTACTTACCTATTTCCCCGGCTTCTAACGTCTGCATTCCATATTAATTTTTTTTTTCATCGTCCCATCATGTATTGCCAAGCGATGTGCCGATGATGAGGCGATCGGAACAAACCACATCACCCTGTATAAGTCTACGCTTACTACTGCTTCCGTACTTCCCGTATACTATTTCCCTGGTGAGTTACAGGTGAGAGACAGGCAGACAGGCATGGTGTTCGTAACCAGTGACCTTTGGGATGGGTTAGGTTACACCCCGCGATGAGAAAGGGATTTGGTTTCGTAGCCCGACTGCCCCAAACAATGACCGAACGTTTATTTTTGGAGTGCCGAACCCAGACGCTACCAGGCTCTTTCACAAGCCAGACGACGAAACAGGAAGAGGCGACGTAAACATCGGTACCTACAGGCAATCTGGGGCGGCTCTGTAACTACTTTCCGGAACTACTTCTGCCTCGGTCCCGTTAGACCTGTCTTGTTGCTTATGTCGTAGAGCTATGTTGCATTGCATGAAGGGGTGCGCTCGATCTGGACAGGGTGGTGCATTAGAACTTTGAAACTCTCCTAAATTTCATTCTGTCTGTTCTAACCACGCGTCGGTTGGTTGGGTATCAATCATTACATTAACTTATTTCATTTACGAGAAACCGAACGTCCGGCTGTCCTCAACTTAGTCGATCTTCCCATAGTTCGATGACCCCCTTTTCGGTTAGTTCGGGCATGAGGCGCACTAGAATGAGTTCTAGAATTCCGTACAATAAGTGCTTGTTACAATAAGGATCCGAGAAGACGTCGAGAACGCCCGTCTCGATTTCGGATAGAATTCTGTTCTCATCTTCGTCTTCGTCCTCGTCCCCGTTACACATGTCAGCCCGCTTGTCGCCACCGGCCTCGGTCGGCCGCACACCGGTGTCTCCAAATTGCCGCTTTGATCTTTCTGGGGTCAACGTTGCATGGCTGTCTCTAACAGATTTGCCATCATCGGTAAGCCGCACGCGTGCAACTTCCTCTCCAGTACGGTTGGCATTATGTGCCGTGTTATAGCTGTCGGCCTTAAACGGTCCGGACCGCGAACTCGCACTCGAAAGAGTGCTAGTAGATCTGGTGGACCAAGGCCAGGTACTGCTACCATAATAAAGCCTACCCACCCTCTTCGGAACAAGCGCCAAAAGCGCGCTAGCGCATCTGCGGCGTAGGGCGCCCAGCTGTTCGTTAGACGAAGGAGGGATTAGGCTGGATGGACCTGGGGCGTTATTGGGGAAGACAGCGCCGCGCACGGCTCGAAGGAGTGGGGGAAGACGGGCAGGATCGAGAATATAGACGTGGATGTAGTGCGAAAAAAGTCTGTGCGAGATCAGTATAATGCAAACCATGTACAAGGAGAACATTAATAGAAGCTTCTAAGGAAAAGTCTTGTAGGGAACGTGGGGGGTAGAGTGGTACAGGTGTGACCACATGCGGGATGTTTCGAGGTAGAATGGGGTACGCGATGTTGCATGGATTGCTGAGACGCGAATTCAAAAGAGAGTCAGATTTCCTAGGGCACTAGGGCAGATAATCAATCTTGATCCGTTCTGTAAGACCTTGCTGCAACCATGGCTTCATGGTCAAGGTCCTGCCGACAAATTGTAGCTGGGTTTGATAATGATTGATAATGCGAAGTCGGTCACGCCTGCTTGTATCAAAACGACAAGCGATGTGAGGCTTCAAGACATCGTGGAGCCTTTGCATGGGGTAGAGAAGCTCGTACAAGGGAGCTAAGAGCTGCATGAGCCCGGGTTGCCCCTGGCCTTATCCGATCGGGGAAGAGGCGCGATGATGACGGATCTTCTGGCACGAATATGCGAGGCCGGAGCCTAACGAGCTCAGATCGATTGAGTTTTTGATAAGAACGGCCATGATGGCGTACGATGCATGGCCCGGCACCAGGGTGTTCGACCGCCACATTTTCTTGCTCTCGGAAAGTATTCGAAGCACCCCGGTCCAAGCTACGCAAGCTAGTGATCACCCCTTGGACGATCACGTTCGACTATATCCTGAGCTGAATATGCTATGTAGTCGTATTTGTTCCATCCATCGAACTAATGGTCGGATACATTACATTATGGCGGGTGAATACGGAAAGCACCAGCATCTAAGTAGGATAGCAGACATTGCTAAAACATCTACCAGACTTGAGAGTATCCGTTATAAAATCCATAACCTAACGCCGTGAGCCGGAGACACGTCCGTGCATGCTTGCGGCACGAAGCGAAAGGGAAAAGAGTTCGTGGCGTTGTACCAAGGATTGATGGATTGTCTAATGGGATCCTTGGTCGAGGGGAGGAAATCCCTGCAAGCCCCAAAGTTGGGCGCGTAAATAAGGCTCGCGGATGGCCAGGTAGGCCTAGTAGATTCAGCCCCGCGCCGTTTATCGTGCAATCGGATGAAGGACATCTAGGTTTACCCGGTCATTGGTCATGATAAAAAAAAAACGACCCTGGAATATTACATAGAATGCTTCATGCTGGGTCCCTAGGGAGTACCGGACTTTGGATGGCTACCTGTTTATCCGGCCATGAAACTAGAGCATTGGAACGTCGCACAGCATCTGCCTCGACTTGAGGTGGCCTTTGCTGAAAATGGTCTGGGCCGTGTAGGCATACTGTACTTTGTCTGGCCGATCTGCCAAGTCGATATCCGATGGTACGAAAATTAAAGTAGTGACGGGGGAGGAGATGTCCGTCATGCGCACTTGCGAGAGAGGTCGTTTCTGAGAGATGAATGGACAAACTCAGATCCAGTGACCTGAAGCGTATGCGAGGTGACGAGATATGTGCTTCTGTGATGAGTGATAGGGGAAGGAAGAAGACTGATTCGCCTACCTATCGATCATCCCGTTAAACCCTGCCAAGTTGCCCGGACCTCTCAGGGCTCCCCATTGCGCCATGGACAAAGTTCCGCTCATCCAGGGCATGCGAGCGTCTATTTCGAGTAAATTCCCAACGCAAGTCCAGATTTTGAAGTCTGCGATGGGAACATTGACTGGTTGTAGACCAACTTCAGAGGTTGGAGGATGGTAGGATTTCTCTCCATAATCATGAGACGTTGGATCTACCTGGCGGATGGTATGGATGGACCTAGGGGGGAGTGTTCGGGATAGCATGATCGTACTGATAATCAGTCGTATCGAGTTTACTATAACGAACCCCCACTGAATTACGGTCCAAAAAACCTGCTGAATGTACAAGCTGCGTTTCCTCGTAATCGGAGGGACTATCCCGCGGCCTGTCTTTAGATTCGAGTCTGGTTCCGTTTCTCCAGGCCCAGATGCCTCTATTGTGTTTCTTCCACGCACTACCCTCGTTAGTATAATCAGACCTTCCCATATAAGCCATGGCTCCGAGAGCTTGTTAATGATGAGATTGCCTATGATAAGTTCCGAGAACAGTTGCCCAACCAGCGTCGTCAGGCACTCGTTCTCCAGATCCTCGGTTGGAAGCAAGAGGGCGAGGACGCCCTGCACTAACAGTTGGCGGTATGCACTTTCGTTATCTTCCTGAATCTGTATGCTACTATGTCCAGATTTAGGAACCGGGGACAGGGCAGGCAGCGGCCAGAGCGAATGGTAGATCTCGCGTGGATTGGCTTCGACTGGTGGTCGAGCTACCGTGTTCTTCGCTACTCGATATGCTGCATGGTATTGTCAGTAATAAAATGATATTATACTAAAAACTGAATATGCCGGCCAACCTCGGATATGTGCGTCTAGCAATTCTGGAAGCTCATCGAATAATAAACTCTCGAGATCTACGTTCCGCAACCTCTGTTCCAATGCGCGGGTACAATGTGCAATAATCTGCACGATTTCTGCGACGAAGGTCTCATCGGGCGTAATCTTGGTGTACCAATTCTGGACGAACTCCTTAACAATGATAGCTATTAGGGCATATAACTGAAGATCTACATCGTTTCGGCTTGTAAGAGGCGGCAGTAGATCTTGGATAGGCGCAGGCGTGCTCCTCCCCCTATCTGCCAGGTGCTGGGCGCAAAGCACACGGCGTATGAATGTAGCGGTAGCCTTATCGGACAAGAAGTCGGACGATACGGGACGGGTGGATCGGCGAGGCGCCGAGGTTGGTGGAGTTGGATGAGGTGAGCTAGAAGGCTTACTGCCAGTGGAGGTAACGGACTCGGGATTGGTGCTCGAAGTTGCTGGCGCCTTTAAGCTCGTCGGAACTGGGCCACCACCTTTAGGTGGGATGGGGCCCGATGGTGCTGCCGTCATCGCCCGGTATAAGGAGTATGGTATGTTCACCGGAATATCGTCATGCTAATTAAATTCAGTGGGAGGGCTATCTCGTTCAATATGTACCCAGTATGCTCAGTGGCATGTAGAAGAGAAATGGCGGCGGTAGAGTGGATTGTGAGCGGTTCGGGTTTAGTAGTTTGGTTGGTAGGTAGTTATCGCGCTAGTTGCTGCCGGTTTACTGCTGCAGGAACGATAATGTTATGTCTTCGCTGTCAATTTCCTTGTCCCATTTTTTTTTTCTTTACATAAGGGACGCTGCATCTGCATCTGCAACTGCGCGGCAGCCTGTGCCACCTGCAATGACGTTAGTCGATTACCTACCTAAGGTACCTAGATTAAGCTACAGCAGCAGAGCGGCGCGCTCCGGACCTTGCATAGGCCTCTTCGCAAGAAGCACAGGCCTTCAGGGTACATCGCCTCCTGACTTGCATCTACATATATCGGTGCAAGGGTAGCCATGTTATGTACCTCTTTTCCTAATTGTTGAGCCTCATTTATATACGAAAGATGTGACATTCTAGAATCTAATTATATTTTTCATTGTTTACTTTTATTTCACTTCATTATAATGATTTTTTATACCTAAATTTAATACAACCCGATTTATTTGCACGGAGTGATGTGATTCCTTATAAACAGGGCCGCAGTCCTCTAGTACCGCGCTTCTATGGTCATATACATTAATAATTGTACAAGGCCACACCTTATTCGGCGCTTTTGGTTGTTGCTTCGTATCTACCAGAATCGTTAGAACCAGGAATATGAACAAGCTTAAGGATATCTCATTGTAGAGTACGTACCTCTTTCCTCGGAACGCCCACACCCCCCAGTTACCACAGCTGATATCTTGTGGATCAAGGTCATTGAGATCCCATCGCAAACTCCTGAAGGTGTTCTCGCCAGGTTCCATGAGCATGTCAAACTCGCCTCCGCAAGTTTTCTTTACCCATTCAATATCTCTGTCCATGTCATACTGCGTGTAGCCGGTTACTATAATAGGGGCCTTTGTCTCAAGGAGTAGAGGTACCGTTTCTGTCCACTCGTGAGAGCTGGCTGGGTGTCCTAATCCTGGATGGAACATGACAAAACAGTCAAAATACGGATCATAGGGATAAAACTGGCCAGTCTTATGGAGAGTATGATAGTAATCCACAATGGTGCTAATTTTCATTGTTGGCCACACCCGGTCTTCTACTATGGCACCGAAGGGATTGGATGGAGTTCGGGGTGGCAATGGGAATTCATCATCTCTGTTGGTCATGCTCTCAGGTCCAATAAAGATAAGGTGAAACTTCCCTCGAGGGAATAGGTGAGCCAACTGTACCCAGACATTCCGAGGAAGAGACGACTCCGCACGAGCCCCGAGGATGAATATTCTCACTGGGGGTGCTTCGGGTCGCAAGCCCTTGACTGTCTCCCCGCTGCCCGTTCTGGGTGGGTGTAAAGTATATCGTAGAGCACTTAAGCTTTTCAAGCCTTCGGCTGTGAGCCTGCCACCGTTCCTAATATTATATGGGCTAAGCTCGTGTAAGATACTACCTATCGTTACCGGGTAGGTAAGTAGCCTCGTAACCTGTCGCATGTTCCGGTCATCGTTGATAGCTTCGAATTGTCTCGTATAGAGAAAGGTATCCCAGTTGGTCATATTTATAGCGGCTTCTTCCATCTGAGGGCCTGCATACTCGAATTCGGGGAAGAATCTCCCCGAGCGAAGATCGTGGTCGTCTTCATTGATCTGTCTCAACGTGTCGCAAATTTGAAGATGAGCCTCATAATCCTCGGCCCAGTGCTTCTCACTACAATAGACGGGAATTCCACAGTCCGGACATTCGAAGTCTACGAGGACTGGTGCTTGCGCACCGGAACCTGTAACACTAGGTGGGGTATTGGTACTGGCCGGATCTCGCGTGGGTTGATGGTCGGGGTGAGGACAGTGGGCGTGTTGCCTTATAAAAGCAGCACGGTGGCGTATTTCGGGAATAGGCGACTTAGTAAAGGAGTGGAAAAGGTCGTCAGGGCGGAGGACCGGAGGTTTCGATTGGTTCTCGTATGTTGCAGCTGATCCTAGAGCAACTGCATCGTCCTCGACTGTTTTTGACTGCCGGCCAAATAGAGATACTGGTCTTGAGAGACAATTGCTAGCTTCAGCGGACGGGACGGGACGTCGCGAATGTATAATCGGACTGGGAGAGCAAGCCTTTTGTAATGAGCGTGAATATGTAGCTTTAGAGAATGACCTTGTCATAGGCGGACGAGCTGTGTTGGCTGCGGAGAGCCTTATACATGTCCGGCAAGTATTAGAGACTACCAGGCGCATTGAAGGCTCCATTGTTAGAGGTTCCTTGGTAATGGCCCATACAATGGTGGTTATGAATTTGCGACTGGATAGCTCTAAGCTCAAGGAATATATGGTATGAAAGATGCATCTATTTTCATGTACCTTTGTACCTATAGTGGGATGTTTCCACTCCACACTCAAACTTGTGTATGTATCTATGTACCTTGTGCAAGAGCACTTGCAAGAGGTCCACTGCAGGTGCGCGCATATGCCCGTGCAGTGAGCCACGTGGATAAAGGTTAATCCGATTAATCCGTCTTAAGACCCACAAGAGCAAGAGCTCCATTTAACAAACGGGTCAACTTATTGGCGAACTGAATATTACTTAGTGCCTCCAATCAAGTTCTTCAGCTTGATTGAAGCTCCATCAACTTCAAAGAAAAACTTTGGAGCTTCCTTTACAGGAGGTAACTTAGTTGTCTAAATCAGCTTCATACTATAACCAAGAGGAGATAGAGAGATTAGAAGAGTCGCGCAGGCTTTCTGCGCATCTCCTGCGAAGATGGCGACTACTTCTAATATGTTTCTTTACTCTTTGACTATCCAGCCTCCCACCACAATTACTCAAGCTATTCTCGGTCAATTCTCTGGCACCAAAGAGCAACAAATCATCACAGCCTCAGGATCGCGACTCACGCTACTACGTCCCGAACCATCCCAAGGAAAGGTTGTTACCCTTCTGTCTCACGACGTTTTTGGCATCATCAGGTCCATTGCTGCCTTTCGCTTGGCGGGAAGTAATAAGGGTAAGTCTTATATCCGCCCCTTACTTGTGAGGCTTCACTTAGTGATTTTTGAAGCTGGGTCGATAGAAACATTCGAATTGCCGCCTCGACATATGGTGCGGTATCTCGACCCTCGAGGAATTCTTGTTTGGCTAGAGCTTTGCTAACCTTTCTCCTCACAGACTACATAATACTTGCCACTGATTCGGGACGCATTGCAATAATCGAGTATATCCCTCAACACAATCGTTTCAAGCAACAGAAGCTCGAAACTTTTGGAAAGTCTGGTGTGCGTCGGGTCGTTCCTGGACAGTATCTAGCCTGTGATCCCAAGGGACGTGCCTGTCTCATCGCGTCGATCGAAAAGAACAAGTTGGTCTATGTCCTGAACCGAAATGCTCAGGCAGAGCTTACTATTTCTTCGCCCTTAGAGGCGCACAAGCCGGGAACGATTGTGCTCTCGATGGTCGCTTTAGATGTCGGTTACGCCAACCCAGTATTTGCAGCGTTGGAGGTTGATTACTCTGAAGCAGACCAAGACCCTTCAGGCCAAGCTCTCACTGAGGTCGAGACGCAGTTAGTCTACTACGAACTAGACCTAGGGTTAAATCATGTTGTCAGAAAATGGCACGAACCAGTTGATCCTACTGCGTCTATACTGTTCCAAGTTCCCGGCGGTAATGACGGACCTAGTGGTGTTCTAGTCTGTGGGGAAGAGAATGTCACATATAGGCACTCTAACCAGGAAGCATTTCGTGTGCCGATTCCCAGAAGAAAAGGCGCAACAGAAGATCCTCAACGAAAGCGTTCAATCGTCTCCGGTGTCATGCACAAACTAAAGGGAAATGCAGGCGCATTCTTTTTTCTCCTACAAACGGAGGATGGTGACCTTTTCAAGGTTACTATTGACATGGCGGAAGATGATGATGGTAATGCAACTGGAGAAGTACGAAGGCTCAAAATTAAGTATTTCGACACCGTCCCGGTCTCTACAAACCTCTGCATTCTGAAAAGCGGTTTCTTGTTTGTTGCTAGCGAATTCGGGAACCACCACTTCTACCAGTTCGAAAAGCTAGGCGATGATGATGATGAGTTGGAGTTCACCAGCGACGCCTTCCCGACAGACCCACAGGCATCATACAATCCCGCCTATTTCTACCCTAGGCCGGCTGAAAATCTAAGTCTGGTTGAGAGTATCGATTCAATGAATCCCCTTGTTGATTGCAAGGTAGCCAACTTGACTGGTGATGATGCACCACAAATTTACTCTATCTGCGGAAATGGTGCGCGGAGCACGTTTAGGACTCTAAAGCATGGTCTAGAGGTCAATGAAATCGTAGCCTCGGAGCTTCCAGGTGTTCCATCTGCTGTTTGGACTACCAAGCTTAACAGAGACGACCAATACGATGCTTACATTGTCCTCTCGTTTAGTAACGGTACTTTGGTGCTTAGCATTGGCGAGACTGTAGAGGAGGTAACCGATACCGGTTTCCTCTCGACCGTTTCAACGTTGGCCGTCCAGCAACTTGGCGATGACGGCCTCGTTCAGGTACATCCCAAAGGTATCCGGCATATCGTTCGAGGGCGAGTGAATGAATGGGAAGCGCCGCAACATCGATCAATTGTTGCTGCTTCCACTAATGAGCGACAGGTTGCTGTTGCATTAAGCTCGGGTGAAATTGTCTATTTCGAGATGGCTGATGATGGGTCCTTGGCTGAATATGACGAAAAGAAAGAGATGTTCGGGACTGTTACCTGCCTAAGTTTGGGCGAGGTTCCCGAAGGTCGTTTGCGAAGTTCATTCCTTGCTGTTGGGTGTGATGACTGCACCGTCCGAATCCTTAGTCTGGACCTGGAGTCCACCCTCGAGAGCAAATCTGTGCAGGCGCTGACCGCTGCCCCGTCCTCGCTTTCTATAATGTCTATGGAGGACTCGGCATCAGGCGGTTCAACCTTATACCTGCACATTGGCTTGCATTCGGGTGTCTATTTACGGACGGTTCTAGATGAGGTGACTGGAGAATTGACTGATACCCGTCAGAAATTCCTTGGGCCTAAAGCTGTACGACTCTTCCAGACCTCAGTTCAAGGCCGTACCTGTGTCCTAGCTCTCAGCTCGAGAACTTGGTTGGGCTACTCGGACCCAATCACAAAGGGTTTTATGATGACCCCTCTAGATTACAGCGATCTGGAATGGGGATGGAATTTCAGTAGCGAGCAGTGCGAAGAAGGCATGGTGGGCATTCAGGGCCAAAATCTTAAGTAAGTGATTTTTCATATTCTATTCAAGATGAAGAATGATGAGAAACTGGATCCGATGCCTCGGCGATGAGGTTTTTACGCATACCAATTGTTCCTACTGAACTTCATAAATTTCCTACCCAAATATGAGATCTAGGAAAATATGTAAGATGCTAACGGTAGTAGAATATTTTCTATCGACAGGTTGGGGGACACTCTACTACAACAATCGATACCACTTACCTATACCCCAAGACGTCTCGCTAAACACCCCGATCAGCCCTATTTCTATACTATCGAATCTGACAATAACACGTTGCCACCTGAGCTACGTGCCCAACTCCTGGCTGACCCTGGTGTCGTCAATGGCGACGCCGCCGTACTGCCACCCGAGGAGTTCGGATATCCCAGAGGCCGTGGCAGATGGGCGTCTTGTATTAGTGTCGTGGATCCGTTAACGGAGAAGCGAGTTCTGCAAACGCTAGAATTAACTGAGAACGAAGCTGCCGTTAGCATGGCAACAGTATCATTTGCGAGTCAGGACAACGAGACGTTCCTCGTGGTTGGTACTGGGAAAGACTTAATTGTCAGTCCCCGTCAGTTTAGCGCAGGGTATATACATGTCTACAGATTCCGTGACAACGGCAAAGAGATCGAATTCATTCATAAGACCAAGGTAGAAGAGCCACCCATGGCACTGGTGCAATTCCAAGGTCGACTGCTGGCAGGAATTGGCAAAACCCTTCGTGCCTACGACCTTGGGCTTCGCCAACTTCTTCGAAAAGCGCAGGCTGAGGTTGCACCGCAGCTCATTGTCTCCCTACAAACTCAAGGCAGTCGTATTATCGTCGGTGACGTTCAGCAAGGAGTGACGTACGTCGTATACAAATACGAGAGTAATAAACTGATACCGTTTGCTGACGACACAATACCACGCTGGACAAACTGTACAGCTATGGTAGATTATGAGTCAGTTGCTGGTGGAGATAAATTCGGAAACATCTGGATTGTACGATGTCCACAAAAAGCAAGTGAAGAGGCCGACGAAGACGGAACCGGTGCGCATCTACAGCATGCCAGGGAATATTTGCATGGCGTGAACCACCGCTTGAGTCTCATGGCCCACTTCTACACGCAGGATGTGCCTACTAGTATAAGCAAGACCAATCTGGTGGTGGGTGGACAAGATGTACTTCTCTGGAGCGGGATACAAGGGACTATTGGCGTATTTATCCCTTTTGTTAGTCGAGAGGATGCGGATTTCTTCCAGAGCCTTGAATCGCACATGCGAAGTGAGGACCCACCTCTTGCCGGAAGAGATCACCTTATATACAGGGGTTACTATGCTCCCGTCAAAGGCGTTATTGATGGCGACCTATGTGAAAGATTCACGTTGCTCCCTAATGATAAGAAGCAAATGATTGCAGGAGAGCTGGATCGTTCGGTCCGAGAGATCGAGAGAAAGTTATCCGTAAGTGAAATCCACTAAACCCTTCTAACCTTGAATTGAATACCCAAGCTTACACTTAACTAGGACGTACGAACTCGGTCGGCATTTTGATAAGGGAAGGCTGGGCAATGCAATGGCGCCTGGAGTAATAAGGAGCACACTGTATTTACGAAATGAATTTCTCGAATCCGGATAGCGGAACACTCAATTAAATGGTTAGTATATCCATTTAAACCTACAAACTTGCTCCTAGTACCCTGAAGGGCACGAGGTTGTGTATAAAACTTATCCCTATATAATCCAGAAGCACCAAAAATTTAAATACAAGCCATATTTACCTTTATTTATCTATCCTCTACGCCCCCTCCAATACGAGGTCCTATTGGCTGGTCTTGCAATCCCTTTACCTCTTCCCGCTGCCTCAACTGGGTGTGTCTGTTCCCACTCTTCATCGGCGAAGAAGGCTTCGGTTGCCATTTCGAGATCATAGTCGGCCTGCTCCAAGTAAAGGACGGCAACGTCGTATTCATGGACCTTACACGTCACCATCCACCGCCGGATCTTAGATTTTCGCGCCTCTTCTTCTTCACCCTCAATAGGTCGTGGTGACAAGCTCACGCCACCCTTATAGTACTCTCCAGGTATGAGTACAGTCCGTCGCCCTAGAATTAGGTGATCACTTGTGATATTATTGGCGCGCCTAAGAACCGATGCAGGGACACCGTATCGGAGAGAAAGAGAAGAAATAGTATCATGCTCATGGTTTAAGAAGTGTAGAATATCTTCTACCGGCTTGTCGGAAGAACTAAAAGAGAGGGACTTCTCGTCTAATTGGGTTGGGATTTCTTGTGTTGCGGACGGCGCATAGGGCGGTGGTGCAGCTAATGTGTTTTTTGATGAACCAGTTGCGACTGAAGATTCGTATGAAGGAGGGTCTTTTAGACCTGGCGGGAGTTTTGTGTCTATTAACGAAATTTGACAATAGGGACAATAAGTATTAAAGCGAGGATTATTCTACTCGCGATGGTCAGTTTATCTAGAAATGTCGGACTTACAAGGTAGAGAGATGGGATCAACGCACACTACGACAGTTGCCACATATTACCCTTTGGCAACACTCTAACAGACGATCTTTTGGTAGAGGCTTCTCCGATTCGTTATATCGTGGAATGTCGCAAAGGAGAGTTGCGCAGGTGCAGCAAGACTCGACAGAGGTTGTAATAGGTTTTGCGAAAGTCATGATGCCTAAATTGAGTAATAATAGTTATAATATAATACTACCTAGGTTAGGTAGGTATACGAGAGTATTTTAAGGGATGCTAGATGTGATACTCGATGTAATAATTATGACTTTTGATACATGTACATATGAAAGGTCAAATGCTTCATTACTCGTGCTAAGATGCGAAGGTGGCGTGCCAGTGATAGGCCAGTGATAAGGAGCAGGTGCCTTTCCGCGTATGACGTTCTGCTTATCGATAAAAATAAATATGTACGAAGTAAGTCGGAGATTAAAAGGCTCTAGCTCGGGTGGGGTTTAACGCTTAGGTACGCTACCTACCTCCTAGGAAAGGTAAATTGACTGGTTCAAATCCACCTTAACGTTTCTGATGTCAGCGGTAAGTAGCGCTCTGTGACCCAAGAACTGTTCTTTAATGGTCATTAATCATGTTGCCTACCAAATTGATTTATGTCACCCCTTAAAGCTACCTAAATATGGCATTGTCTACAAAGTAGATGTTCTCGAAATCGAAGGGATAAATTAGCCACGAGGGCCATCCTGTAAAGCCCATTATATAACAATTGAGCGGCAAACGTCAGTTAAGCGACAAAGGCGCATCCCCTATGCAGCTTTAGATCAACGAGGACCTGAAACTATCGATTAGTTTCCTTCCCTTACGAATCGTCCGAAGTTGTACACAACATAAACGGTAAACGATATTTAAGTAATACATCATACATCGATAGCTTCAAATGCAATAGTAGTACACGGTCCTTAACCTTCGCTCGGAGCTTTAGTCAAAATGGCCACTGCTGCCATCACAGCGCCATCCTCTGTGGCACCTCCTCCTCCTCCCAAACCTCCGAGCCCATCGGTTCCTGTTATCCTCCACGAAGCCGGACTCGATTCCCCTTCATTCCGAGCTTCTGCTCTATATTTTGCCGAACAAGTAGATGCGATAGAACGATGGTTAGAAGGCTATGTTAGGACGACAGCTAAACTATCCCACGAGTTGCTCGGCGTGGAGGAAACCATAAATAACTATTTGAGCAAGATCATTCCGCCCCCAAATATCAATGTGGTCGATAACGACTATGCCGCACTGGCACTTAAAAGGTTCAGTGAGGGATCGAGGGAGTGGTGGGTGCAAGTCTTGAATGCTGCTAGGAAAATGGACACGATGTCGGTCGAGCCGATTCGAGCATTTCTCCAAAGCGATTTACGAAATTTCAAGGAGGCCAGAAGAGCTTTAGAACAAACACAGAAGGTCTTTGATACTACTTTGGCTCGGTACGTAAGTCAGTCTAAGACGAAGGAACCCTCTTCGCTGCGAGAAGACGCCTTTTCCGTATACGAGACTCGTAAGGCTTATCTGAAGGCATCCATGGACTTCTGCTTCTTCGCGCCTCAATTCCGCCTTAATCTTGACAAGCTACTCGTGCGAATATCTTGCGACCTCTGGCGCGATATGAAGAGGTCCCGAGACGCTGCAGGAAGCTTTGGGAAATATGGTCACGAGATGGATCGCGTGAGAGGATGGTCAAAGGAGATGGAACTATCAGAGCCCGTTTTTAAACGCGAACTACAGATATCGCGGCGCGATATTGGAGAGACTACTCTAGCAGCATTTAAACCGTCACGAGAGATTGACGACTATAGCGCATCGACCGTGCCATTCCTAGGATCTAGGGGGCCTATGAACGTCTCTACGGCCGACCAGTCCGCTGCGATAATGGAAAAACAAGGCTGGCTGTTCCTACGGACTATAACAGGAAAGCCATCTCGAACGAACTGGATTCGAAGATGGTATTACTGCCGAGAAGGTATCTTTGGCTGGCTCGTAAACAGCCCTCAGGGTGTCTTGCAAGGCGACGAGATCGGTGTCCTTCTATGCAATGCGAAGCCCGCCGTGGGAGAGGAACGTCGGTTCTGCTTTGAGGTGAAAACCAAGAACCAGACACTACTACTCCAAGCCGAGACGCAAGCTCAATTAATAGAGTGGCTCGAGGTTTTCGAAGTCGCAAAGAAGAGGGCTTTCGAAGCAAGCGTTACTAGGGATAGCTCGTCTCTTCCAGGTGGTGTTGATCCAGCCTTCTCTATTACACCACCTTCGCTTCCGGAATTCTCGGCCAAATCTTTGGATGCCCAGATTGATGATGGGGCAGGTGCCGAGCGATCTGGAACTCTACCAGCTCCTGAGGTTGGACTAGTACCCCGGCCAAGCTTTGATATCACAACAGCTCCCCCAAAGCGGTCAGTGACGTCGCTAGCCCGTGAGGAAGGGGAGAGCGGTCGAGAACACGCAGCCAGGATAATGCAGAAGCTCGATCTTCATCGGAAAGCTACTTTCACCTCAAGCATGGATACAGGGCCATTGTCATCACCAGCGCCGACAGGGGGTATAGCTAGTCTAATATCCGCCAGTCACGGTCTACTACCAGGTTATCCTCCCACCGCCTCCAAACAACAGCAACCAGGACTCGTCTTACCGGGTCCCGAATCGCAACCTGGTAGTCTTGCACCTCCGACACTAGCGAAGCCACCGGCAACGACCCATCTTAGTAAGACGGCTGTTGTGTATAGCGGCGACAGAGTACTGAATACGAATGCATGGCATACCTTGCCGACAGCGATAGTAGCTAATTATTGGGGAAGCAATACCTGGGGTCATGAGTACTCGCCAAAGATCCCCCGAACCGACAAGGATATCGACGATCCATTTGGTCCAAACTCGCCCTCGATTAAGATGACTACACTCGGCGAGGGTGAAGAGTTCAGAAGCCCGGTTTCGTCACATAAGAAGGCTATTAGCATGGATGCTAAGATAAGCCATCCAAAGATCGTCTTACCCGCTCCAGAAAAATCACTGCCGGAGACTTTCTCTCCTGATTATCCCATAGAACTGAAGACCAACTCAGCACAGTTCAGGCTACTTTTCCCGAGCGTACCATTAGATGAAAAGCTAGTCTTAGTCTTCAGAGCTTCTTGGACTAGCACTTCGGAAGCTGACCGTGACGTGCCCCAGATGGCTGGCAACGGGCGAATCTACGTTACTCCAGATAATATGTACTTCTACGGCCATCAAATGGGCTTCGTCATAACGTATACCATTAACCTCGACACCATTACAGAAGTAACAGCTGCTCCCGGCAGGGATTGCGATTTTATTTTTCTTCATTTGAATCAGGGTACTGACGACATTGGATACACCCGAATAACAATAAAAATATTCCTCGAAGATCTTGATCTCTTACACGCGCGTCTGAACCTTCTCGTTGACGACCTGCAAGCTGAAGAGCCCATGGACCTGCCTGAGCTCATCAGAGCGCTCATCAGTTTGGAGAAGGAAGAAACGGACAGAAGAAGTCCCAGCGTGGATAGTTGGGAAGAAATTTCAGAGCATACTCCTATCGATGATGGTACTGCCGGTGGTAGAGCTATCAGTCCCCGGTATCACGACTCCGCTTACAACTCTCGACGCAGAGGTGCAAGAAAGACTCTTCCTAAGTTCCAGCTCCCAACCCATCCAGTAATCTACGAGCCCGAAGATATGCAGAAGAAGGTTGCCGAGCGGAACTTCGAGATTAGCGCTAAAGCATGCTTCCACGTCTTGTTCGGAGATAAGAGCTTCGTCTTTCCTAAGCTCTACTTTGAGCGAAGGGCCCAACATATCGCTCAAGGCCCTTGGAAATTAAACGAGGCGGGAAATATGCATAGGCAATTTCGGTTTAGCGTCAACTATACTACGAGGTTAGGTCGGTCAAGGGCCGAAGAAGTCACTGATGAGCAAACAATCGAATTGTTCAGCGACCATGTCACATACGTGGTTACGCATGTTAAAAGCCCTTGGCATCTACCTCACGCACATAGTTTTAAGTTGGTCACCAAGATTGTCATCACTCATATCGCCAAGTCAAAATGTAAGCTCGCCATCTTTACGAAGGTGGTGTGGTCAAAACCACCAGCTCTTGCCAAGAACCTAGTCGAACGGCAAGCGCTTGACGACGCTAGCCAAGATGCCGAAGATATCGCTGAAGTTGCGACGGATCAAGTGCGAAAACTTGGGCATCACAGCCGCACAAAGAGGGCTATCCAGGTCTACGGACATATAGGCCTACAAACACAGGTTGTAGTCTTCACGCCTGGAGACAGCGGCACGTCGAGAAAGCCGCAAATCAACCCGCGCACGTTGGGTTCGATGCTGTTAGAAACCATTAGGTCCTTCGCCGACAGTGTTGCATCGTCGCTGATGATGTGGACGTTTGCAGCTATAAAGAAGTTATGGGATATAGTATCAGCAGAGCGGCTTATCCTAGCCTTGCTCGGGTTTAGCATTATTACGAATGTAGTAATTTCATCCCAAAGCACCTCAACATGGTGGTCCGAACGGCGCGCGGCCAGCTTCATGAACCGAGTCGGCGTGAGCCCGAACATCGTGATGAGCAAAGCAATCTACATAGCGGACCTAGACGAAGCGGCGAGAAGCTCCAGGGCCCTCCCCGCGTGGCCGCAGGACAGCTACTGCTACTCGACATTCCAGTCCATCGCTAACAGCAGCGACGCGGACGCGCCGTACGAGTACGCGGGGTCATCGTTATCATGGAGCTCGAGCCGCGCGACGGCGCGCCGACTGCGCCAGACAAGACAGAAGTTAGGCGCGTACCGGCACGACTTACTAGTTGCGATGCGCACGGTCAACAGCGTGGAACGCGAGATGATGCACGCCGAGTGGGAGAACTGGCTACTGGACGAGAACCACCGCTGCGAGCAGGTGGAAATCGTGCTCGCAGCGTGGAACGACTCGGCGGATGGGGGGAGGCTCAAGGGGGAGATCGCGCAGAAGGTTCTGCATAGTAATATTGGAGATGCCAAGGACAAAGATAAAGACGAAGCGAAAAGAAGAAATTTGCAGAGGTGGCATGAGGAATACTGCGGTAGTTGCAGGGCGGATCGTAAGGCATTGCTCGAGGAGAGGGAAAGCCTGAGCTTGGCTGCGGCGGTGTTGTAGATAAGAAAGGAGAGGAATAAATTGGAAGTAGATGACATAGTGAGGTGAAGCGGGTTGTGGATAGAGGCTCCTCACGGAGCAAGGCGAGCAAGCATACAAACAAGTACCTTAGTTAATTGGAGGAGAAGAGTGGCATGTACCATATTATATGGAGGGAGCATTACTGGGTATCATCACTTGGGATTGTTTAGTAGAAGTCTAGGTTGGAAATACGAATACCCGTGAGCGTAATATATAATATATATGATATGCTATTAGGTTTGAATAGAAAATAGGCTTTACGAGTGATTTTGGGTGTTTGATAAAAAAAAAACCGTACCTAAGCTTGGTTGGAATCTATTAAATTTCTACCTGCACGTTCTAGGATGAAGTAATAAAAATAAAATAAAAATTCGCATAGAGTATTTATTACCTACCATTGTAGGTGAGCAGGTATTTAAATAAAAATGCAAAAAGATGAGTGCTCAGTATGAGGATTGAACTCATGACCTTCGCATATACTTGATATTTCCAATGTTGGAGATATTAGTACGACGCTCTAACCAGCTGAGCTAACCGAGCTTGAAGGTTCCTTTTGTAAAGTAAAATATATCCCAAAAGCCGGTTTAGGGAAAATTTTGGAGATTACGTAAGGTCATCATTCTAACTCCCCTTCATTCCATTCTCCCCCCGCAGCGGCCGATTAAAGCGTTATTCGCAGTTAATACTATTACTGTTAAAAGATATTTAGGGGATTTACTGGACTTGGTGATGGGATTGAAAATCGTATATACGTAACTAGTAATTTCCTTATATTTTATTATTCGGGTCTTCTATTCAACATATTCATGTTAATTTAGGCATCATTACTGATTAGCGACGGACAACTTCCGCTAAAAGAGAAAAGAGGCATACTTGCAGACACACCCGCTATCGCTATCGCTACCATGTTCCTTTAGCCCCGGTGGCCGGCGCCGTGTATATGCGCTGCCTAGTATGTCGCCTCGGCTTTGGCTAGAGATATGCGGTCTGCTTCCTGTAACTTGAAGTGGTCGATGAGATTGTCGAGCTCCTAGATAAAGAGTCAAGTAGTGAATCACGGGGTGGTTACTCTATAGCCCTTGCTTCCCGCTTGCTTAGCTTGGATATCTCTGGCTAATAGATGATATGCCTTAGTTTAAGAGCTACTATTATGTACTCGACGATTTAGTAATCTCTATTTACTTAAATTGTCACTATATATTAAGGGGTGTTAGGTAAGATATCAAGATATTCTCCTCTGAAGATCGTTGGTTAATAACTAAGGTCTACCAGAGAGCATTTATAAAAGTTATAACTAACTGGCCTCTTATGTATATTCTTAGTGTCTATTAGCATTAGGTGAGTTTACGTTAAGTATATCCATCCTTACTAGTAACCTATATCCCATAATCAGAGTATCATAATTTTCTGTCAAGAGCATTGAGTTCCAGGCCCCTGAGATATTTCGAATAAAGAATTTCCAGCTACGAGTGATCTAGGGTTTATAGTCGTGTTTCCACTTCTTACTTTAATCACCATTGTACTTTAAGCCAATGTTAATACCAATGCTAATAGATTTGAAAATAGAAACTATTGAAGCTTAAACTTTATAATGCGCTACAAGCGTGTTTGAAGTAATGCGTCGAGTACACACTAAAGTCTGTCGAATACGAAGAGTGGGTCTGTCTATACGAAAAGAACGAAGAGAACAACAGTACCTAATGTTTATAAAACAAACACAAACCCTAATGATCCATTTCCTCTGTGTCTTTGGTACTTTAACGGTGTGATGGGTAAAATTAATTTACGACTTATATAATTGACTTATATAATTAATACAATTGGTCATTTCCTTGTATCGCTTCCTCCTGCCTGGAGAGCCGTAAATCGGCTTGAAGGCTTCCTAATGCAATATCGACCTAACCTAGCGTACATAGGTATGTCTACCTGGTAGTCTAATATAGCACCTTGGTTAAACCGGGCTAATTCTAGGGCCTACCTCATAACTGGGGTAACACTACTGACTGCATCCTTATGTAATAATAGATAACAATACTACATACATATACATGTAAAGATCAAGTTAAAAAATAATTCAGGGGTCGAGGCTGTACATTACCTATGGATAACACGTGTGACGTCAAGGATATTGGAGCTCAGCCTCTCCATAGTTACACTTTTCATCTTTCATCTTTCATCTCAACCCTCGCATTCGCATTTCACCTAACCCCCTAATTCAAGCCAATTCCTTTTTAATAATTCCTATGAATTAACATTGTTTCTTCTTGTAATTCTTGTACTTAGCGACTGTTGGCTTTTGGACATAGAATGGAATCAATAACTTTACAATAGCCACGATTGCTTTTAAGTCCAAGTATTTCCTTTATAGTTCGTTTGGGGGTATAGGTAATTATGCCGAACGCCCACGAGGCCTTCAAGGCTCTCGGCCCTATCAATTGGGATGACGTTCCTCAGGATCAGCTTGATACTTTCCTCAAAGACGCATTCACCGACGCCCAATGCATAGTCGATTCTATCCCGGTATCCTCCTCGTCCCTGCAACATATGGGCTTGCCGCGGTCGGCCACTGACACGAATCTTACCTCATTACCCAACAGAGACTCCAACTTATCAGACCGTTCGTCGCAGCTGAGAAAAGAATGGAAAGAATGCAAGATTAACCCTCGTGAAAATCCGCTGGGATTGGATGTTTATAAACTGGCTGCTAAGGATGGAAAGGGTGCTTGGTTTGCTAGACGTAGCGTCCACGATAATTTCACCTTTGAGAAATGGAAATTGGGATTAGAAAAGGAATTTGATGAGAGTTTAAAAGTAGAAGGGGGACCTGGTGCGGGGAGCATTAGAGGGATTGGTGCTGATAGAAAGATCGTCAACCAAACTGTTGAAGGCATCGGCAAGATGCGGGGTATGTCTACCATCACACGTCTCACACATCAAGGCACGATAGAGCTAACCAATTACTTTAGTCTATCAACTATCAGCTCAATTCCCTGGACCAACAGCACCTCGGGACTTTATAGGTCTCCTACTAAGCTCCGAGTCGATCACCGATGCTCCTGGTACGCCTAGACACTTCATGCTTGTCTCGAAACCGTGCGTTCATCCAGAATGTCCGCCACGGCAGGGCTATATTCGAGGCCAGTATGAGTCTGTCGAGTTTGTCCGTGAAATTCGAGTAGAAAAGCCTTTACGGAAAACCCGATCATCAATAGACCTACCTAATGACGAGGTTGCGGCAATGATGCGGAAAACTACCGAAAACCTTAGCAGAGAAGCCACTGTCCGTTCAGCCCGCCAAGCAGCCGAGCCTACTAACAGTGAGGGTGGAAGAAAACGAGGTAAGACTATTGGGACTGCCGATGTTGGTGACGATCGAGAAGAGGACGACCACTACGAGACCGTGATCGAATGGTTAATGGTTACTCGAAGCGATCCGGGTGGTAGTGTCCCGCGATTCATGATTGAAAGGGGGACACCGCCAGGTATTGCCGGCGATGCCAACAAATTAGTCAAATGGATCTCATCTAAGTCTATTGACGACTTTGCCGAATCCGAATCCGAACCCGACAATGAAGGCACGAAACCTGAACATGAGATATTCAATGCCGAGCGAGTAGATTCTGAGAAAACGGTCACGGCGAGTTCTATATTAAATACCACTCACCACTCGAAGGCTCCACGACCATCAGCTACTAAACAGATAGAAGAGATTGAGGAACAGCCTGGCTCTGTGGGGGTTTACGGCATGATAGCAAATGCCTTAAATGCAGCAGCTTCTGCAGCAGCCTCACGCATCCCTAATCCCTTCGGTCCAGTTAACAGTGAAGATGCAGACACGTCGGACCTCGCATCTGATAATCGGGACGACGATTCGTCTTCCATCCACAGCTTCCATAGTCTAGAAGGCGAGGGAATAGCCGAACTTGACAATGCATCACAAAAGCCAGGGGAAAGTTCAACCCAGCTTACACCATCGGTCACTAATGGTGGCGCGGAATCCACAGTCTCAAGCGAATCGCTCACGACCCGCTCGGCAGCGCTGTCGCACCACGAGAAAGAGCTTAAGAAACTTGAGGAGCGCAAGCGAAAGACAGAGGAGAAGCTGCGGCGGGCCCAAGAGCGGTCGCTCGCTAAGCGCGGCAATGGAGACACGGAATCCCAGCGTGAAGAAGCCGCGATACAAAAGCTGCGCGAAAAGCACGAGCGCGAGATAGCAAAGCAGCAAGAGAAGTACCAGCGAGAAATAACGAAACTAGAAGCAAAGCGCGCGAGCGAACAGAAGAAGGCCGAGGAACGCCGGCGTAAGATGCTCGAGCGCGAGGAAAAGACTACCCTGGCTATGGAACTAGATAAGGTGCGAGCCGAGCGCGATATCGCGCATAAGCAGATGGAGATCCTGAAGGAACAGATCGGCGAACTGCAAGCCCAGAACACAAGGCTAGTCGCGCGCCTAGGTCGCGAGGGCATTAACGTAGATGATAGCGACGGCTCGAGTTCCTTTGGCGGGATCAAGAGGTCCATGACGGATCAGATGTCGGATCGAGATTCCAGGCGCGAGAGTACACTACGTTTATAGGCCGGGCGGGATGTCGCCCCCATGAGCTGTCTTTATATTTTGGGTGAGGAGAGTTGCATTGTGCACAAGAGCTGATTTAGCTATACATGGCATAACATACCCATGATTGTGGGGGAGGATAGAATCTGCATATACTACCTAGCCTACGTACAACACAAACGGAGGCAAACCGCACATAATACCAACAAGACAAGTTTGAATATCGGCGGTGAGGATGGCGATCGAGCTATTTGTAATTCTCGGGCAGGCTATCTTGGTTACTATTACTATTACCACTAGCCTGCTTGGAGATCTTACGACATAAGACGAGTTTATGAGTATATGAGGGAGTCATTCGGGCGTTAGTATCGCATCGTAGTGTGTTGCATATTTAGAGTAGCGAATAGCAAGCAAGCAAACAAAGTTTGGTTAGACATCGAGAATAGCAGAATAGTTGTCGCAGCGAATAGATAGTGAGAATTTAGGTTGAATTTGCGTGAATGCGTGTATACTCTATATTAGGCATATACATACCATACCCCTTTTCCAATATAGCTTAGCTACCTAAAGTATCACCCATCCAACCCGGCACACATACCAAGCAACAGTCCACTTACCTCCGTCCGCCAACCCTCATCCCTAAAACGCCTTACCGCGTCACCAATCTGTTCATCTCCAGCTGCCGCAAGCGCAGTGCCGCTAACCAGGATCCGCGCGCAAATAGCAAAGACCTCAGGCTTCGAAGTCCAGCCTAGCGGGCCGTCTGTGCTCTCTGCAGCCGCGATGCGTGATAGTGTTTCAAGGCCGGAGAGACACCATTGCGACAGCGCTGCTGTTGCTTCGGAGGAAGATTGCTGAGGGAGAGACGAGAAGATGTTGATCCACCGGTGAGCTTCCCGTACCTCGTCCACGTACAGGTTCTGCTCCTCGACGACAAACAGCGAGTCGTCGAAGCGCATGGCTTCTGTGAGTTGACTCTCGGCTGGGATCCAGCCTTCCAGGAGTCGATTGGCGGTCGAGGGTTTAATGCTGGTATGGCCTTGTTCTGGTGGCACACGGGAAGATGAGGGTGAAGAGGGATGGTTCCCAGTTAAGCGACAGGCGACGTGAGCTCTGAACTCGTCGACGTGTCCGTAATGCGCCAGTAACCAATGCAATAGCCGCCGTCCAGCTTCGACGGAGATGAGGCGCTGGTTCGATAGTAGAGGTGTTGCTACCGCAGCGGCAGCAGCACGGACTTCGTCATCGTCGTCGTTGAGAGCATCGTAGAGAGCTATGAGCCACGGCAGGTGTGCCGAATCGGAATTCTTCTCGGTTGAGGTTAATTTGAGGGCAACACTTGTCGAAAACGAGTGCATAGCACCGACAGCTGCCATGCGGGTATCAAATGTCTAGCGAAGATGGAACTATTAACTTCGTGTATAATATAGATGCCTAGACATTCGGAGAGAAATTGTGCTTACCCTATCCGCCATACCGGCGTCGCTTATCATCGCACCCCAAGTCCTAAGCCACGGTTCTAGGTCGATATTGGCTATCTCTTCAGATCGCAATACTATAATTGCCAACAACGGCCCGCTTACGCGAACGATAGCATCTGATAAGCTTGGATTCATGGACTTTCCGTAGAGGTCTGCCCAGAGTTTTGCTATAATCTCGTTGTCCGGAAGATGTTTTAGCCCCTCTAACGCATCGCAGAGTACACTATCCATAAGAACTGCGATGTTCTCCAGAGCCATCATCCGCGGCTCTGGTGCGTCAGTCTCGAAACATACCTGTATATATGTATCGATGAGGTTGCCTCGTGTTTCGATAGACTCCGACGAACCAATAGAAGACATACTTTCCAACATGGAACAGGCAACATTGACGTCTCCCTTTAACGCTGCCACCAGAAGCTGTCTCAAGGTGTTGTCTACCTTTTTGCTAGATTGCCCCAAAGCTTGTAATAGAGCTGCTTGTCCGAGCCTAATATCTAATAACGCTGACGGTATCGTTTTTATACCAGGCTGGTTGTTAAGCTCAAATGCCCAGGAGGGCAAAATATCCCGAGATTCAACAACAAGACCTGCCTCTGGTACGTTTCCTATCCTCTTTAATCTGGTTATGAAGTTGACAACTTCAATATAGACTGCTCTTGTTTCCGAGCATGTACTAATACTCTCATTTCTTGAAACTAATCCTGCAAGTATGTCGTAAATTTTACTAACGTTGTCATCTGCAAACTGTTAATTTGAAATGTAGAGTAGCATATGAATAATACACTTACCTGAAAGCTGCTCGGGCATCACCTCAGAAAGCCTCTCAAGCAAGAACTTGATAGTTAGGAGGGCCCCGTGTAGCTTATTTGAGGTCTCAGAACTAGCGAGAAGGTTTGAGATGGAATTAAGCCACCCCGGCTTGAGGAGAAAGGAACACAATGTCCGGGCAGCGATTTCTCGGACGTGCCAGATGTGACTTCCCAAGTACCACGCGATGATGTCGTAGAGCTTGTCACGGAACTCTTCCGGTGGCCCAGCGCGACGTATGATATCCAACGACGGGAAAACAGATTCCGCCGTCTGCGTTCCTATCAGGACCCCACTTGATTGCTGACCCATCTCCAGGAGGTTCACGAGGAGTACTGGAAGAGCTTTGAATTTACTGTATGGTATCTTGATGGTCCGCCCATCCCAACCTGCTTCGATCGATGTTTTACTCTCGCTGGTCCCGAAGAGGCAATCTATAAGACTTCTCAGGAGCAAGAGACCACAGTTTCGAATTGCCCATCTATAAATATTAGTATTATTAGTATAAGTAGGCGTGAATTAGCGACGACTTAGTACTTACATTTCAGATTTAAGGCTGCTTGCCGCTAATTCAAGACAGTCGGTGAGATATGGCTCTGCTCTCTTGCTCAGATACGAGCTCTTGAAGATATCTTTGATGCAGTTTAAGGCGTGTACTTGTGGTAAATTTGACCCATCAGTCTCGGACGCAAGTGCTGGTCGACGACCGATATCTTGCAGGTTGCGAATGACGTCTTCAAAAGATGGATGGTTCGTATTAGAAGAAAGTATACCGACGATAAGAGCCGGGATACCAGCTGATCTTCGAGTAGTAGAGGCTTGCGTGTAAATACAAGTCAATGCTCCCTAATGTAAGTCTTAGTATATAATGGTACCTTCAAGATGTTGAGGTATACTAACCTCATACCATTGATCTAAGAACCCAAATTTGTCGCTTGAAGGATGCGGGAACCATTTTACGAGCTGGCAACAACTAGTAAATGTCTGTGATACTGTTGTGAACGCTCCTCGGTGTCGCAAATTCGACAGTTCATCAAATGTGAGCACTCCAATCGCCTCGAAGTTAGCTCTTGAAGGAGCCAGAAGCCCGGGACCCTGGTGGCTAGCGTTGCTTGCAATAGCACGCATCAAATTACTTGAAATGATTAGTAGTTACTTTGATGAATGTTTACCGAGGACTTACCTTGACTCGTGGATTGCCCGGAAGCTGTAACTAAGCAAGTCCTTGGTATCTAGTCCCTCAACCTCCTCAAGCTCTTCTGGCAGATGGCCTTCCGGGGAATCATCGCAAAGAACATGTCGCACAGCCCGCCATATTCTCTGGCAGCATGCAACGGCACGATCCTGTATTTTAGCTAGGGCCTCGATGTCTTCCCTGGAGAACTTCATAGCTGAGAATGAGTTCCATATATACCTATACCCCTAGGTGAGTATTTGTCTTCCGAAGATAGCCTAGTTATGTGATCCGAACATACCTTAGGGATGCGAAGCTACCATGTACTGGCGCCTGTAACACCGCATTGGCGAGATCCTGTTCGGCAGCAGAGAGTTTAGCCTCAAGGCTTGACAGAATTATAAATGGAATTCGCATTCGTTCCTCCGAGTTTATACTCCAGCGGCATAGAAGCTCAAATGAGCGAGCAGCGCCATCAGAGTGGTCCGCGCGGGCGGTTCGCCGAGCAAGCTCATCAGCCTTGTTGCAAAAGGTCCGCAACTCCTCAATAGGCGTTTTCCCTAGTTCCTTCATGTGTTTTTGCAACCCTGGGCTCCCAATTTCGGGCGAGAGCGCCATCACTAAGGAGGCAGCAGTCTCTCGTACATCATCAAATGGATCCATGATGAGATCCAGGATAGAGCGAAACCACGTTACGTCAATGAGCAAAGTACTCAACTCAAAAGAGTTAAGTACAACACTCACATGGGATGGAGCCGGCTTAGCGATGAATACCATAGCCTTCAATGCTGTTATATGTCGCTGATAGGATGCAGTAGGTGCAAGCTCGTTCTTAAGAAATCCTACATACCAGGAAGCAAAGTCCTCGTGTTGGTGCAATACGGCGTTTAGCTTTGCGACTGTGTCATTTTGATGTCTCTCTAATTGACTATCCTTATCCTCTTCTGTAGACAGTCTGGGGCCGTGTTTGTTCGATTTTGCCTTATTAATCTTCTTAGAAATGCGGTCAGCTTCTCGCCGTAGCGACTCGATCGTGTTTTGAATTCGTTTGATCATATTTCTCGAATGACCGAGCACATCATAACGCATCTTCGGATCAGAATCTTCATAAAACGACGGCAAGTATTGCTTGAGAAGTTCGATGGCTTCTGTTGTGTATGGTTTTGTTGTAGATGGGGATGCTATGAGAAGCGAGACGGCGGATGTACGTGCTTCTTGCGAGTCATGGCATAGAACGCTTTCGAGTACGTCTGCTCGAAGCTGGAAACCTGATTGAGAATCCTGTTCTGATTCTTTGCAGCGTTTAGCAAAACCTCTAACAATTTTCGGTGCCAGATGGCGATAGCCTTACCACGACCCGGTTCATCCACTACCCCAACCTTCTTTCCTGCTTCAAGCATGGCAAGCCAGAGCATTGAATTGAGGTCCCAGCCATTACTGTCCTTACTAGTAAGTCTCTGGAGCGATGATAAATGGCGAAGGTACACTAGAGAGCCTTCTCGATCAATATTGAATAACTGAACAAAAATGTAAAATTTAATTGGCTCGAGATAATCGAGGTTCATCTGTAAACCCCTATATATGAACCTATGCCATGTGTTAGGTTCATGTCTGACATCTTTATCCTCATACCAAGAGCTAGTGAAGATTGTAACGAGGAGGCTTCCAACTACATGACACAGATAATGTAGTTCCATCCAAGCGAAGATGCTGGCAACGAAAGTATCCCAGACATCTTCGTTTAGAGGTAGACCGTGAATCTCGTTATAAAGCTCTAAGATGCTGTATAAATATACTAATTTCTTCTGAATGAAACAGTCTAAGACGACTATGGCAGATTTTACTGACGGCCGAGATGACTGTTGTGTGATTGTGGATATGGTGGTATTCAATATAGTTGCCTTGACGGAAGCACCAACCTCTGGCCTAGGATTGTTCGATATCAGATATGCAAGATAATCCAGGATAAGCCTCATGGATCGGTGGGAATCTTTTTCATTCCATTCCATAAAAAAGTCGAAAAGCCTCATAGCAGTACCCTCGGCAAATGCAAAATTTTGCAGTGTGAGCTTAGAAGACTTTGAACACTGTTCAATGAAGCCGTGAAGTTTCACGCAAGCATTCCCGGAATACTGTCTTGGCTTTGCGGCACATATAATAAGCTCCTCGAACATAACTTGCCTAAGGAGTCTATGTAAACGCAGGACCAACTTTGCAGTATTAGTTTATACTCACCATAGTTGCAGCTCCTCAGGCTGTTCTTCAAGCCAAGAGACAGCATGTTTCGGGTTAAAATTAGTCTCACTAACTTGAGCAGCTATTGAGGACTTCATCGTGTATTTAAATGGTGATGGTGGGCCAATGTGTGGCCTCGTCTCCCCTTTCGATATATGCCGGCTTTAAGAAAGTTAATTCTCTTCTAGATTTGGATATTCCGTCGATATTATTGGGTAGGAATTGGGAGAAGAGAAAATGGGTGGTTTTGTAATCGGGTCACCATATTTAGAGACTTATATAGTCTATATAGATTTCCTAGAAGTATATTTCACTCTTATGAAATAGAGTATAAAATATTATTCGGGCTATTATATTGTTGTGTCTTGTGAAGTTTGAAGTTTGATACATTCATCTGTGATCTTGTTTATGCAGTTAATGAGGCCTAGAAAAACCCTGTAAATTTTAAGTTTAGGTTTAAGGTATGTATATACCTAATTACATGATATCTAATAAGTACCTATCTGATAACTATCTGATAATGGATGTGGCGCACGAGCGATAATTCAATAAACTGGTATCCACTTATGCCACTCTTCTACGCATGGAAGGAAACTTTTTTTTCAATGGGCGAAAGCTTCAGTCACTTTCCCTTTGCCCTGGACCTGCGATTTCGCATACTGCGAGAAGAGACACGGCGGCGACATACCCCGTAGCATATAATTCTCTTCTTGCCCAATAATATAAACATTATAATTACACTCGACAGCATGTCCATTTGGGATGCGCTCACCGGACGAAAGTCCTCATCCTCACAATCGTCATCTCCCACCTCCGCTTCTGCGCCCGCACCGACCGAAAACCTCACCCCAGCTCCCTTCAACCCAGAAGATGCGCAAGGAGTAGACTCCTTCTTAAAGAGCTCCGCGTTTGCCGACCCCTCCTTATTACACCCCTTAGCAGGCTTAGACAAGGACAGTTTAGAATATTTAAGCTTAGAGGACTCCGCTCTGTCAGATCTTCCCGGCGCACACTCTGCGATCCCTTCCCGAGGTTTTAGTGACGATTTGTGTTATGGAACCGGTATCACATACCTCACAGCACTGTCAATAGGGGGCGTGTGGGGACTCCAAGAGGGATTGAGAAGATCTTCGGGTCAACCGCCGAAGCTACGTCTAAACTCGGTCCTGAATGCCGTTACGCGGAGAGGACCATTCCTTGGTAATTCTGCGGGTGTTGTCGCCATCACATATAATTGTTTCAACTCGGGCATCGGCTATCTCAGAGGGAAGCACGACTCCGCAAACACCATAGCAGCAGGTACTTTAAGCGGCATGTTATTCAAGAGTACGAGGGGGCTCCGGCCAATGTTGATCTCTGGTGGTATTGTGGGCTCGATAGCAGGAGCATGGGCGGTATGAACCCCAAGTGACCCCGAGTGTTTGGCTAATGATTATAACTAATTCTTCTACTAGATCACGAAGAAAGTTGTGCTATCTCAGGGGACTCAAGGGCACGAACAGCACCTCTAGGTCTAATTATATATGCTAAGTATTAGATACGTTGATTCTCAGCTCGGGAATGCAGCCATGGATATGGCCATGTATGATATTGAGCCCGAGAACTAGGCCTTGCGCCGCACGATATCGCGATTTAATTGGGTGAACAAGTTTACGAGTTGGTTGTGGAACGATGGATGATCTCTCCTCCGGCTTTGGCATGTGTATAAAATAGGTGGTTAAGAGCATTAGAAAGCATCCACGGTCGTGGATAGGTAGGCGTTCAAGTCGGCAACGGGACGGAATTGAATTTCCAATTTTGAACGAAGCAAAATTATGCCAAGTAGTTTAGGTACAACGCGTGACGTCAGGAGAAAAGGGTAAAAAAAGGACAGGAAGTGATACCCCCTTCTTAAGCCCCTATCCGGACCTAGGTGTTGCCTGCCTACCTTAGGGCATGTGCACATTGTGTACCTAATCTTAGGCATTAGCAGCTGCCAATACTTTAGGTAGCCCGGCAGGGAAGGTAGTAAACAGGGTGCTTATGTACCTAGGTATTGACATATAAGATGTATCCCAGATATGCACCTACCTTAGTTGTTTACATATGTAGGTAGATACATAGCAACATCACGCACGCTTATTTATCTACTTTCTCTCATCAGCCAACAAGGTTATCTTTTACTCCTCTATATTTCTTAAATATTCCCATTTCTCACCAGCGTCTAAACAAATCAACCAAGAATCGACCAAGAACTCATCTATCTACCCCTAACAATGTCTCAGTCATCCTCTGCAGCCGACTAGGAAGCGGCACAGCGGACCAAGGAGGAACTCATCGACAACTGTATCAAAACATGGCTGTCTAATGGGGTAGACATCAATGATTCGTTCGAGGAATTGGTTACCCAACAATTCAAATTCAGCGATACTGATCTTCCGAGGCAATATCCAACCATGATCTTAGAGCAGAAGGGGGACTATCGCTCAGTCGCTCTGGATGACAGACCTTCCAAAGACCCAGAAATCTTAGAACAACGACAGAGGCTCGGTGATTTATTAAGAAAAAATGATCCGCTTTCTAGAGCCGTCGATCATATAATGGAGCAAGAAATCGACCAACGGGAACTACTCGCATGGGAATCCGAATCCATCACTGACTTACCTTCGGCATCCACGCTTAGTTTTCAGGACAAGGTACATCATATCATCATTCACAGCTTTGTTATGTCATTAACTAATTACGCCTAGGTCTATCTTATAGCTAGACATAGGCTTCTAGAACGTCAACTGAACCCTTCGCCTGAATCCCAAACTGAGGTTACCCCTGAGCATGAGCCGAACGTAGACCCTCAGGTGAAGATGTCTATGCTCCGAGTCACGGCGATGGGCAAACTTCACCTCGAGAGTTTCACCGCGCCCTTGCCACCTGACTACTCCCTAGAGTCTTTCCGCGCCCTCCTCGAGGAAGTAGCTGAGCCCTATACTAGTATGGGAATCTCGAACCGTGAAATATTCGACGATGATCTTTATCGTACGTCGGACGATAGTGGGACACATTTCTTGAACGAATCTGAAGAAGACGCGTGGGATCGGTCATGGCGATTAAGGTCAGAACTTAGTAATGAGCAGCTCGCGAGCTGGTCTTATAGACTTTCAGATGCCCCTGGCAATCATGTTCAGAAGTCGGCAAGACTCTATACAGATTGGCTCTGTGTCGACACCGAAGAACAATATGAAAAAATGTCTTTATCAATCAAGGAACGCAATCTTTCTGCTGTTTTCATCCGCGTAAGTTATTTATCATCTGTCCTAGGTTTAAGCTAACAAAATGCTAGACTTGGAAGATCGACGAAGCGAAGCGCGTAGCTCGGGCAAATGAAGCCAAACGCAAATCCTCACATCAAGGTAGCCCCCCTCCAAACAAACACTCGACTCAAGGCAGTAGCACACGGGGAGATTATTCGGTATCGATGAACCAATCATTGGCTCCGAATGAAGAAAGGAGGCTCCAGGATTTTGATAATATGGAAGTGGATATCCTTTCTGAATCTAAAGTACGAAAACGATAGGCACTTAGGCTCTATCTTGGCGAATAGTATCTGAGCTAGGACAGTGTATCACGGAAGCCACACGAATAACTTTTGTTTGTGGTAATACACGGTGATATGTGAATGGAGTCAAGAAATACGGGGATAGGATACAGCTTTGTATATAGGTAACATTCGCCACTCCCGTTTATTTGTTACTGTTTTGTACGGGACAGGTCATTGATTTACCGATCCCTCAATACGAATATAATTCTCAATAAAAATACCTGTAATGCAGTTCCGCAACTAATTCCAGTATTTCATTTGGTAGTGCTAAATGGCTTAACCTGACTTCAACAAAGTATAAAAAAGGGGGTGTAAACCAGAAAGCATGTCTGCCGGTTGTAATAACAACAAACATTTTTGACATTCTATGATTCCGATTTTAAAATGGAGATTGTTTAATGATAACATTTTAATGATAGCATCTTGTTCCTTCCCAGACCTGGGCACCGACATTATTGCTAACTTATCATACGTCCGCCCTATCTATTCAAGATTTCATATCCGTTTCTTCTTTACCCGTTGTAGAGGACACCACAACATCATCAGCGCCATCATGTGTTTTCCTTGTTGGTCAGTTAAAGATATTTATGTCGAGGAGGATCCCCCGGCGGAACAGCAGATGATCCAGTACGTATGGGACGGTACTAGATGGGTTGCCATCGTAGGTGATACCGTAAGTGGTTATTTTCTTTAGTCTTACGATGATGTAAACATTGGCCCCCCTTACAAAAGCAGCTACGGACCGGGAAAGCTGGACTGGAAACAAACAAGAAGGACCTCGAGAAACAATGCTAGTATCCCAGGGACACTTTTATTGTGCAGCATAGTGCAGCGAGGCACAAACCAGTACAATTTACCTCTTCCCCGTTGGTTACCTAGGTACTATGTACAGTTACCACGTACAGTTACCATTCACTTCAATATCTTCTCTTTCCCACTTGCCCCTAGTTTTTCTTTTTTTTTTTTTCTTCCTTGAAGAGGAAGGAATTTTCGACTAGTGGCAACTGCCTTGAAACCTGGATCTCTTTTTACTCCTAAGGAAGGAACATATTTAGTTGGCCCACTGTGCGGAAGGTCATTACCAATTCTTATTCTAAGGTTCCCACCCCCCTTTTTTAACAGTTTACACTGGATAATCCCGGTTGTCGGCCACCGCCCGCAGGTTGTTCATCATGGGCACCGCCCCCAGATCCCCCAACCCAGGAGACAATAAGCACAAGAAATCTTCTTCTACTACTTCTCCTTATACCACCACCACTTTCATTAATAAACCCTCCAATAAATCCTCCAACACTACTACTGCCAACCCTAAGGCCCCGGTGCGTCAGTCTACGCCCACCGCTTCTGGTAACCAACGCGACAACGACGCCCATTTGGCATACCAGACTCCAGGTCCTGGATTTAACCATACCGTCGCGAACATACCTGGTATCGGATTAGTTTACGACGGCGGACACTCCAATCCCGTACACGGCTTCAACCCAGCCGCTGGTCCCCAACCTCCAGTGCATCATCAAACTCCTGGAATTACTCCTCCTCAAGTTCTACCACCTGGTTTTGCCCAGAGCCCTTTTCAGTCTTTCCCTCAATTTGGTCCCGTAAGCAGCAACCAAAACCCAGCCATGGCATATACCACCGGCTCCATGCCCAACCAGGGCCAGCACTTCCAACCTCCCGTGCCAGACACCACCTATGGTCCCATCCCGCACACTTACCATCCCCGCTTCGATAACAAGCCTGCTCCTGGCCAGTATGTGATGATTGAAGGCCAACTCTACGTTGTCGCTGCTGGTCCTTCTGGCCCTCCTAGCGGTGCCCAAGTTCAATATGTGCCCATGCAACAGGTATATTCTATTCCCACGCAAGACTCATCAAGCGCAATGCCTGTATTCCAAGCTACACCATGCTACATTATTCGAGAAGCCGAGTCCCAGCCTATTTGTTACCCCCTCAATGCAAGTTTCATCCGAACGCTCAGAAGTGCACTAGCTGTACGAGCGAATGCATCCTGTTGCCTGTCATAATTTAGATATATGGTCCCATCAGAGCATAACATGATATGATCTGATTTCCTTTCTGTTCACTAGCTGATTCATCCGAACTTTGCTCTTATCTAAACATAGAAGCTAACTATTTCCTCTTTAGCAGCCGCAGTCTGGTGTTGGCACACCTATCGTGATCCAACAAGGTTCCCAGCAACCCATCTTCGTTCAAGGCCAGCCAGGTTTCCCTGCAGTTCCGATGACCGCTCAGCCAGCTGCATTCCCTGCTATGGTGGCCCCGCCCGGAGCCCCGGTGATCATTGGAGGCCCTCCTGATATGATGGCCCCCGGTTCTGCCCCGGACGTGATGGGAATTGGCAAGACTGCAACCGAGGTTCAGATGGAGCAGTACCACACAGCTCTAAATACCGGAGCTCTTGAAGGCCAGGACATCGCCCCTGCTGATCCTGATCCGTCCCGTATGTATTATTGTCGAGAGCTTGATGGCGCATGGACTCTCCGCAACCGTTTCTGTATCGACAATATGGGTGACTGTCGTTGGTACGTCAAGCCTGGCGGCATCTTCTATGCCGTTCGCTTGGCCGACTGAAGGGTGTTTACTGGTAAGATTCTTAAATGCCTCGAAAGTGTATACACATCAGCTGATATATCTAGGAATTTCCTGATTCTTTACGCTTTTATGCGATACTTTGATACATTCTCCTGCGATGCGTTGCGTTTTTCGATGACTTCTGTCCATCGGTAGGTCCTCTTTCATCCCTAGATGTAACCCTAGCTGATGTATATTACTAAGGTCAGATGCTTCCCTGGCTTCCTAATAGGGTCGTTAGAACACGGGTTTAATCTTCAAGATTAAGTGAGTTAATACTACCAACTGCTATCCAAATTAAATAAGCGCTTGCTAACAAGCTGATTTGTGCGTAGACGTCAGACACCATCTTCACGATACGTTATGGAAAAACAGGCCGGGGAAATGACTTGGATGGAATGATGGATGACAGCAGTCTTTGCAGTTTTTTTTTTCCTGACGCATACTGGTTTCCTTTTTATGATGATACTTGACTTCAGGCCGACTATTCTTTCCTAAATAGCACTCTGGCATAGATCTTGCTCTCATGAGATAGGTTTCGCATTGCCAACAGTACCAACAGCTCGAGATTTGCCAGAAGCTAGGAGAAGTTTATGAGGGATAGTTTAGATGTTTATCAGTATCGAAGGCGAGGTAATGCGAAACCCCCTTCTTCTCCTATTACTATCCCTTAATAACCTCAGCCCGTTTACTTTTTCGCACGGCGTTCACGGATTTCTCTAGCTCTGCATGATAGTTGCACATCAATAGGATGCATTATTCCTATTAGTAATTATGAGATTATGAGTATGCGATAGAGTTATTTTATTCGTTCAGTGTTTGATTTGCGCTGCTTGAGATACGTGTTTGTGGTAATTAGGTGCAGTTGGAGTGAAGTAATTTGAGGCTGAGATAGGGCTTCGCGCTAAGCCCGACCACCTGTCAGCCCTGATTGGCAGTCGTTGACAGCTGAACTCGCTTGTGCTAACCAAAATCTCATCTTATCACCTTCTCCTTCTTCATCTCAAGTTATCAGCCATACTCACAAACTCGTTCTAATAGAACATGGCCGACTTGTTCTTCACCATCTCATATGGTTAGCGTCCTTACATAATCTATAATACGACCTAAAGTCGATTGTAATTTGTATGGGTAATAGTTACGTTCGTCCTCCCCTCCCACTACGATAACCGCTTGGACACCGTTCCTGAGCGACGTCATCTCATCTGTCTGATCTAGCTTGCAGCGCTGTAACTAGCCCAACGTCATCGTTTTTGTCTCGGGTATAACAACAGCAACAACAATAACAAGTAGGGTTGATTGGTTGGTTATGTTATACCAGACACCGATGAGCGATGAGTCCCTCTCGCGCCGAGACGCGAAATTCGGGCTGCGACTCCCGAGTACTGCGTTATACTGCTTGCTATCGTAGAGTACAATACATGCCTCGTGGTTTCGGCCCTTTACCGGGAGGGACATCGTCTACTACCTTAGGTATGTATGTTAACCTATCCGGGTAATCTAGGTATACATAGGGTATCTCCTTCGATCGCCCAATCTAGATAGCAGATGGCAGATGGGACGCATAAATCTCCGCCTTAGCGAGTTGCCTAACTGTATCGCGCTGCTGCCGGCCCGTCTGGGGTGTGCTTCACCGAGCCGTGGGGTGCTCGCGCATGCCATGTGATAGAGCACATCCAGCTTCCTGTTTAGGCCGCGGCACTATATACGGTATGGATATGCTGCAGCGCGGCAGATCCTTCCCTCCCTCACGCGCGACATCTGGGATGGGGAGGCCGTTTTGTTGCTGTGCAGACTTGCGCGTTATGACCTGCGGGAACGAGGTTGTGCTCCGTCTGTATGTATGTATGTAAAGCCACAGATCGTGCTTGTTTAGAGATCGGATCGTGGCGATCACTCGGCTCCATCGCCTCAAAACCTTGCGCAAGGTTCTCCCATGGGACGAGAGGCTTATGTTCTCGTCTAGGGGATGACCTAGGTACATTGAGTATCTCAGACAGCCTTGAAGAAAAAGAAAAATCTGGCAGGTGTTTGCTACCATAGGGCGGACCCTTGTTTGCTTTCCTCGTTGGGCTAGGATGCCGCTGTGAGGACGGCGATGGTGGCCGTTACCCCGGATTTGAGATGGACTCACGTGGTGGTATATCTCTGTTGTGCTTCCTCATACAGTCTTATCGATTTGTTATGTGATCTTAGTGAGTGGTCTTGGGCTTGCCCTCTGGGCCAATTTCTTTCCAGGCCCCATGTGTGACTTTTGTTGTGTCTCTCATTTCAATACTCACATCAAACCTCGATCGTTCATAAACCATGACGCCTAATGATAGTGGCCCCAAGCTGGCCGTCATCGTGGCCGTCTTCCTCGGGCTGTCGTCCATCACGGTAGCTCTTCGCTGCTATGTCCGGGCTCACATTTTGAGGGCTTTTCAGGCTGAGGACTGGCTGGCCGTTGCTACAATGGTAAATCGGCAATAACCAGGGAAGATGATGGATATATCGTAACTAACAAGCCTAGCTTTGCTTCGTACTCTATTCCACGGCCGTCATGCTTAGTATCTCGCACGGGGCAGGCAAGCGTATTAGTGATGTTCCTACCGAGAACATTCCCAAAATCCTCAAGGTAATTTGCCCTGGGTGCAAGAAATTGTGAACTCATAGCTGATCAACTACGACAGATGAGATGGGCGGCAGAAATAATATACGTCGTGACGTCGCTCCTCCTAAAGTTTACCGTCGGGATCTTCCTCTTTCGCATTTGCTCACAGGTGTGGCAGAAATCAGTGATTTGCACCGTGCTGCTCTTGTATCTCGTCTACCACATCTTCTACACCTTCATGACCGTGTTCCAGTGCCAGCCGGTGGCGTATTTCTGGTTTAGATACACCGGCGGCATGGAGGGTAAATGCTGGAGCAACGATTTGGTTGTGGGCTGTACGTACGCGGCTGCTAGCATCAATGCTGTTACGGATTGGGTCCTTGGGTTGCTACCCATTACGATTGTGCGAAACCTTGAGCTGTCGAGGAGGTCGAAGATCCTGGTTTCTTGCACTTTAGCGCTGGGATCGGTGTATGTTACCCCCTTCCCCTATCCTCTCTAAACCATAAAAAACAGGACTCGCTAATAAAGACGTTCAGTGCATCAACCGCAACCATCGTCCGTATCCCCTATATCCGGCAGCTAACCCAACCTGGCGATTTCATACATGACTTCTCTGACCTGTCTATCTGGTCTACTATAGAAAATGGACTCGGCCTCATTGCCTCGTCAATCGCTACTCTCCGCCCACTAGTCAGGGTGGTGCTCGGGGGCACGCGAGTAGGAACGACATCAGGGGGGCGCCGCTCTTTTTACTCGTGGAGGAGATCGGGACCGGGCGCAGCGCAGAACGACAATCAGCAGTACTATAGAATGGAGAACTACTACCGCGACAGCACTTGCAAGGCACCGGAGCGGGTAAGAGTAAGTGATAGGAAAGTGTCTGATACCGGGTAGATGTTATGTACCTAAGATAGAAAATGAATAAATTTGAATTAGCGTATAGAGATTGTCTTGTGTAGCTATTGAGATGTTGGCTATGGTAAAGGGATTCTATGCGTACTATTAAAAGCAAGCAAGCAAGCAATTCTAATCATGGCGCAAATAGTATTCTTTAATATATAAATACGTAGATATGCAAGTAAGTTACTGATATGTACGAAGTATTAGAATAGTTTGTCGTAGACTGAGATGCTTTTAAGTCGTCCCCTATAGGCTATACAGTCTTGGTGAAGAAGTCCTTAGTCTCCGATTTAATAAGTTGGTAGCATTACGTATGTGTTAAGTTATATATTTAAGACTTGTGGTATTCTGGTATATATAGACACTGTTTTTCTTGCGGATCAATATGATATGCATTATTATATTGGGAGTTGTTATTTGTGAAGGGGAATATAAGTTAGATACCTACCTCCTAAACCCACATCCGAAGCTATTCCGGACTAACGCCCCCACCCTCAAGATCTAACTGGCTTAGGATAATGCTACGTGACCAGCAGATTTGATATATAGTAGTTTATTACGATCAAATTTTCAACAACGAATGGGGCGTGGTGGCAGAGTGGTCTAATGCGCAAGACTAGAAATCTTGTTCCTTCGGGAGCGTCTGTTCGAATCAGGCCCACGTCGCAACATTTATATTTTGTTTGATTTTTTGGCGTATTATTCTTTTTGTTAGTCCTAGTTCAAATGGCATGCTATTGTGCAAGAATTCTAACCATGCGTGAACCAACACTTACTTAAACAACAGTACATACAAACTTTATTTTTTTTATTTTAACAACCCTTTCGAGCTACCGATACGGCAGATCCTCGGCTCGTATAAGCTTGCTTAATGCAGGTACCCGTAAAGTGTTCTTGATAACGAAAGCAGTAACAAGTCACATTAATTCTTTCCTCCCCGGCACCGTATACCGTACATAATTCCCTGTACACCCATGAGCGATGTAATGGTATCAGTCCCTACACACCCGAGCACCTCCGCCCCTTCTATCCTGGCTTCCAATTCCACCCTCAACCCTAACATTAACGGCAATGGCTATCAAGACGCGCTAGACAAGCTACAGCCCCTGCAGCCCATCCTCCGGGGCTTCAACCACCGCAACCGGAACCAGCACCGACGCGCCGTCTGGTGGGCTCCCTTCGGCATGCTGCGGCGTCACGTCGAGAGGGTTGTTGACGAGCTACTCGAGGCCGCCGATGCTGTTGCTGCCGCCGCCAAGTCAAAGAACAAGAAGCGGCGGCGCGATGATGATGATGATGGCGGCAGCAACGTCGTGGAAAGGAAGGTAAGGGGTCACGTGGAGTGGTTAAGAGACATCTTAATTCCAAAGTGTTACTTGTACGTTATTTTCCACTTCGAGAGATCCATCTCAAAGACCAAAGCCCGCTAAACGAAACTCCTCAGGGCGTTCTCGCAACTAACAGCGGACAACCAATTCGCAACGCTAGGCGTAGTGCTTCTCAGCGCGTTAGCCCAAGTCAACGCCGCCTGCATACATCTAGTAGGCGAAGCAGCGGAAGTAAGCCATGACGAAACTAGCATATCTACTGTAGACAAGCCGGTAGATAGCAGTGTCGCCGTGGCACGTATAAAAGAACCCAGCGTCTTAGGAGCTAAGGAGCCGTCCTCCCGGCCCATCTTGACCGAGACGTCCGGCGAGCGCGGGGGCTCGGTAATCTCGCGGGACGAGGTCGCGCGGGCCGAGAAGCTACGGAGGAAGAACGTAATGGTCGGATCTTCTGATATACCTAGTAATGCGAAGCGGGGTCATGACCACGGCAATGACGTTAGAGCTGTAAAGAAACAGCAGGATACATCTTCAAAGACGAAGACCAAAGAGAGTGTGAAACCCGCGAAGAAAAAGAAGACCAAGAAAGGTGGCGACGAGTTCGATGATCTATTCAAGGGCCTATTTTAAGCTACCTAGGGGTAGGATAGAGCGTCTCATTAATAAAACACCCCAAGAAACAGGTTACATCTTTAGATGTTAATAATCATTGATTTGGATCTATCATTTGGTTCTGCATTACTATCAAAAACCTGTCTAGCAATACACCTATGACAAGAGAGTGCCACTGTTGCTGCTGAACACCTGAGATAAAAAATCCGGCCCCTCCCTGCTTTCAAAGCCTCGTCCAAGGCAACAAGAGACCAACAACAAAATTTTTCTTTGCTTCATCCTCTCCAAGTTGCGTAGTTGTTATCCACAACTTCGTACATCGTCTAAGGAAGTGCGTGGCCTTCGCTTTAGCAAAAACAAAAGACCTCTAAGATCCTAAGACCGACATCAACTCCAGGTCCCGGCGTAATAGAGCCGTCTTCTCTCCTAAACCCCTTGGTAGTAGTAACTAAATTAGGTACGTAACCCCATCTCCTTAAACTTATTTATTTGTCATCTCCACTCGTTTTTTTGCGCCGGGGTAAAGTAGTCCGGGTTCTAGTCGCTCCTTGGGCCCCACGCGCAGGCTCTTCTGGCTTACTCCCTTTCTAGGATATTGAGCGATAAGACCAGATACGCGCCCTCATGTCGCCAGAGCCCGTTGCAAAGTAACCGCCTGTAGGGCTAGGAGCCACCGAGATGACTGAATTCTTGTGACCTTGAAGCATGAGTTGAGTAAACCCAGTTCGGGGATCCCAGAACTGTACACCTCTATCCTTGGAGCCAGACATGACCCAGTTGGCATCGGGCGTAAGCGCCACGCTGAGTACGAAATCCTAATCTTGTGAGCATAGAAAAATACGAATAAATATTGGGTAAACTTACTCTGTGTCCTTCAAACGTCTTGACGCATCGGCCTCCCTTAGGGCCCGGGTTCTGCACCCCTCCTCTGGGGGTCGATAACTCCCACATCTTGATAGTCTTATCTAGACTTCCGCTTACTAGGTCCTTGCCATTAGGAGAGAATGCTACAGAGTAAACGCTGTCCTTGTGGCCCTCCGGCCCTTCGAGCCGCTCCAGGAGGTATCCCTGATGAATGTCCCAAACGCGGACGCTCTTATCAAGCGAACCCGCGGCAACATACTTTGTATCAGGGGAGATAGCGACAGTCGTCACACCATCTTCAATAGAAAGGGTAAGCATGTTTGTACCCTGCTCAATATCCCATAGTCGAACAGTCCTATCGCCACTACCGGAAGCTATGGTTCGACCATCTCGAGCAAAGTCCAACGAATAGATGTCTTGTTCATGACCAGCAAAGGTATTACGAATCGTACGAGAGGCAATATCCCAGACCTATCCCAATTAGTAAAGTACCAAGAAAGTTAGGCGATCAACTTACGCGAATGAGCTTGTCCTCGGCACCGGTAGCTAGATACTTGCCATCGGGGCTGAAGCACACGCTACGGATATACAAATCCCCACTAATATCAACATTCTCATCCTGGAGAACGCATACCTTCTCGCCAGTCGCAACGTCATAAATTTGGGCGGATCTATTGCAACCAGTTGCCACATACTTGCCGTCGTGGCTAAACCTAACACAACACACAACACTTTCGTGGTTTAAGGTATGAACCAGATCGACATCGAGCATGCGCGGAACGTGTTGGTTGAAGATCACAAACCAATCGTCTCGAGTCTTCTTGACGTGCGCCGGGAGGCGTTCGACATCTAAATCACCAAGAGCGTTGTTGACCATCGGGCCAGGGTGAGGTGGCAGAGCTCTATGGTCAGGTGTCGGGTGATTTGCTACCTGCGGCGAGGCTCCGGGCCCAGCATAGGGCATCGGGGTGTTGATCTGAGGAGTAGCAGGGCCACCGGCGGGTGGTCTACCGATACCGCGCTTGCCTGGCCCGGGTGAAGCAGTGCTCTGGGGAGGCTGTCCGGGGAAACCGCCGGGAGCCGGACCCTGGTAAGGCTGCTGAAAGGGGGGCTGTTGCGCTGGCGGAGGTGGAGGCGGAGGCGGGCCTTGCAAACCCGGGGGCGGCTGTGGCATTTGATGCTGAGGCCCGGGAGGGGCCTGATCCTGCGGATTGGGTTGGGGTGGCAGACCACCACCTTGGCCTCCCTGACCGGTCATTATTCCACTAAATAGGTTGTTTCCCATACCGATCGAAGGAGGGGGAGGACCCGCAGATGGACCGCCGTGTTGAGGCGGACCAGGTATAGCAGGTTGAGGGGCACCTCCTCGCGCGGCCTCGAGTTGGCGGCGAAGTAAAACCATCTCCTCTTCGTACCTATACATAGGAAGTCAGTAGGTTAGTTTCGGGATTTGAAGGCCGTAGCAATGAATGCTTACTTTGCTTTTATATTAATATGTTGCTGCTCTAACTGATAGACCTTCTCACGAATAAGTTGGGCCTCTTGAACTTGTTGTTGAACTATTGGGTAATTAGTGACATTCTTAGTCTAATGCAAAGCAGGAAAGCGCCTTTTCTTCATATGAGAGTGTATATAATTATCAGTTGAGACCAGACGAGGCTAAACTAGTAAAATGTATACTCTCATCTAATATGTAATGGTAGTTTGTTTCTCAACTTACTTTGTTGCTCATACCCTTCGTTGATTCGAACTTGGTTATCAAACTCCGTGCGAATCTGATCGAGAAGCTCGTTCAAACGCGCCGCATTTTGCGGCAAGCCGCGGTGCGGATACATAGACATTGTCGGATGTGGTGTCGTTTCGCGGATGATATATCTCGGGATTGGAGTAAAAATTAAATCCAAACAAGGTTGCGATATTGCGATATTGCGATATCACGATTTTTAAGGGACGATGACGATAAACGACGGATAGAAAAGTCGCAGATAGTTTAATATCTTATGCAGGGTCCCTCCAGCTCCTATTCAACTTGGCACAACCAGTGAACACCCTTCCACACAACCTAATACCCAATTGCAACGCGAACAAGACGAGACGAAACTTGGCAGGGTCCCGTCAGACAACAGTGGGTATTGTCGTGTGAAGAAACGCGAGGATCGATGTTTGGTAGTGAAGAGCTGTAAACGCGCGATCGTGTATTGCCGTTTAGTTGGTAACAGCTGGATAAATAATTGCTGTTATGGGGCAATATTGATGAGGCTGGAAATGAGGCGTTGGTGTTGAGAAAGCAGGAAAAAAAAATTGGTGAAAAAAAAGGAAGGGATATGTGGTAGAGAAGAGGAGATGAGACCCCAAGGTTGGTAGGTAATACTCAAGATTTGTTTGACCAGGGCTCGGGGGCTAGGCACGAGCTGGATTGGAACTATGTATGACCTGTAAAGAAGTACTTCCTATGTATGATGGCTGGTGGGTTCGGGCGACGGATCCATGCTACTACCTATGGATGTAGGTAGTATGTAGTATATATGCATGCACGGATTGTAAGGTTATTGCAAGGGTATATTGCAGGTTCCAGGTTCCTTAGTGTAAAGTTTCGTGCTTACATATGTAACTTGGTATCTACTTTCTTTTTTTCGACTTAACCCACAGACGGTAAACAGAATCTTACCTATTTTGGTACCTCAGTCCTGCTTTTTTTTTTAAGCGGGCGCCGGGTTAAGGCTGCGTGCATTTCGAGTGGGGCCACGGGGGATCCATTGGCAAGCACGCCCCTTAGGTAGGTACGCGCCGATGAAGTAACTACGTATCTTATGTATTATGTATTTGCTACTAGTGTAGGTACATATCCCGGCACACACGCGGGCGCTCATATGGAAGTTTGTGGAAATCGCGATTTCACGGAGTATATGGGGCATGCAAGCAGCTAAGCTAAGGTATCCTAGGAGGTAAGCAACGCAGATGGTACCCCCACTTGGGCCATGAGCTAGTCAGCGCTGTGGGTTAGGTACACTAGAAACGCCGTATACATTAATACATGTAATGCGGATGATGGAAGGCGCAAAATGTTAGCTAAGGCTTAACCCTATCCTTTTTTTTTCTCTCTCTCTCTCCATGATGTGCAATACAGAATTACGAAGGCAACTTTTCTCCTATTTCCTCAAAACAACATGTTACATCATATCAATGCCTCCTTTCTTTGTGCTCATGCTACGTGTCTACACAAGTACATAGGTAATCTGTAACCTTGCCAAACTTGCCACAATGCACATTGAGGTTGCACAGAGCAAGCGTAGACTACCGTATTATGTACATATTTTTTTTACTATTCCCAGGTTGGATGACAGGGGAGCAATAGGGAGCGAGCCAGCAATAGATTCAGCTCGGGTAGGGAAGAAAGTGTGGAGGCATCCCAATGTACAGACGGTCGGCGTGAATCCAACTTACATACCTAATATTTGAACCAAGCGTCTTGACATTTTGGGAGCGTTTTGGTTGTTTAGGCATGACTATCTGCCCCCACCCATGCATTTCAACTTATTTACCTGATCTAAAGGCAGAATTACGGCAAGTAGGCAACGTTAAAAGAACATAGATTATCAAGTTCGTAAATATTTACTTTTTAATTGTTTTACTAGGATGGTAAGACTTGAGCTATTGTTAATAATCTGTAATTGACAGATAGCAATCTACGCAAGGTAGAGGCCGAGATGTCAGCTTTTAGATGCTTAACAGGCTTACACAAAGACTATTACCCGCGTAATTATTCGCATAGAAATGCAAGTAATGCTATTAAGTCAGATGACTACATGTATGTAGACCAGGTTGAGATTTCAGCGTAATATCTATGTACCTAGGTTAGATATTATGTTAATTAGATAGATAGGTACGTATGACATTGCCACTTATATTTAGCATATGTTAAAACCAACGTTCTAAGCTTATCATCTACCCTGATTTGTAACTGGTACACTCGGTTTTCTTCTTTTGGTATTGGCAACAATACATTCTAATTATTATCACCAGTATTGTAATCCAGTATAGGTTGTTAGTTAGAGGTTTCATCCTAGATTAGTGCAACATTAACAATACCTCATTAAAGAAAATCCCGAGCCTCACCGGTTCAATATTCCTTCCATCGAGCCAATGAGCATTGACTCAATAAATACGTATTAAGACATGTACAGATTAAGTACCTACACTCGGACATTATCGCTGTCTCGGAGATAGACTAAGTCCGGTGACACAGCAGGGGCGGGTATAGCCAGTACCCGTCTCAGCTGTCTCCAATAATAGGTAAGCTACCTAACTCCACACTAGAACCGACCGTGAAACAAGGTTTTACCGGTTCATGACTTGCCTTGTCAGATGGGGGGAATTTGGTTCGGCAAAAATGATTTGTAGGAAAATCTCGCTTGTTCGGGTAGAAAAAAAAACACGTACAGTCTTATCTCTACGAACGGATATGTAGGTATCAATGTGACTTTCGGAAACATCTTAACTACACGTATTAAAGCTCTATTTCTATTTTGCGCTAGGGTCTGCAATATGACATACTACCTAAGGTATGTAGATGGAGGTTTCTATTGTTCTAGTCTAGCTCATGCTTATGTAATTATACTGCCAAAACTCCTGAATAGATAGAATCAGTGTAACGGCTGGTATCTTACACAGTACTTCTGTTCCAAATAAGAATATACTCCGATCACTTATTTTCACCGCTCAACGCCACTAAGATGTATTGTTTAAAAAAATTTTAAAAACTATTGACATATATTCATATTCAAGGCCGCCACTGATATTAACCCTACCTATGTAACCACTAACGGATATACGTACATATGTATAAATGTTTATGGTTTATATGTCTCTCTATGTATTTGGATAAACGACATATAACTTTCCATATCACAAGCTGCAGCGTCGTAAGCAGTTTGTGCGTTTGCAAGAAGTAAAGTCCGTGTTACCTTGTTGCGCACATACACTACGTCGTGGCTAATATCTTCTGCTTAAGCCAGTTTAGACATGTGACTCCCGCTAAAATCTACTCGATATTGTTTGTTTCTTAGTTTAGAACTAAGTAGTATCAGAAACGTTCATTTTTTAGGTAGATCTCGTAGGAATTAAAAACCTACGTCTTATCGTATCAAGGACCTGCTACGTAAATATCCAGGTGCGATCAGACTAGCTAACTTGATGCTTGTATTGCTGGGGGAGGTCATAAATCAAAGAGTATAAAGCTCTGCTACTTGACATGGAATCTTTTTAGCCTTATAGTATATTACATATATTTGTAAAATAGATACCATATATGTGCTGAACATAGAGTGTTTTAGGTATGTATCCCAAACGCCTTAACCCCATATTGTTTACTCACATCATATGTATGCAGAATATATCTAATCCCGGTCGTATCAGCACATAGGCAAATTGCTTCTATATTCCGCATAGGTACATTTCCGGGGATTCATTTAGTATTCTTCCCTGACGTTGTCAATGTACCATACATGCCAGCTAGTATCTTACTCCTGCAGAGTCAAATGCCTTGCGTGTAATTCCCGGACGGATGGCTGAGCTAACACCTCCTATTATATGCCTACCAACATATAGGTTAGTCCGCAGCCACGTACGTATACCTTCTACCTTCCAGCCCGATGTGTGGTCTTGCGGCTATTGACATCTGTTGTGTTAACTTGGTTGCCTATTTCCCCACCTCCAACCGATGACAAAGGTGTACCATCCAAGACGGTTTGATTCCTGAGTCAGCCGCCACATTTATCCTAGCACTGCATATACTGACTGACTGATCTCGATGGCTGAGGAACGGAATAGTGCCAGCCTCAATCTCAAAAATTTCAGCAATCGCCACTGGCTAATAATTTAAACACCTATAACGGAAACTAGGCATCGAGCTCCAGTAAACTCTCGATAGGGGTTCACACCTGTCGAGCATCGTAACCCCTTGAACTTATAGATGATCATCTGACTATCGGTTTGGGCTTAGTAGAAAACGGCTTCTAAAGTATACGGAGGACAGTATTGAAATTAGCATTATAATGACTCATAATGCCCTCTATTTCTCGAAACGCAAACTAGCCAAAGAATAAGCATATTTCAACTGAAAGAGAGTCTGTTTGGTTAAACGATGCTGGGCTTTAATTAACTAGAGTATTGCTATAGCGAGCGCACCTTGGAAGATAACCCTTTCAAACACTATCCCAAAATCGAGATAGTTAACTGATACTTGGGGTCTTTACCTTTATATATGGATGTATGGGAAGCCCTGCTTGTCTTAGATTCCGAGGTGGTATATCATTCGCCCCTATAAGCACAACGATAACATCATTACGATGTCCTGCGGAAGCCTGTGTTCAGAAGAAGAAACTCGGTATTGAAACATTCGTATTAACCCCGTGAAAAGAGATATCGAGGTATATATTCCTTAGAACCCAAGGAGGATCGAGTTAACATTTCAATATGATCCTTCAGTTCTCATTCGCCCAAAGATACGAACGAAACAGTGGGATGGCAATACCGCCCTCTCTCCGCCCGCATCGCGCTTTCTCGTAGTGTTTTTAATATGAGTATCGTAGAGTTTTATTTCACTATCGCATTTGTCTCTTGAATCTTGATTGACATAGTGAAGGCGTTGGTTTTCTGAGTCGAATGTCACATGCGTGAAATTTAGATCGCTTTACTGATAATTACATAGGTAGCCAGTAAAGTTGAAAGTTGGGATAGGAATTGTTATTGAATTCCCTTGTCGTATGTTACGACAAGCCATAGTGGTCAGTCGGGTCATCCTATCGTACGACGGTCGAGGACGAGATGGCTATTGATATTCAGACCGGACCCATGTTGAATTCGAAATTGTACATATGTACATAAATAGGGGCTTGCCAGGGGAAACGTCTTAGCTTCGATTTTGAGCCGCGAGATAGAGCTCGAGTACACTAGGTTAAAGAGCTTTTATATTTTATAGAAATGGGCATTGTCTTGTCCAATAAACTCTTCAGTTACGGATTACATATCACTTGAATTACTATAAGTAAACGGCGTGTATTATCTGTTGTCACGATGGTCGTGATTGCATACCCCTATTATTACATAACTGTCTAATTTGATGTTTCGAATTCGATTGAAACAACGCCAGTGGCTACACGGCCAAACGTTTCACTACGTTAAGTCTTTCCTATTTTAATATCGTCTATCCTATTTATCTCTTGTTCTCGAAAGGAAAAAAAAAAGAAATAAGGTAAACCTAAATCAAAACCTCTTAATTATTCAAGATCACCTAAACTATCTAGAACTATGTAATGATATCAAGATGTTCGACAGCTTGCTTATGTATATGTAGTATCTGCATTTATGGTCCGTGCTTTATGCTCCATAACCCCAGAAAAAGCTTCGCGTCAGCTCATCGCGTTTCATGTCCTTGTTAGAGGACGCTACCAAGGAGATCCTCTCGTCCTGTTTGGTCAATGAAGCGCTACTATGTAACATTTTGAAGCATTCTGAGACGCCGATGCTGTAATACTCACGATAGGTTTGATAGATTCCCTTCGTATTATCAACCAAGGAAGATCCTCTGCATGCATCGAGAATCATTCAAGGGTCTCTGCTTTGGAAAGCAGCTTTTAGCGACTTGGCCCATCGTAGATCTCCCCTGACTTTTTAGACAGGGCTGTAAAATGATGTTCTCTTTATTTGTGATTGCCTTTCTCGTTTCAACTTCTTCTCTTCTTGTTTAAACATTTTTGCCTTCTGTTTGATGTAAAATTATTGTCATTCGTTTCTTCGCACCAGGTGTGCCTTTCTATTATTTTATTATCATTATTATTGTTATTATTAAATCAACATGTCAAAAGCATACCAAACAGTTGCTCCGGACGAAGAGCCTTTTCTTGCTAAGGAAGAAGGAGTAGTAGATGAGCAATGGACGGAGAGCAGACAGAGCAGATCTATACGGATACTAGACCGTCTTGAAAAATTGAGTCCACATTGGGCTTGGTTATGCCATGCCGTTCTATTATCACTTTCTGTAACATTTTTCGCATTATCATTTTGTTCGAAAGCTTCAAAGATGACAGACGCGGAGTATACAGCAAAATACTCAGCCTGGTGTATGTTGAATCGAGACCACGTCATTTTTGGATGGGATACCTAACAACGTAAATAGCACCGGCTGCCAGTGCTGTGAAATACGAGACACAACATTTCGACTTGCCTCCCTTTACGGAAGGACCCTTTGTTGGTATGGGCGATGATGTAGATACAGCATGGGATGAGATTTCAGCCAGTATGTTCTAGAAATAACATCTAAAACTTAGAAGCAAACAGAAATATCTAACGGAGACTATAGTCGGTGACACGATGATATCCCGCGACGAGATGGTAAAACTAGGTCTAAACCCCGACACTTCCCTTGCCATCACCGACCCGAGAGATGGGAAGCCGGGCTATCGAGTCGCAATCGAGGTGTTCCATCAATTGCATTGCTTAAATTTACTACGACAGAACCTATATAAAGAGTATTATTCACCATTAGGAGGGGATACGTCCGATGCGCCCGAGGATCTGACGGGCCATCTCGACCACTGCATCGATGCACTGCGACAATTCGTCATGTGTCAAGGCGACATCGGTGTCTTCAGCTTCCACTTTCCTATGGGTGATGAAGACCCGTGGCCGAACTACAGCACGCCGCACACCTGCAGAAATTTTGACAGCATCCGACAATGGGCTGTCGACCATACTGTCCCAAGGGGACCTGATGAGCCGGAGCATTAAGATATCTTCTCCGAGTAGATCTGTATATATATGTAATGACAAGCTATTAAATGAGCGATTTTATTCTCTAAATATGTTATAAAGACCGAGGGTCGGAGATTGCTTGAAATATTTGTCCTATAATGTAAGACAACTGCCATAAGCCGTAATAAGCCACATTATGTAAATATGTGAACATTAACATGGTTTTCGGGTGACAGAACAGATACTTGATATTTGTAGTTGAATTGAAGAGTGAGCTGTTATCAAAAAGTTCGCCCTGTACGAAGTATCTTAGCCGCCTCAATGCTGTATTGAATATTGAATTAAATAAGTGTAGATAACGAGCATTACAGAACCGGAGTGATGCCGGCGTTGCAACGAGATAGGAGCCACTAGGACCTCTTTCACGTGCGGATCAGTGCGTGAATACGTACATCGCAATACGAATACGAGAGTGGACCAAAAGAAAGGCCGTTAGGGCAGAATGAAAAGCGGGTCATTTGCCATTTCCGCCTTATCAGATCGAAAACGATGAGCCGATTTGCAGCGATTTTGCGCCAGTCTTACAGCCCAAAGAGGCCAACAGCCTATTACGTATGGTGAGAGAGTGGGGAAGACTAAGTTACCGCTACTCTATTCAGAACCCAGGGTTCTGGAGACCCGGAACCTTGACATTCCAGTGGTGTCATGCATTTGGGCGAATCAGGAGGCGAATTGAATTGCGCTCATAGACTCCTATTTCCTCCTTTTTTTGGAATATCAAATTTGGCTACTTTGTACTGATGACATCTTGAATTTTGATGTCCGAATGGGCCGATTGTTAAGTCGAAAGATGAAAGGCGAAATGGTTCGACGCTAGAGAATAATTCTAGAGAATAAAAGCAGAACGATTTTCCTTCGTAGAAGTTTATTCTTTCTTGTGTCACTTCCATATAAAACCTCGTCTCACTAAAGGAGTGGTTACCTCATTGCTACCCCTTTTTTTATTGGCGGGAAAAGTTTATCGATTGCATCGATTGCACCTCTAGTCTGCTAGTCAGGAACGAAAGGGACCCACCAAATATTTACTGGCTCCGATTTAGTCCATCTAAAATCCGAGCCCAGTAAAAATTCCCAATCCCCAATCGAGAATCGAGCCATCCCCACGCCGCGACTCGCGAAATTGCATATCAAAGCCGACCCTGGACCGTAGGAAGATCAACAAATTTCTCCCTTTTATTTGTTGCCATCGCCCTCGTTTTTACGGTTCTTCTTAATTCTTGCACGTCCATTCTTTGCATTCCGATCGTTTTCAAGATGGATGTCGTGCTCGAAATCGCAGATACCCTCGCGGGAGACTACATTTACTCCAAAGTCCTTCCATTACACCCGGTTGCTCCCCATGACCTCCCAGATGTCGGTGCCAACTCCACTCAGGTTCTGTCATCATGGCAGTTCAAGTCAGCGAACCCTTACTTCCAACTCGAGCCCAGCGAATATGCGTACATGAGCGCCTGGGATAGAGATAACCCATATCGTCAAAGTACTTCGTTATTCCTCATCACATGGTATGTGAACCTTCTCTGCGTTGGGTGCATCGGGTGCATCGTCTATGGCTAGTTAGTGCTAATATAATATTAGGGTCTTTGGCTTCGTGCTATACTTCCTATTTTCGACCCTTTCCTATATCTTCGTCTTTGATAAGAAAACATTCCAGCACCCCAAGTATCTTAAGAACCAGATGTGGCTTGAGATCAAGCAGACCATGAGGTCGATGCCCATCATGTCGGCCTTGACCGTCCCCTTCTGGCTTGCCGATGTTCGCGGTCTCACGAAGCTATACGACACACCCGCCGATGGACCTGGCATGTGGTACGAGATCTTGCAGTATCCCTTTTTCATCTTGTTCACCGACGCTTGCATCTACTTGATCCATCGTGGCCTACACCATCCGTTGATCTACAAGCACCTGCACAAGCCTCACCACAAGTGGATTATGCCTACTCCCTACGCTTCCTACGCTTTCCACCCTGTCGACGGTTGGTCGCAATCGCTCCCGTACCACATCTTCCCCATGCTGTTCCCGTTGAATAAGTTTGCCTCTGTTGCCGCTTTCGTCTTCGTCAATTTCTGGACCATCATGATCCACGACGGCGAGTACATGGCTAACAGCCCCGTTATCAATGGTGCCGCCTGCCATACTATGCATCATCTGTACTTCAACTACAATTATGGCCAGTATACCACCTTATGGGATAGGCTGGGCTCGAGCTACCGCAAGCCCGACCCCGATCTATTCCAGAAGGAGAAGAAGATGGGCGAGGCGCAATGGAAGGCACAGGTCAAGGAGATGGAAGCGATCGTGAAGGAGGTCGAAGGCGAAGACGACCGCAGCTACGATGCCGGAAAGGTCAAGAAGAATAACTAGACACTTCGACTATTGTCTAGATGCGGCGCCTTGTTTTTGTTTGTTGATGCACAAGAATCAGCTGTGCGGAGATGACTTGAAATGACGCCTTGCTTTTTAATGTAAAAAGAACGAGCATGATGTTGTGCGATACGGAGATTTAATTAGTGCTGGTAGTACAGCATAGGATTGTATATAATTGGCAGAATGCTGGGCCTCTAATAATGTAACGGCGTTCGGGATATCCAGAAAAGAGGATTCGGAATCAATTCTATTCCGACTCAAAATTCGAAGTCGAGTTACGAGCCTCGTAGATGGAAATAAGAGGCGACTCTTGCCCCGTCGTTACCTCGATAAAATAATGGATTGGATATATTATATATAATGACCTAAATAAACCTAATGTTTTCTATGAACCTTTTTGGTTTGAATCAATGACGTTGGTTGTACGTGGTGCAAATGTAAATGTCAATACTTGGATGATGCTGGGAGTACGTATGGCCGTTGTGGTGAGACTTCAGTGTATCATTGAAGTTTATATTTATGAGAATTTCATGTATATACTTTTAGTCCAAGGTGGTACTGCTTTAGTAGTTCTATCTTTGTCCTACGAAATTGTAAGAGGACTATAAGATGAGCAAGGATTGATACATGTTATGGCACATTTAGCTCTCTTATGGTTTTAGGTACCTAAGGATAAGGTACGCAAGGCTAGTTGAGACGCGTATACGTGTGTATTAGGTTGGCATTTGGTAACCTGTGTAGACTTTGATAGACTTTGATATTGCATTGAGAAAAAGAAATTGTGATAGGCTGTAGATGCCGAACGATCCATTACCGTCCTCCGTAGTCGTTGAGTACGGCTACATAATAAAATGATATAAACGTTTCAATACGAAACTCCCTTCTCCGTCCAAGAATACATCTGAGCATACGATACCAATAGCACAATCAAGTCGTGCTGGATACCGAGCCAAAGATGCTTCTCCTACTACGGTAAAAGTAATGTACCCCCGCTAGTTAAGGAATAAGCCCACGCCCGTAAACGCCGTCGCAAAATGAAGGAAAACGCGCGAACGCTCATCGCGATGAATATAGGTCGGTCCGTAACCCCTCATCCCACCTACCATCCGTCCATCTCCGATGTCTACGCTGGCAACCGACCAGTCTAAGACTCCCACCCGTACTCTCACAAACCTATAAATATACACACACCCAGGCCCTTACACCTATAGGGCGGACACGACTCATCGTAGACCAACAGGGTTTACAATTGCGCACGCTCATGAGAAACTGACGAACTTGGGGTCCTTCGGTCTCCCATCCGCCGCGATGCCATTTGCGCTGAATCGCTGCTCCATGTAGACCCTGCGCGCCTCATCGAAGCGCATGCGCCTCTTCTTCATAATCGCAAGAATTTGGGCCTTCGCCTCGTCGTCAAGACCTGCGCGGGCATCGCCCCCTTCTACGTTCGCGCCTAGATCGAAGGTGCTGCTCGACAGACCCGCTTCGATATCGCCCGCGAAAGAGCCGGGGAGCCGCGAGTATAGATGCGAGCGTCCGGGGAGAAACGTCACCCAGTAATTCCGGGTTAGGTATAGGATCGTGCCGGTGACGAGCACGAGGAAGGTTAGGGAATAGAGGAGGTATGCCATTTTTCGATTTCGAGGAGGGTATGTAGGTGAGTTGAATTCGTTGCGCAGACGGGAGTAAAAGAAGTGGCGTTGAGTTGAGCTCGTGCGCGAGGATAAGATGGTGGTATCACAGTGGGCGGATCGAATTGAGGCAGCCGATAGTGGTGGATTAGAAAGCCACAGTTTCAGAAGTAAAGGTTTCGCGGCTAGAAAGTCGAAGAAACACAGGGAAAAAGAAACAAGGAAAAGAAGGATAGAGTGAGTGAGTGAAAATTGCAATCGCAAAAAAAACGAGTTAGAAGAAGTAAATGGGTATCGTGATTTTATTTTTTTACGCGTAGGCCATCGGAAGAGACGGTCTTTCTCGCAATCGAAAAGCAGTCCGAAGTTGTTAGTGGAATGGGGAGGGTGGATCGTAGGGTCCGGCCGTCTTAACCGGACTGACGACAGAACTGCAAATGGGAAAATGTAGCCAATTAGAGCTGAGTGGGTATTGGAGGCGTAGACTTGACGAGACATGTGGCTCGTGCGTCTTACGTGTCCCATGTTTGAAGCAGATAGAGCCATGTACTAATGTACATTCAATATTATTGAAAGTATACATAGTACAAGTATATACGCTAATACCGATACGGCCAATTAAGCGACTCCCACACTCGATCATTTGCGCCTGTGAACTTTTTGAAATCGTAACAAGGTCGTCACGATAGAGCAGAACTCCGGCCCATTGAAACCTCATTCCCGCGAATCTCACGATCTCGACCTTCATACAAAATGGCCACCAACAACATCTCCTCAGACCTAGTCTGGGAACTTGTCCGTAAGTTTCTGGGCATAATTTACGAGCTCGATCGGCTAGATTTTAGGTGGTAGTTAGAGAGGCTAATACATTATAATTTTAACGTGCACAGGTAGCAACAACTCCTACCTCGTCAAGCGCAAGGAGTCTGGCGGTATTCAGTTCTCTCGCGACCCTCTTAACTTGACCAACCTCCACAGCCGCAAGGTAAGGGATCTAACTATGGCTTTGGAAGTTATGTTGAAATTAGGAAGACTTAGCTAACGTGGGACTAGTATGCTGGATTCGTGAACACTAAGGTATGAACATGACGGTTATAACACGGTATAATAAGGTTCGATATTTCAGCGAGACTTACAGTTGGAAAATTAGGCCATCGGTGTCCAGCCCGCGGAGAAGAACGGCGTCAAGGTCATCAGCAAGAAGGAGTCAGCTGTTCAGAAGCCGGCTAAGTCTACCACCGAGGTCACCCACAGCGGCGGCCAGGCTACGCGAAAGTCAGTTTCTCTTGGATATCTACGTCCTGCCGGTTGATCGCAACCCAGTTTACTAACACGCGTAACTACACAGGATCTACAAGACCGTTGCCAACCAGACTGCCAAGTCCGGTTACCGACCCGACCTCCGTGAGGCTGCCGTCTCCCGCGTCTCTGCCATCCGCCAGTCCCAGCGGGAACCCAAGCCTACACCCGAGAGGAAGCCCCGAGGCGCCAAGGCCAAGAAGGCTGCTGCCGCCGCGGAGTCATAAGCTCCTTATATACAAGGAGAGGGGATGGAAGGACTAACTGGGTAATGACTGCAGAGATAAGGCCGGCCGGTAAATAAGGCATATGCATTTTTGGTAGTCAATCTAAGTTCCTAAGGAGTTTGAGGAAATCCTTCAACGAAAAATGCCTCCTTTTTGGTGTGATTTTGAACTTATCTCGCATGCTTCCTAGCACGTATTCCCTAGGGAAAACAAATGGGACAAGATGGTGCCAGTCTAATCCGGTATGACTACCCGGGCAATCCTACCTTAGTAGCCTTGGTGACGCTCGGCGGGAGCGGTGTGCGCAGCAGCAAACCTGAGCTCATACGTATGTAGTACATGCAGATATGGGTTGAGTTATTTAACGCCTAGATCGTTACATACTAGGTAATATGCGTAACGTGTATGTAGCTAAGGTAAGGTACTTTATCTTGGCAACCAACTTAGGGGTAAGCCGGGAAACTTCATACTATTAATAACGAGTAAATTATTACGTCGGCTACTCTTTTTCTTTTGAAGCCGTGAAAGAATTAAAAAGCTATTAAAACTTGAATGGAGTTGGTTTTAACCTGTCCGGCCTTGCCCGATACCGAGAAGTGAACCTCGGGAAATGGTTATGATGTAAAACTGCCACAAGCCAATATATGAAAACTCCATTCCGGACAATAGCCTCGGGTTAGAGGAATAAGGCGACTGGGACTGGAACTGGGACTGGGCACTTGGATTAAACGCTAGTTAGCTCTGTACCTTTAGGTAGGTAACTTCCAATAGGAGGAAAAGAACACCGACGATAGGTCACCTTGAGGGATCACAAATGCTAGTAAGATGTTGAGTAGGTATTTCGCAGTTTCGCAGTTTCGCAGTTAATTCATAGTATCATCGGACATAGCATTATGTAGTTCAACTCTTAACCCTTGCCATCAGCTCCGCCGACCTGAGATGCCCAGGAAACAAACTTCCATGCATGTGGTTTCAGCATGTATGTACGGATCCGTACCTAGGTAGGTTAACTATTTGCTATACGGCGGAAGAGCTAAAGCAGTTATAAGCTCGCCTGCCGGAAATGAGATCACGAATAGCCAATTAAATAAGAAACATTGCTTCGAAATCCAAACGTGATTGGTTCCTGCAGGCGCGGGATTATGTGAATGCTTTCTTGTTCTTGGTGGGATAACAAGAATGCAAGAAGGTAGGCACGATGGAGATGGTGGGGTAGCGCCAAACAGCAATAAAGCTAAAGTGGATTCCTCCTTCTACTTCACGTCCTTGTGCCCCGCCTTCTTGCGTATCAACTCAACTTTCCCGATTTCATCATCCCGGAAAGCTCTACATACATAAAAGCGCGAGGGTAAGTAACCTCTTTTCTTCCCATCCTACATATTTACTTTTACAATTGTCTAAATCTCTCTTCCTTTCGAAACTGTCGACTTGATTTATCCTGCCTGGAGCTGGAGATATACTAACACACGTATCCGGTGTCTTAGTCCTTAAACCATTTACCCCACCTCAACAACTTATAAATCGCGACCATGGTTAAAGCTGGTATGAAGCACCATGTCCGGACTCAAGTTTAAAGAGTATACATACTAATGAGCGATTAGTTGTTGCCGGCGCTTCTGGCGGTATTGGCCAGGTTCGTCATTCTTCCTTCTGAATATAATAAAGCAAGAGTCTCGAAGCTAACAAAGCACAGCCCCTGTCCCTCCTTCTCAAGCTTTCCCCCCTCGTTGACGAGCTTGCCCTCTACGATGTCGTGAACACCCCCGGCGTCGCTACCGATCTCTCCCACATCTCCTCGACTGCTGTGAGTAACCACCCCCAACGTAGTACATGATGATAATCGTGGAGCCTGACACAATAAATAGAAAGTCACAGGCTACCTGCCCAAGGACGATGGCGGAAAGCTTGCATTCAAGGATGCGGACATCATTGTCATCCCCGCCGGCATTCCCCGTGAGTCTTTAAATATTACCTCAAAATTGATGTAACATAATAGCTCATACAATTGCAGGCAAGCCCGGCATGACCCGTGACGACCTCTTCAACATCAACGCTGGAATCGTCAAGGGCCTGATCGAGATTGCTGCCGAGGTCGCCCCCAAGGCCTACATCCTCGTCATCTCTAACCCCGTCAACTCCACCGTCCCCATCGCCGCTGAAGTTCTAAAGGCGAAGGGTGTCTTCAACCCCCAGAGACTGTTCGGTGTCACCACCCTCGACATCGTCCGTGCCGAGACCTTCGTTGCCGAGATTGCTGGCAAGAAGACTGGCTCTGAGCTGACCGTCCCCGTTGTTGGTGGACACTCTGGCGAGACCATCGTCCCTCTCTTCAGCAAGGTCAGCCCTAGCGTGTCAATCCCCGATGACAAGTATGATGCTCTCGTCAACCGTGTCCAGTTCGGCGGTGACGAGGTCGTCAAGGCCAAGGATGGTGCTGGTTCCGCCACCTTGTCCATGGCTTTCGCTGGATACCGGTAAGATATGCCTTCCTTATCTCTAGGGAACAAATGCTAACAATGCTCTAGCTTCGCGGAGAAGGTACTGAAGGCTATCAAGGGAGAGAAGGGCCTTGTCGAGCCCAGCTTTGTCTACCTCAAGGGCATCCCTGGTGGTGAAGAGATTGCACAGGCCACTGGCTTAGAGTTCTTCTCTGCGCCCGTTGAACTCGGAGTACGTATTCCCTCAGTCGTATTGGTAAAATTATGCTAACCGTCCCATAGCCCAACGGTGCCGAAAAGATCACCAACCCTCTTGCTGGCATTACCGAGAAGGAGAAGTCTCTAGTAGACGTCGCCATCCAAGGCCTGAAGACCAATATCGAGAAGGGCATCAGCTTCGCGCACAACCCCCCTCAAAAGTAATTACCCCCTTGATTTACCCCCGGATGAACTTGCCTCGCTCATGGAGCCTGGCGCGGCTACAATGTAATGTGTTTACCACAAACATCTTGCCCACGGGTTTGGCGTGTTTTATAGAAGAAGTCAAACCAGACAGTTGAGCGATAATTGAGATCGAGTAACTGATCCTATCTGATTGCATAGGTTGTAAGAGTGACGTAATCGCCCTGATTAGAGCCAGTTCATGTCTCTCCATCGTGTCCAGCCAAGTCCGTTTTAAGAAGGTTTGGGGGTATTTCGGGTATTAATACCGGTATAGGGGGTTCGTCTAGAGAGGTATGCGCTGGGGGGTTAGGTAAGGTATTATTTTCTGTTGGCGGGATAGGACGGAAGGGGTGAAAGGGGGGTATATTAGGTACGGGGTGGAACTCTGCGATGCTTAGAAACATCATTTGTAGATATCAACAAAGTAACAAACCAAACACCTAAACGCCGTTACTTCTAAATGCTAGATCCCACCCTGCCTTTCCCTTTCTTTTACGCCGCCGCGCCTCCAAAATCCTGGTACGATGGAACCTGTCATGCATGTCTTACGTGGACATTCCGCGTGCCAAGAGACAATTCTGCCATGTAATAAGTAAATAGACAAAGTCTATCTTGGTAGGTTGGTTAAGTTAAGTCAGGTGACGAGACCTCATTGCTTGGTAGGCACGGTCTTGATCTGGAAGACGGCACCGGGAAGCTCGTTGGTCTCAGCCTGGACGGTGGCGGCGATGCCCATGGCGGCGAGGGCGCCGCGGATGATGCCGCAGGGGAACCAGAGAAACTATGAGTGTGTTAGAAGGGAGTTTGTTCTAGAGATGATGTAGATGGGTGGGTAGGTAGGTGGTAAGACGAGGGGGATATAGGGGGAGAGGTAGATTAAATAAAATACGCACAGGCTGGGCCCTCACGACAGCGTGGCCGCCGGCATCGGCGCTCATGCGCGAAAGGGGGCGGAAGGCGTTGTCTGTCAGGACGTAGACGCCGCGGTGGTTGGTCTTGAGGTTGTCGACTTGCTTCTTAAAGACTAGCATCCACAGGTCCTTGCATATGAACTTGATGGCGTCCAGAGTGTCGTTGAAGCGTGGGCGGTCGCGGGAGAAGCTGTGGGTTCGTGTTAGTAGAGTTATGTATATATAGAAAGAGAGAGGTATAAGTGTGATGTAGTTAGAAGTTTTAGAAGATAGTATAGTGCCGATAGAGGAGTAAAGTATCGTATAATACGAAAAAGAAGAGAAATATATATGGGAGACAGAAGCATACCGTTCAACAAGCCCCAACCCAACTCTATACCCCAGCCCATCCAACCTAAAGAAAACCGCATCCCTCTCCTCGTCCTCATCTAGCTTCTGTCCACCTGTCCCCGTCTCCCCGCCATTCTCACCAGCAGCAACAGCGGCGCCGGGCTCCGGCGCATCCAGCTCGTTCGCGACGCGGTACGCCATGGGCACCAGCTCGATCATCAGGAAGTCCAGACACGACGTGCTCAGGAACGAGGCGTTCGGATCCGAGGCGTTGAAGGGCGGGAGGGGTTGGTCGAACGACGACATGGTTGGTGTCCTTCTTTTTTTTATATCTCGCTGTCTTCCCTTATTACTACTACCACTGCTTTACTTTCTATTTCCAGTTCTTCGTCGATATATCAAGATTTCCTGTATGTATGTATGGAAGTAATAACTAGCAGCTGCTGTTATTATTATAATCCTCTCTTCTCCTCTTCTCTTCCTTTCGATATATATAAACTGCCTACCCTCTTGCGTCTTCTTCCCCGAGGAGACTCGCAGTATAAGTATATGTATAAGTAGAGGTGGTAGTCGTAAGGTACGTAATGAACTGTAGATGATGTTCGTAGCGTTCGAGATGTAATCTTCCGCGGCGCATTGGTGGTTTAACAGCGGATGGATGGGCGATTAGGCTGCGGTCGCATGAGCAATATATTATGGTATTGCTTAGAGTGCTGTTATAATCTGTCGTTATTTCGTTATTGCTTCGTGGTGCGTGGAGGAGTTGCTGGTAGCTCGAGGCTGAGAATAGTGGGAGAGACAGGGCCTGAAGCTGCTGGATTTCGAGGTAAGTTCAGTGTTGCGTAGCAGTGGATAAATGCTTGGCATGCGCTAATCAATCAAGGACATACCTATAACTACCTATATATGCATAAATACCTAATACGTATTGACTTAAACATCATAAGTCGTTCTTACGCTACAAGCTATAGTAGAAGTCCTCGCATATCATTCTAATGCATCGGGTTTTTATTATTCACTTTTAAACGAGACTATTGGTAAAGACCTATAGTCCACCGAGTCCACCGAGTCCAACCGCTTCGCTCTGGCCCTCTTGATCGCAACTCCAGCCATATGTAGCCTCCATAAAGCAATAGGTATTTCCACCCCTAACGCCGAGGTGACCATCCCCTCCTGCCCCTATCATACCCATACCTTGCTTGCACAAGGGGATGATCGCATTCTATGTACAGAGAGAACTAGGGATGGGGAGGTGAAAAGACAAAAGAAAAAGGATTTCGCATCGAACTTCCGATGATGCCGAATTCCATGCCGCAGGATATGCTTTTTCATGAAAACGTCGTAATATCCGTCATAGAAATTACTCTCGCCCACCTTGCGTAATAATTACTAAACCCCTAATGCTAACCAACTTCCTAATCTCGTAGGAGTACTTCCATCCACTCTTCTACGAATTCCATTGCCTGATATTGTAAAAAAATCCACTACGTCGTGCGGCTATGGCGAATACGACGTATATTTCTAATAACTGTATGCAGAAGGAAAGTTCAGACCATTAGTCGGCCCTAAGTTTTGACGTTTTGGAGGGCGAACAATAGGTTCATCATCTTCATCGCTACTGAGGGTAAGATCAATAACCTCTGCCGGCCGCTTGCTGCTCCCAGATCTTTGCGTATTCGGCGTCTCTCGATGACCGCCGTTGGGCGTTCCGCCGCCAAGAAAAGAGCGACTCGGTGTGCTCATGGTATTCCTCATACTGCCTATTGGCCCACCGGGAATACCGTTGCCAAAAGCGTGGGTGTCGGAGAGTATTGATATATCGTCATCATCCTCTATCTTGGCACCGGTAGGGGGCCGAGATCGGGTCGGTTCTGGCTCTTCAGACTTCACTCTCCATTGACCATCCGGTTCAATGGTGACTTGCTCGCATGACTCAGGAGTGTTCTCCAAGACTTCCTGTACATACTCGTCTATCGCAAGAGTATCAAACGGCGCAGATTTAGAGCAGATTGGACAGCTCCAAGTCGGTCCCTGTTCTTGGAGCTGCATGAATGAATTCGCGTCAAAACACTGGATATGATTACACGATGTTCCTCGGCAGGGAACCTTTAATCTTGCATAACTAAGCGGACACTTTAGAGATAGGTTTTGGGAAGTTGCTACAACGTCTGGATCGTTGGCTTTCTTGGAGACTAGAAGTATATTAGCATGTGGCTTCGTATCAGAGGCGATTCATGCCGTACTCTCGCGAATGACCGAGACTTTGGATATCTTCTTCGCCTTGATCCTTGTAACTAATTCATCGATTGGGTGTGTTTTGCATACGTATAACGCCAGGTAGAACTTCTATTTCAATACTGTTAGCGAGATACAGAGTAAATAGAACCACCACTTGGTGTCCAGGGGTCGACTCACTTGAGTCCCTCTTGAAGCTTTAGGCTTCCGTACCTTAGTGGTCAGAGCATAAGTAAACTCGATTTTGTTAGTATAGTTGGTCTGCTTCAGTCTTAAAAAGGGGGTAATGTCAACCGGATGGGTTGATCCTGGTTTATTCTTGAGGCCTCGAAGATTATGTTTTATGTCATCGTCATTCACCTTGACTTCGGACTGGTGGGGGAACTGGATATCCTGAAGGCCCGTATTTTCACTTCCGCAGAATACCATGAGCTTAGTAGATGAGTAAGTCGCGCATCGCCCAAGATCTGGGTAGTCGCTAGCTTTTAAGGTTACGGTGATGGAATTTCGGTGGTTGTTCATGACTAAGACTGAAATGTCAGTCGAGTTGTTACAAGAAAGCGATATATGTCTTATAGGAACATCCTACCGGGACACGTGTGAAGCGGGCCGATCCTCTTTTCGATAGTGTAGAAGGGCGTATTCTTGAAGATGTTGTCTGAATGAGTTGCTCTAGAAGCAACGGGATACCCGGTACCGTTCCCGACAACACTGGCGCCGTTGCTATAGCCGTGACTCGGTTGGGGCATACTGGAACCTGCTGGTTGGTATGAGCCATACGAGTTATAGTAGCGACTCTGAGGTTGTACGCCCAAATTGGACGGAGGAGCCATACTCTGTGGACCAGAGTTTCCTCCTCGGATATTCATTATCGTGTCGCGTATCGCGTTGTATCTCGCGGGGTCGGACTGGTAGTTTTCATGGAGCGCTGTAAGGTAGATGTTAGCTATCGGTTGAGTGTATCGTCCGGACATGCCGAAATGATTAGAGAAGAAAGGTTATGTAGAAGTGAAGAAGTGAATAGGCGAGGGGAGAGGGGGGGAAGATCTGGATGGTAAATGTGAAACTTTATATAAAAAAGTTGGCGACAGATGAGAACAATGAATCTCATCTACATTGCTGCTGCTGGTGCTGCTGCCTTGGGCTGTATCGTATTTGATTCTATTCGCATATTTCGCATATTCGTATCGAACCATGCACCCATCATTGTATCATCGTATCATCACATCATCGCATCCTTTTTTTATCTTTTTCAATTTTTTCATCTTTACTAACCATTCTTGATGCGATTTTGTAAATTGGCCTTAACTCCACTTGTTCTCAATCCATGGGATGAGCAGATGTGTTGTAACTGTTTATTAAGCAAAGTGGATATGATTCGCTCGAGGGATCGAATATCGGTGTTGTTAGAGGACATGATTGCTACCGTCTCGCAAGGCAGTAAAGGCAGTCGCGGTCGCAGTTGCACGTTATCCAAACGAGCCGCCTCATGAGGAAGGCTCCGATGTGCGCTAAAGAAGTACCAAATTTCGCTGTAAGGCTGGCCAAATAACCTGAGTCCCTATGTCCGTATTTCCGTATGTACCCTTAACGTACTGCGATTTATCACCCACGACAAATCGCGCCTGCTAACCTCCAGGCTTATTAGGTACCACCTAATTCGAGCTTCGTCCAAATTCGATAAGTCGATAAATCGATATTTCTACCCAAGAATTGTTAACTACTATTCCAATTATAAGCGAAACTAGGTCGGGCTAGGTTGGTTTGGCCATTGAAATATTGTAAAAAGAATGTCAGCTTTAATAGATTTGGCAACGGGAAAAAAGGTACGGGGCTTTTGGAGGTGCCTGCGACGTACTCGGCGGCTGATAATGATAAGTGAGGTATCGCTCCTATGAAAGAAAATTCACCGCCTACCGCATTAAGTAGATACCCATAGGTTACATAACTAAATCACTTAGGTTTAGGTTAGGTTAGGTACTTTAATTATGTACGATGTACATCTGTACCTACATAGTACGCGCATCCCGCTACCCTTGCTTATACCCTGTACTAGGTAGCTTCTATCTTAGCGGGATCTACGGCAAGGCTTAATCTATTGCCCCACCAAATGTGTGCGGAGCATTCAAACCCGTCTAAATATTTTTTTTTTCTTATTCGACTGTTTGAATTTGCCATCGCTAATATAGTTGTACAAGTCGAAATATTTACGGTAAGCATACTCCAATCTGCCAACACCGTTTAACTCGGGGATATTTTATACTATTCTTCCTGGAATCCCACTTGATTTTCCGTTACTTGCGTCAATTCGTATATAAAGTTCAAAATTTCATACTAACTGATAACTTCTCAAGTCTTGCAAACCCATTCTCGAAGGACATCAATACATTCATTCCCTCTAATCAAACATCCCATTCTCCCAATCAACTTTTAGCAATGGCGAAGAGCTCCCGCGCCAGCACGCGCAAGACCAACAACCAGCGCCTAAAGGCCAAGGTCTTCGGCCCCGTCGAAGCAGCCCGAGCCGAACGTCTCTCTGCCAAGCTCCTCGAATTGGCTGCGCAGCCCAAGCCTCAGCCTGAAGGGGATGATATGAAGATTGTAGACGGTGCTGAGGAAGATGCAACCAAGGAAGAAGATGTTGCTACAGCAGAGGCCGATAACAGTAAGTATCGATTCTAAACCTTGTACCATGTTTTATAGTCTCTAATAATCTCGTAGCAATGGACGTTGACAGCGCCAAACCCACAAGCAAACGCAGCGATAAGAAGCGCATTGAGAAGCGGAGGAAGACCAGCAAGATCGTCTTCCCCAAGTATGGCGACAAGAAGAAGACAAAGAAACGCTAGATGCAAGACGTATCAAAGGAGTAGGTTATGGTGAATTGCATTGTTAGGCGTTCGGTTGTGTTTTGGTAGTACGTAGGTATATCTAGGTCTATACTTGATTCCCACAATGATACCCTTCTTGGAGATATCACATCTCGCTATTTACGTGACCCCCAGTCGCCATAGGCGTTGCATTTGTAGCCGATATTGGAACTGAGGGAGCTAGAGGAGTTGGAGAAGCTAAAGGAACCGCATCTGGACCTGTGTCCAGGGTTATTGGAGGCGCAATAGTAGCGGGTGTTGAATTTGAAGGTGTTGCTAATACATCAGTTTGCGACGGGGCTGGAGCTGGAGTTGAAGCTGGAGGAGCTGAAATCTCAGCCTCTATCATAGGTTGATTCGGCGTAGTAGCCACTGGCGGAGATACTACGTTTGCAATGGTAACCGATTCCTTTGGCTTAGTAGATGTGACTGGTGTAACTGGTGTAACTGGTACAGCCGAAACAGCATTCTTATCTATTTCTGGCGCGCCTTCCTTGGGACCTTCGGGGGTATCCATTTTCTTTTCCGGTCCCGGTGCGTCGGGGTTCAAAAACCGAGCCGGCACGCCAGTGGCCGCATAAGATCCGTTGCCCATCCACGCACCCGCCAAGCGACTCCATCTATATTCCCCGCGCCAGAGTTTCTGTATCTCCCGGAATGCGTACGCATTGTAATATGGCAGTCCAGTTTTAGGGTCTTTATAGCGTGCCGGGTGATTAGTGATGATGCAACGAGGAACTGGCGGCGGTTCTGTATATCTTTAGTATCCGAATATGAGGGACGTCACAATACGGAACAACTTACTGCTCAGCTTAGCCATGTCCTTGCCGAACAGAATCTGATTCTGTACGGCTTTTTCCTTCACAGCATTCTCGTTAAAGTTCTGCAAGATAATGCAATTTCGCGTGGCTTTACCATTAGCAGGAGGTGATGGCGGGGGTGGTGGAGGGGCTTCTTTAGGTTGATGTCTCTGGGCGTTGGCCTTAGAAGACTTGGTGGTGCTAAGAGTTTTAGGAGTATATCGTGCCGCTGAAGTAGATTTGTGCGCTGGTGTCGGTGTAGATATTTGAGCAGGTGGAGGAGGTAGCGAGGAGGTAGGTATAGAAGAAGTAGTTACAGGTTTAGGTGTGGGTGTAGGTGTAGGTGTAGGCATAGGCGCGAGAGTCGGACCAGGTTGTGTTAAAGGTTGAACAGGGTGAGATGGGGTCGACATAGGAGGAGGACAAGCTCCCGTCTGAGGCATAGAAAGAGGTGATTGCCTTTGGGCTGTATTAGGGGGTGCCAGGACGGTTGAAGGGTTGGTAGTATTAGGGGTAGAATGATAACCTATCATTGGCATAGAAAGGCCGCCTTGAGTAATTCCCGCCGGTGGAGCTAAGAAACTGTTAGGAGGTTTCAATTCCAGTGGTTTCATTAGTTGTGACGGCTGAGGAGGCGCAAATACGCTGGTAGTATAAATGCCTGTTACTGGAGGCCGCATATCTGGTGCTTTCATTTCTGGAATTTTGGCTTCCGAGGGCTTTGGCTCCTGAGGTCGGGGTGGCGGTTCACTTAAGCTCGCTACCGGAGGTGGAGGCATTATATCTTTTGGAGATTGACCCGGCACAACTGGAGGCGCACTAGGAACCGCAACTGGTGTTGCCTGAGTTGGCGCAGTTGTAGAGTCCAATGCAGGTAATGATTTTTCGCTGTCCGTCATGGGCTTTTTAGAGACGGTGGGACTCGGCGTAGTTCCATCTTTAGCATCGCTCTCTTTTGCTTTTAAGACTTCAGTTGAGGTTGGTCCTGGCTCTTTATTTTCTGCTTTATCTATATTGACTGGTCCAGACTCTTTAGGTTTGTCAGGATCCTCCGTATTTGAAGGATCCGTAGATATTTCGTGGCCAGCGACAGAGGTTCGTTTCTTTTTAGCTGGCTTTTCCTCAATGGTGACGATCTTGCCAACGTGTTTCAACTTGCCATCAATCCATTCGCCAACTCCACTCCAGAAAGTTACAACCGGACCATCAAGGGTTCGGTTGTTCAAAGCCGCCAATTTAGCCCTTCGTTCTTCTTCCCGCTGCTTCTCGGCTTCTTCCCAGCGATTTAAGCTTTTAGAATTCTTCTTCTCTACGACAACAGCTTCGGCAAGCCTCTGAGCCTGCGTCATGGGTGGCTTCTTCAGGGCTTCCATCCTCTTAGCTTTCTTCTCCATAGCTTCGACTTGCTTGAGACGCTTGACTTCACGTTCGATCATTTGTTGATGTAGCTGCTCCTTGCTGAGCATCGTGGTCTCTCGTTTGGAAGCTCGCGTGGGCATGTCGGCAGGCGAAGGTAGCCAACTTATCCTTTCGGATTTCTTCTTGGGTCTTGGCTTCGGTTCGGGCGCCATCGAGGTTCCTGAAGGGGTTGGCGCAATCTTGACTTTCTTGCGAAACTTGACGGGGATCGCTTCTTGGGCTTTTCGCTTTCGTGCAGCTTGTTTGCTCTCCCGCGCACGCTTTTCCAATTCCTTCTCCCCTTCTAATTCGTCACCGTTCTCTTGCGCATCCTCTTCGTCCGATGAGGAGTCCATCTGCACATCAGAGCCGGCATCTTCGATATCAGTGAAACCTGCGTCATCTTCATCCTCAGCGAAGAGGAGCTCGAGATCATCGTCGGGTTCTTCGGCAGCGATCATGGACTTCATGCGGTTGCCAGCCGTAGATCGTTTCTCTCGGCCTGTTGCGAGCCATTCCACTTGTAGGGATTCACCCTCGTCGCCGGAGCCGCCATCTTCGCTACTCAAGTCTGTTTTGTCGAGGTCTAAATCGTTGTCGCTCGTTTGCGCGCGTTGCTCATCTTCTTCGTCTGCCATCTCGAATGGTCCTAATAGATGATATCCCTTCGCATCTCGTAATCAGCTACGCCAGGGTTAGTTGTGATTATATCTCGGTAACTGCCGTATAATAAAGCGTCATATCAGTGCTACTAAATGTAGTTGTTCGCGTCGTTACTGTTTTTTGCAAGGATCCGATTCTCGTTATTAGGACGTCATTAAAAGTTTAACATTTTGCATTGTGATATCTTAGATATGCAATACTCGGATTTTGTAATTAACCCATATATTAAATATCCAAAGTACCTAACTTGGGGTACAACTCTTAAGGCTTCATTTCGTCATCCCCTATTAATTTGTTTGCTATGGTCTGACTATAAAATGCCTTCGCATATTTACACATAGTTCCTCTATCATTTCACAGTTCTTTTTCTGTCGTAGAAGGCACAATATCGGCTATCCATACGATATACTTGTCACTTAGCTATCGAAGTTGATTCTCAATATTTCCTTGCTATCGCCGACAATTGTGAATATAGGATCAACATCGACCGTGGTCGCAATTAAAAGAGTCTTCTCCGAACGCGTCGGGGGGAACCATTACTGTAGCCGTCGCCCCGTTGCCAATTGCGCGTTGGCGTGACGGTTGGCATAGACGGGGACATAACCTGAAAAGTATCGCCTTGTGCGATACCGATGACTGCTTCGGTCCCGATGGAGTTGGTACTAGTGAACCAGTCTCGAGGAGCCATAATATCTAGGGAGCCGATTGGATCCTTGAGGACTATAAATATATTATCAGTACTTAATATATCTATAAGTTCAAACATAGTGACGTACCAAATGTTTTCGCTCCATTACTTGCTAGGCTTTTCTGGGGGGTCTTGGAGGTGCTAAAAGAACATCAGCAACGTGTCTTAAATAATATTAAGGAATAAGGATTCGCTAACATTGTAGTATTCGATAGTAGACTATTCACTTCCTCTATGGCAGACGGCTTGCTGGAGTGTATGAGGAATGAGCTGGCGTCCGAGCGGTTCGATAGTATCATAAAGTACTGTTCTCCTTTCTTCACTTCCAACTCACAGGACCCAGATCTGAACGAAGCTGTCATCACCATACAAGTGTTAACTGGACCTTGCGCGTGGTTGAGTTGGATGAAACACTCCATCTTCGAGTGAACTATTGAAATATGTTAGTCGATATTTCCTCCTTAGATAACCTATCATGATAGATATACCTTTCCTCGCCGTAAGGCAGTCTTTGAGACATGAACAGGTCGACTCCAAGTGGAAATGAATATCGATTGAAGTTTCTGGAAGCCACCCAGTACCAGGATTCCACTTGACCACGAGTGTGTCTGAGTCCTCGTTGCGTCTCACCTTATATCGTAAATCCTGCTTGATTTGAGTGCACTCCAGAATTCTCTGGTCACCTTGGCTGATCGCTTGCTTTCGATACCAATACCGAGAACGATTTCCTTCGTGGAACACATGCGTCGGGACTTGAGTAACTGCATCGGCGAAGAGGCGCTTAGCAGTATTGAACAAGAGAGAGGATTCTAGGATTCTGCTGGAAATCCCCAACTCATCCCTTGCGCCTTTTATTGTCAACCACTTCTCGTGTACCTTGAATAAACCCTGTGAAGGTGAGTAGAAGGAGTCTAGCCCTACGCTGCCAGCGTTGACGAATAGCACAGATATATCAGCGGTCTGAGGGCATGAGTCGAGGCCAGCTCGAATCAGTCGATGGACGGACTGGGCGAAGCCCGTATCCGGAATAGCAGTAGGTTCGGCTGCTAGGAATTGCTTTTTTTCCTCCTCTTCTGCCGTTCTAAATCCACATTCCTTTAGAATGGTCCAGTAGGAGTCTTTTATCTCAAGACCCTCGCGGCCCAAGCCTTGGACAATCTGGTCAAACCGTGTGTTCTAGATAATGTGAGCAAGTAAGCCTTGTGGATTAAAATATTGGTACATACCTGGCTTCTCTCTTTAGCGGAATAGAGCCACTTGTCCTTGAACTCCTTAAGAATGAATTTCTTAATATAATCTCTCATATCTGAGAAGATAAAATACTCCGCCTGTGAGACATCCGCATATTCTGGCTTCTCGGAGTTAAGGAGTTCATGGAACTTCGCGACCATGTTGTCTTGGATACGGAAGGCCCGGTTCCAAATGCGTAAAATAGCCGTCAATTCGTCGTCGGCATGAGTTAGGAACTCTCTCTCGCGGTTCGCGACTCCATCTGCAAAATTGTATCCATACTGCAGCTTTTTCCCAGTAATACTAGCGGATCTACCATTCCTTGATTCTTTCAGCAATAGACCCTTTAGGTAGATACTTCCGCTGAATCGAGTGTCTAGGATTAAGTCTCCCCTTTCCGTTCTCACAATATTGTTGTCATCAACACTCTGTAGGAAAAGTGCCGATTTGGTCCAATTCCTGAACTGTTCTTTTGTGACTTCATTCCTTTTTGTTGGGAATCCATTCTCATCCCGGCCAGTACCATTGCCGCCAATGAAAAACTGGACATCTTCGCTAGGTGAAGTTTCAATGGGTACTAGGTTGTTTTTCACGTCGCTCGTTGCTTGATCATGGGCTTTTTGGATTGCGGTAGGTGTCATCCTAGTAAGACTGGTAACAAGTCTTCGTTGATTAGTAAAGTTGAAGGTCCATGAAAACCCCCCAGAACGACATCGGACCGCATGATTCTGAGGCCTTCGTAGAAGAACTAGAAGAGCAACTTTGAGACCTTCCCCGTGGGCGCCCGCTTGGTTTGTGACATTACGCTTGCTCGTCCCTCCCATGTCAAGGTGCCAGGGTTGGAGTGTAGCTTGTCTGTTCGTGACTTCCACGGTGCCGAATCCATTCTGTTTAAACCATCTAATATATCCTAAGCATTCCGGTATTTTGGTTTGCCCTGGATAAGAATTCTTAGCCCCGGAAGCTTTGAATATGATTCCATAAATGCCCTCCGTGCATGTAACACGAAAGCTGTCCTCAGCTATCTCGAAGGACTTGATGATCCCATCTCTCCTACACGGTAGTTAGCTCGACACCGTGAAGCTAGACTATATTAACTCACCAATTCTGTACGAGTTCGCGGAATGCCTCCACAGGACCCCAGTGAGAAGCATAATTGGAGACGATGGGGAAATTTATGGTCATTCGCTGGTTGATGGATTCAAGCGTGACCTTATTTTCCAAGGTGTAAGACTCGTCATCGTCTGAGAATCTCCAGTCCTCCGGGGGGGTATGCGGTGTTTGCGACTTATGTGCCATATCGTGATCTTGTCTAGTAGTGAATAGTTAGAGTAATAGGCTCAATATTCCTATGAAGGGAAACTATTCCTATATGTGAATAGTTATAAGCCTCTACGATGGATTGGTTTAGTGATAAGGGAGATTGAAGTACGCACAGATACATAAGCAGTGAGCAGCAAATTAACAAAACTAAAAGTCAAGTAAGGTAGAATAATAGGACGTCTGAAACTCTACTGTTTATATTTCCATAAGGTAGTATAAGTAACCTTTTGAAGATATCTAAACAAACGCGTATCCCCAATTACACTCATCCACGCAAAGAACCTACATAGAGACGATGTTTCCTAGGCTACTGATATTTTCCTGTCAATGCCCACCATTTTTCTTCGTACCTATCTATGTATAAACGCGTTTGACAGACTTCTATATTTACGGTCCTGCAACGCTGTGTTGGTGTCAACACACAATCGTAGTCCCAGCAATCAAGTCTTCCAGGTAGTTTGTAGGAACGTGTCGACAGAGTAACTGGGTTGATAAACGCCACATGCTAAATTGACATTGTCACAAAACTTGCATGTATAGAGAAGGCAGTTTCTGAATGTAAATACAAGCAGATATGAACCGGACCGAAAGAGATCAATCTGGTAAATGTAGGCAGCATGAGTCGCAGTTATAAAGGGGTCGCTATAGAGCTTCAAGGAAAGCTCGGAATCAAAACTTTTAAATATATGTTTGACATAAACAGCAATAACCAAGCATTTTCTATAGTGTAGATTATCTTGTGGCTGTTGGTAGTAGAAGGCCAGCAGTCAAATGTATCATATATCAAGTCCATTTCCTATTCTGTCTGCTAGGACATCTGAGGCCAGGAGCCTTACATGAACCATGCATATATTCATTTCATAATTTCATACGAACATCTGGTTATTCGCCCCTTACTAAGACTATCCCAAATAAAGCCGTTGCTATTCACGGATTGTACCGATAAAGTCAGCTTATAACACTTAGCTATTCACTCACTCGCCTAGTAAAATAACCAAGCTCTGCGCTTCGTAACATAATCATAAAGACGAATAGCTAGAGTCTAGCTAACACTTCCTACATCCTAGACTAGGGGAGAGTCCTTGTAACAGCTAATCAGCTTATTATTGAACGAGGCGGAATGGGTGACGCCATACGATAGAGCCCCTATCCCCTGACTCGTCACATCGTAAGAGTCGTACACTAGGGTGGTTAATAATCTAAGCTTAGGTAGGCACCCAGTATATACGACAATACTCCCGAGGAGTAAAGCTTCTTTTACGAACTTCTCCGTATCCTACGTAGGCAGAATGGCGTCAAAAAAACATGCCCCATACTATGATGGCTAGTACGGGGTATCTTTTTGACGCCATTCTAGTAAGTAGAAATAAAATAGCTGGAAATCTGTCACCTCCGCCCGCCAAGTCCTTAACGCGACGACTCCGGAAGAAAGTCAACACGGGGGTCTCCACGCCTCCGCCTACAGCAAAAGCCGCATCACCCTCTCGGCACACTCGGCAAGTTCGGAATTTACCTTACGTACTAGACGGGCAACGCGGCGGACTCTTCTCGGTCCACCTTCGTCATAGAGGCGAATTTTCTGCCGTAGGGGTAGGTAGGTATATACCCGGCATCGGTCTTTACTAATCTAAAGGTACCTATGGATGGGCATTGTCTGTAGGACTAAAGAAAAAAAAAGAAAAAAAGAAAAAAGCCGAAGAGCGGACCGGAGAATCGAATCGTCGATTGATGACTATTGCATATGCATGTATGTCGTAGACGAATAGACCAACCGACCAACCGACCAACCGTAGAATAAACAAAGGAACAAATCCAAGCTGCTGGAGACGACCACGTGGAGACCGCTGAGCCTCTTGCATTACGTGTCTAGGCCGGGTGTGTGTGTATAACATACGTATCATACATATCATACATATCATAGTACACCACCTAACATATCATAGTTCCATAGTCCTAGAGCAGGTTTTTTTTCTTTTTATCCACCCCTACCGGCTCTCGAGAAACTTTCGCTTGACGACTACCTTCACGACTACATGTGCCTAGTATTGTGCTAGTATTGTGTACTGTAAGCTCCACTAGCGTTGGATCACGACAAAGCTTACAAGATGATGTACTATATTGTAGACGTTTTATGATTGATTGCGCAATTACAACCCTATCTTAGTGTAATCCAGCCGTCCGAGGACTGTCATCGCCTTCTTAACCTTCGTCGTATAACCCTAGGTCTTCGTTCTACTCATTATCCAACCCCTGAATTCGCAAGAAATAAACTGGTATATACCGGATCCGGAAAATGCCATCATGCCAATAATGCCAATCGTATCCAAACCAAAGTATCGTGTACGCCCCAACTGCACCCCGGCTAAGCTATTGTTCTAAATACAAAAAGCAAAACTAGGTACGCCAGGGGTAAAAAGATGGAGATGCCCTTGACAAATACGCCAGTCCTGTCCCTAATGCCGCCAACTTTTTTTATGCAAGATCCGTTCCTACTCTGTATGCAAATCTTGTACCAGTACGGTAGGGTGCATCTGGTACTCCAAAGATTACTATGAACATATGAAAAGAAATTAAAAAGGGAGGAATCGCCGACATGGACTTCTATGTATATCCGAGGGCGTGGGGCCCCACAAAAGCCGGTACGTCCGGCAACTTCGGAAGTCTGGGGGCATCAAAATCGGGCACGGATCTCCCCGCGGGCCCCAGATACCAATTTTCTTGGCAATACTTGGAGCACGTTACTTTGTAAATTCCCCATGTTTGAAGATGTCTATGCCGCTTTTCCCTTTCGTAATGGTTGACTATGATAGAAGTAAATCCTAATCGGGAGATCCGGATGTAATAATGTAACCTTTTCTTGGTTGGTTGTAAGTGTAATGACAAGGTGTAGTATCGAGGCCGTGGGGGGAGTAGTATGTACTGTTATCTCCTGGCCCAGATTTATGTATCTGGGAACCACCCCGCATTCTATCCATGTAACCAGGCCGAAGGTCTCGACGTAACTGTAATCGACTCCCCACGCCAATGCATTGAGCTGACCTGCTGAGCGTGACAAAATTGGGCGATGCGTATAAAAAACTCTCCGAAGCTCACGTCAGCGCTATGGCGGGCCAGAACTCATTTTTAGACCACCCGCTCAGCGACCAACTATCGGTGTAACTAACTCGATACTCTTAGGTCTCGAGTAGGCACCGGGCTTTCTAGAGGGTAATGGTCGGTCTGTCATTCCACCTTGGGGATATCCATAGCCCGTAACTGCATAACCGTTATCGTAAGTTGACGAGTATAAGTTATTGGCCGATTTCGTATACGACGTACTGGGGCTGGTGATAGCACTGCGCGTAAACGGCCAAACTGCATTGCCTGATATCGGCGAAGTCGGGCTCACTGGCCGTATGCTTAATGACCTCAGGGCTGAGACAGCATTGGTGTATTGACCGGTTGTTGGTGTTGTGGGAGGCGACCAACGAGATGGTGAGGCGCGCGGGATGATGTCTCGGGGTTCCGAGTTTCCAACCGAATAATACGGTAAACTGGCCCCGAAACCTTCATGTCCCCTAGACGAATGGCGCGATGACGATGTTCTTACGCTTGCGTTTTGGTCACGCTCGCGACACCTGGTCTAGACGTCAGTAACGCGGATCATCTATTGGTTAGGTGAAATGTGGCTTACGCCTCCGAGCAATATAAAAACTTCTCATCTTGTGGGGTGAATTGCTTTTCGCAGGTCATACTGTAGATTCGTGACCAGTTAGTAAGTTGTCTACAAAATAGTTTCGTGGGATGCAGGAACAGTCGGGTTGGTTACACGAGACACCCCCAGCGTTGATCACCCGCATGGCTTGATTGAGTGGTGACGCAGCCCACGCAGATTGCCTGAAGTGGCATGAGTGTTGCGCAGAAGGAGAGAAAAAGGGATCCCGATCTCACCCTTCCCAGGCGCAAGATGACGTTAAGTAGAACATCAAGGACACAACCTGGACGGCGAGCTTCGCCGCAGCATCGAGATCAAGGGGGATGTTGCAGGGTTAAGTCGTGTAAATAGAACAAAAAAATACGTACCAAAATTGAGGAAAGCTCTCTCGCTCATCGTCGAACCAGCGTTCTTCTTCCCATTCCCTTTCGCGATCCTTCGGGTTCTTGCCCAGTTTTAGTACTGTTTGCGGTGTTGATTTCCTAGTCAACGTCTGTGGCCGTCTGGGCTTTGCATCTGAAGTTGTGGCTACCTTGCGGACATCAGTCGTTGAGCTATTGGTCGAGGCATGGCCAGATTTGCGACGGCTGTGATGCATTGGAACTATGTAATTGGCCCTGGCAGTAAGCCCAGGCCAAAACCTACTGTCCTAAAGAGTAGTAGGTGAGTGCCTGTTAGACGGCTAGCTTAGTAGGGGAATCCTTTCCAATATATCGAGGAGAGGGGTTGAAGGCGGGGAGATCTCGCGACAATTTCGGCTGGTTTTAAAAGTTGTATAAAAGCTGTCTTGCAATTTTCCAGGCTATTGCGCTACTAACAAGTAGAATAGATAAAGCGAATTGATGTGCTTTAGCTTCTCGTTGTTCCTGGAGCCGAATTGATAAGGAGCAGGACCCAAGACGGTCGAGGTACTAATACTATCTCCTAAGACCGGGATGCCAAGTTTGGCAAGAAAAGAACCAAGGAGCAGCAGACAAAACAGGGTTAAATGATATAATTGCGTGCTCAGCTTCAATTGTAGCAGAACACGAGAATGACGATATTAACAAACGAATTGTGGTTCGGTAACGTTTAGATCGTCTTTCCAATTGCTCCTCTTCGCTTTTAGACCAAAAGTGATGATAATAGCTTCACCTGTGACGTGTGGACGAAGAAAGCTCGTAATAGTGGTGGTGGTACGTGGGAAGCAGTAGAAGTCTTGGTGGTGTAACATGTACTGGGATAGTAAAGTCGCTGGGGGCGTTTAGTTGTGTAAGTCGGACTTTTCGGGTATGTCTTGGGACACAGAGAAACAGTTATTCGTAGTGTAGGTAACAATTAAATGTTCAAGCAGATCTATAAGATGAACATCTACTATGGAGATTTCATGAAAATATCATGCAATATAAAATTCGAAGATTGCTATGCAAGGGGGAACACAGCTGAATTGGTCGACAATAAATAAATCTTCGAGCTTGGAATTTTTTTGAAGATTGAGAAGGAGACAAGAGGCGGGATGTAGTGGATGATATATTCTAGCACCCTTGGAAATGTTTCGTACCATATCTTTTTTTTCACTCCTTGGCCTGGCTGACACTGTACATGGCTGCAACATAATTTTGGCAGGTAAGGTAAGGTACCGCATGTATCTACTAGGGTTATGTTTTGTCTGGATGACTTTTTATGTATGTATATAGGAAGGTACCTTGGGACCTGGGCTTGTCTGAGAGGGTACAGATGATACAGATGTGTGTGCACAATACCTAAGTAATCAACCAACGATGACTCTTTCTCTCTATTCGCCCTTCCCCTTTTAACTTTGCAAGTGCTTGCGTGCGTGCTTTCATTGGCTGACAACTTCTCAGAATGCCGAAAGCGGAGATGCGACCCAAGACTGGGGGGCTTGAGCCAATTGCGTGTGACTACTACATTGTCTTGACTATCACGACAGAGCTTCTATTAGCGCCTAGCCCTTTTGGATTCTTAAGTTGGGACAGGTGAACGAAGACTCATTGAATATGGGGTCAGGAGAAAACGAGTGAGAAAATTTTTTTATTCTCCCCTTGCAAGCCTTGTAAGTTGAGTTGACTATTCACGATTAACTCTGCCTTACCGAAACGCACTACCAAAACTGGCCATTCGTTAGTATTAATGCGTTTGACAGGCTAATTCTTTTTAAGTAACGCTATTAGTTACCCGAGAAGTCCAAGCCTTATGTACCTAGCATACATATACATATACATATACATATACGGACATCAGTTCCATTCTACTTACTTACATACGTTAGGTATATATAATAACTATATACAGATACTGTAGTCAGTTACTGTCTTTTTTAGTAAGTCTTAACACCATGGCAAAACAGCCAGCAACGTCGAACAAGATACTGGACATAATGGTCATGCAATAGAACATCCATAACAGGGATGATGATGTAGCAGCATGGATCGCTTGGCGTTGTAAGAGTTATACGTAGGTATATACGTAGGTCTATACAGTATATACACCTTAATAAACATTTTAGATTGATCAGAATCATGATCAGAAGAATCATTTAGAAAGAGTTCATGGCAGGGGTTAAGATGGCTCGGGATTTCAACATGCACTCCTGTTATTAGGTACATAGTTACTTATAATAGGTCTAGGTACTTACATAGTATAAATAATATAAATAATGCAAGCAACATAAGCTCCGCTGCGGTTCGCGGGATGAGGGATACCACCTACATAAGGCACCCGTACATGCGGGACTGACCACTTAAACACTTAGACAATGTGGATGATCCTTATGCAACATCGCAAAGTTTCCCGACGGGATATTTGCGATATTTGCCAGACATTTTGTTGTTTCAATATTTGGACTACTAACTTATTCTACTCTTTTTGCTGCCATGTACAATATACTACTGCTGCATGCACCGCAGCCTTTTATTGCAAACATTCGTTACGCCATCCAGGTGTCCCCGTAGATAATATGTCTGCCCATCCAGGTTGACGATTTTTTAGTGAAGCATCATCTTTCCATCTCTCCATATCTCGGCGCAATTTGTCACACAATTATTCATATAGATTGTACAATGCTTGTATAATGCGGTGAACAGAAACAAAAGGATCCAGGGAGAAAGAAGGACAAAAAAAAACTTTATATGGATTCGGCGAAATTCATCCATTAGATGTCGCGATTAGGTGCTACGTAAGGTATGGGTATGGGTAACTATGGGTAAAGTGGTCAGTCTTTGGCCTACGCCATAGGTTACAAATCCAAGGTACGCCGTACTTAGGTCCTCTACCCAAACATGGTTGCGGATCAGATAAAGGATTGGTCGGTATTCAATCAGGTTCAATTAGGCACTGTGTCTACATACCTAATCCTAATGTATGATACACGCACTACACGCATTTATTTTAGTACTTTCGTGATAACAAGATGCAACTTAAACCGAGCCAAGTCTCGAATTGATCATATCGAATTTTGAGCATATGTGGGTAAAAAATTGCAATGCATTAAGCTTCGATAGCTGTTTATTCGAATTAGAGATGACACTAACAAAAAGAAAATCTAGATCTAGCACGAGGAAATGACGACTTTGTTTCAAAACCAGTTCACCTCATCCATCATCTCAAGCACGTTTTTTTCTAGTTCTTTACTTGGAATTCAATGGGTGGATTCGCACGTGTACCAGTTCGCCGATTTCCAGAGGCGCAAAAATAGTCCCGGACCCCATGAAACCTGCTCTTTTTTTTTTTTTTTTTTTCTACATAGGCCTGAGCCCAGTTAAACTTTACCCTAGCAGCCCTTGGACTAACATCCGAAAGGGTGTTTAGGTGTGGGCTGTTAGGTATTGTGTTATACCTCTATACATGCGTTGTATCAGGTTAGTCCCACCGCCCGCGGCTTTCCTCCGTTAGGAGCTACATATAAGTTTTGAGTACAATAACGTCCTACCGTCCGCGAGATAGCTCGATGTAGGGAAGTAAGGGGTTACAGACTGGTATACCTAGTTAAACGGCAGCCACGGCAGCCACGGTAGGCACAATATAGTTTATTAGTCTATTAGTTTATCTTTTATTTTTAATGTAGCATAGCACTGTGCCCGACCTATGATAATGCTGTACCTGGTAATAACTTCCAATCTGGTCCTATGTAAAACAGCTCGAACTTTCCACTTTCCAATCATATATGGAATCGTACATGGGAAATCGTACATGGCAAACTTACCTAATGTCGGCTTCCCGTGTTGCCGCCCGCAATTGGCGTCTCCAGTTATCCGGGACTCTACCCTACATACTTCTCCTCCTTTTACTCTATCACTTCACCACTCCTACTACTCTACTACTCTGCCACTCTGCCACTCTACCAGTTACTACCTAGACTCTACCAAGACAAGTTATATCGAAGATTTGGGATTCTGACCTTTTCGATGCGCGATTCCCATCAACACGCCACTTTGGACAAGTCGTCATCTATTATTCCTCATATTTTGCCGTTGCAGTGATATACTTGGGTTACAGCCCGTATGGCAAGTAATTATGTCTGAGGCTGTCCGACGTCGCTTTTTCGCCATTATGTCTTCCCCGGCATATCCCCAATGTGCTCCTATGCGCTCCCCAATGTCTCAATGCGCATGACTGCCGATCCAGCGCTGGAGATCTTCAAACCTCTGAGAACGCCCCGTCGTGTCAATTGATTAGTTTCGACTTCGGCTATCTATAATGATAGCTGATCAATCTCGTTACCCCTCTTTGAGAAGCTCTCGAACACCCCCTGACGCCCTGTCTAATTGTCTCGCTTGGCCCCCTCTTCTCTTCTTCTGTCTCATCAACCAAGGTCGTCGTGCTACATGCGACAGTGGCTCATTACCTGTTTCGTTCACAATTGCAGCTTTCCATTTTAATTTGTGTAACTCGTGGGGGAAGAGGGTTGCATGTCGTATTTGCAGTTTATCTGAAAGGCAAAAACGTTGTGTAGCCTTCCAACCTGCGTGATGTGTGCTTCGTCTACAGGTGACAAGGCAAAGGAGAGCATTCATCAATTCATCATTCATCGTAATGTAGGTAGGTATCGTTGCTTGCCTCCTACACTATAGCTCCACCGACGGACATGGGCCGCGGCTTGCATATACAATGTGTACATACATGCTACCTAACAATCCATCGTTACATCATCCGGCACGACAACTTGCAAGGGAGATAGCTACAGAAGAGATAGTCCCGACTCCTGGTTTACGACTGGCCTGGCAGTTTGGGTAGAGTTGCCGAGGACTGCTTTGATTCCTGCGACTCCTACGACTCGTCTCCTCACCATGGATTCATATGTTTTATATTGACCTCCAGTCGTCCGTCACCCGGATTACCCATTTCGGAACTTACTAGATCTCAAATTCTGGTGAGGATCAATTTCCCCCACGTGGAGTATCACAGCCGATAGGCTCCTGTGTTCAGGAACATATTGCTCTAGCAAGTTCTGCTCAAGGTTTTGTCGAGAGTGCGGTTGATGCGGAAAATATAAACTGCTTCGAAAGTACGACGACGTCAGCTTCTTATTGGGTTATTTGGACTTAATGCCCGGCTTTATTCCCACCAAGGTACCTCAATTACAGACGTGTCAGTTCTACT